CAAAGATACCATCACCTGATGGGTGCCAGATTTCCATCTGAGCTGACTTTAGATTCATCCTGCCTAGGAAGAAGAAGAAGGTGCTCTACAATTCAGGCTATGGAAGTGACCCCCCCCACTATTTATACGGAAAGAGGGGAGATTCAGCCTGTCCATCTTCCTCTGTGACCTGAAGGAGATCAGAACATGGTCCGAGAGCCCAGAGACTGCTCAATTTTGATACAGCATCCCTCAATGTCCCTATTGGGGTAAAAAGGGGTCTCCAGTGCCACCACTAAGACCCTGGCAATGCAAACTGGCACCTCACCTGGGATACCGCACCCACTCTTTCCCACGAACCGCCCAAAGAAGCCAGCTGCAGCCTGGATGCCAGATCCTTGGTTGGCTACCTGCTCTTAGCACTTTTAATGCTGCTTCCCAGCTAGCGTTATATCCTGAGCTGGACGTGCATTCCCACAACACCCTAAGCCAGTGGTTCTCAACCTTTTTAATGCCGCGACCCCCAACCGGTCGTAAGTTGAGGACTACTCCACCGGTCATAAGTCGAGGATCACTCAACTGGTGCAGCACCGTTTGCAGAATGGGACTTTTGGCAGGCTCAGCAGGGCAGAGACAGCCTGGACAATTCCCATTGGCTTTGGAAAGCCAATAGAATTAGACTCTATTCAAGAGAGTCTCTTCGATTGGCTTTCAAAAGCCAATAGAATAAAAGGGAGTAGCACAGCTAAGGAAAAGATGGAAAAAATGGCGGACTGCGTTGTTTGGCGACCCCCGTGAAATGGTCGTTCGACCCCAAATGGGGTCCCGACCCACAGATTGAGAACCACTGCCCTAAGCGGATTTGGCTTAGCACCAAACCACCTTCTCAGCAGCAGATTCTTTGGTTTCCATTATTTGTCCGAGAAAACCTGTTGGGGAGGAAGCAGGCGCCTGGGCCTCCCTTTCGAAGAGGGTTACGGATGGGCTAAGCATGCAGAAGAAGTTGGGACCCCCCCAGTGAGTGGAATTTGAAGAGAGGGCAATTCTTGGTGCTGCAACTGGTTAAAGGGCATCCCTTTTGTACAAGTGGTCCTCAGCTTACGAGGGGGTTTCTGAAGGGTTTTGGGCCCTTGGCTATCAACCCACATTCATGGCTGCTTGCAGCGTCCTAAAGTCATGGATTTATGCAATTCCTGCATTTTTTTTCTTTGCAGAAAACCACCACTTAGTTCCTCCCATCGCAAACAATGGATTTGCTTAATGACCACAGCGTTTGCTTAACAGGCACGGCATTTGATTTATGACCAACAGGTTCATTTAATGACCACCACAAAAATGATGTAGTAGCAGGACTGTCACATGATGACCCATTTAATGACTGGCAGGACTTATAACCGTCATGCTGGGCTCAGTTACAGTCATGAGCTGAGGACTGTGTAAGAAAATTAGTGTTCCTTAAGAACATCTTTGTTCTTTATCATCCAAGGCTGTCTGAGTGATGCCAGGGAGGTCCTGCCTGCCTTGGGGCCGGGAGAATGCAGGGGTCTGGAAGGCTTCAGCTCAACCTCCTAAAACCAAGCGGCTTTGGGTTTTAAGATCTCTTCCGTGGACCTTCCTTCTCTTGGCCTGGGAGGGGCTGCACCGCCCTGATCCTACGTGCAATTTGGGAGTCCTCCTGGACTCTCAGCTCCTGCTCAAAAAGCAGATGGTAGAAGAGCCTTTTCTCTGCTTTGTGTTTTGTGCCAGGGCCTGGAACATTCACACATTAGTCAACCCCCCAACTGGACTGCATTGAATGCCGTGCACGCTCCCTGGGGCTGCCGGTGAAGACTATGCAGACACTTGAAGGATGGAAAAGATCAGACTTAGCTCTGCCCTGCTGGACTTTTGCCAGGTAGAGAAACTTGGCTTTGTCATCCAACCCGAAGGCTGGAGATCACGGCTGTTTCCGTTTTGAATTGTTTGTTCAGTCTTTACTCTGCTCTTGTCTTAATTGTTGCCCAACCCAGAGTCAGGTAAACAAATAAATGACTAAGTACCAAATAATACTGGGCTCCATAAAAGTGAGAAAAGGCAAAATGAAAGAGCGAAGTGGCTTTGCCTCCCTCCCTCCTTCCCTGACTGTCCCCGTGCTCAGAGGAGCTCAGGGCCCTCCAGCTGATCAAGATGTGGCAAAGCAAAAGCAAAGGGGCTTCTTGAACAGATCAACGGCCTGGCTGGACCCTCGTCCAAATGCCCAGAGCCCAGAAGCAGCCCCTTTCTTTGCTGGACCCCCAAAGCCCAGGAGTGAAACCGGAGAGACGGGCCTGTCACCCGCTGCTTGCATGGCCATCCGTGGCTCCTGTGGTTCCCTTGCTCACCAGCATGTGCCACACAAGCTCTGTTGGACAGATTTGCGTCTCCATCTTAGTTAAGCCTTCTAAGTACTATGGAAGCCATGGCAGCAAAGACACGTTAAGGATATCCCCCCCACCCCCATAAAAGCCATGGCTTCAGTGGAGGAACCAACCTTACATAAAAGTTGGGAGGGGGGCAACAGTGCTCCTATGCTGAACGAGAGCAAGGAGGCTGGAGGCAGAGAAGAAGGCCTCGCGGGCAGGACACATCCACCCTCATCCAAGAGGTCCCTAGCTCAAAAGACGCCCCTTGGATGGCCCTCTCCCTTCGCCAGTACAATGCCTGGAGCAGGGAAAGCAAGCTTTTGGTGCCTGGGTCTTGGAAGGCAGTTCGATCCAAGAAGTTGTCCCAGATTCCCAGACCTGAATCTATTGCTACGGAGGGACCCTACTGGTTGCCAAGCCCAGCCTCCTCCCACCAAAATGGAGACTAGTTTCCCCACCACCACCAGCACCGAGGAGAGGCTGAACTTCAATCAGACAATTTCTCTGCAACACGGAGATGCAGAAGAGGCCAGGATGCCAAAGCTGCAAACTTGGAAGATGGGTTTGTGAGCAGCCCCTCCCCAGGACGGGAGCCAGCCTGTGGTAAGATGGGCAGGCAATAAATGTCATAAAATAAATAAATAAGTGGGAGATGCGGAGACCCTTCACAGGTCCTCAAGGCTGGGCTGCCTTTCTGCCAAGCGTGGGTTGGAAACAATCCCCCATTTCTGAAACTGTCTCCCAGGGGGTCTCCCCAAAATCACTGGGTGGGGGAAAGAGGCCTTTCTGAGGGGAGTAGGGGGCATCCCCCCTTGGGGCAGAAGTCTCAGTTGCTGATCTGGAGCTCTTTTTGGCAAAATTCTTCTGTTTTGGCAAAGACTCCGGCTGTTAAACAGTGCAGCTGCTTGTTATTTATTGGGTTCAGCTCTTGTTTTAATGCTGGACGTATTTTACAGGAAAGCAATAATTGCACAAAAACTGGAGCCTTATTTAACGTTTTTGGATGGCAAGTTTCTTGGGAGGCTGTTCTTTAATGGACAAAAAGGCCAAATAACTAGAATACTCATTCAACTGTTTCAGAAGCTTGGCTATTTTAGGGTTTCCTTTAGTTTTTGTAGGTTTCTTTTTTGCAGTGCTGGCTGTGCGGCTCCATGGCTGCAAAAAGGGACTTTGGGGGCAGAAGCCGAGATACACACCCTGGCTGCCCTCGGGCTCAACTACGCCAGCAAGGTAAACTAGCCACGTGTTAAAACGCCTAGGTGAGAACCCGAAAGGCCCCACCTGGGCCGGGGAGTCCCAGCCTTCCGCCCAGGGCACCCACCCCAAAGAAAACGTCCCAGAGGGGGCCGCCTGCCCTCAGCTTCAGCACATGCAGGGAAGGGAGCCTCCATTTCTCTGGGCGACTGGGCCAGGCTGGGACCCTTCAGCCCTCCGTGCCCGCATGGCCATCTCTCCCAGCACTGACAGGCGCTGCTGCCCCAGCCACACTTCACAGGGGTCTCCTTGGAAGCTCTCCTCTGATCCGTAAGCCCCCCCTCCACTCCACCCCCAACTCATTCAGCGGTTATTGAGAAGGAGGGGACGGGAGATCGAACCTTGCCACGCCCCCCCCCCCACTGATAGAGGCCTCTAACTGAAGGAAGAACTTTCAAAAGACAATTAGAAATTAGCCACCCTTTAAGACCCCCAGCATTACTGCAAACCCTGAGAAGGCTGCAAGTACATTGGGGGGGGGACTTCCAGGAACAGCCTCTCCCAGAAGGGCCCAGATGACCACCCAAGGGAGCCCCTCCCAGAGAAAAGAGCCATTCCTGGTTGCCCAGGCACCTGCCTTTCCCTAGGTCTCCACCCCCCCCCCCAAAGACTAGACCAAGCTGATCAATACATTGCCAGCAGCTGACAGGAGCAATTCACAAGCATTTTTAGCTGGGAGGGTCAGTCTATCTTGTGGTTATTCACCCCTTTTGGGTCGTTCAGGGCCATGGAGAAGGGGGGGGCTCTATCCGGGGAACAGAGATGCAGCAGTCCCAGAGTCTCTTCCTGCGCCACTTTGGCTCTCCTTGCCACTCAGCGCCCCCTCCTCTTCCGAAGGAACTGGGGCTCCCCAACTTCGGGGGGGGGGGGTGCTGGGCTAAGCGAGCAGCTCCCGCCTCCCCCAGGAAGCCTCTTCCCAGAAGGCGCCCCGACGGACGCCCCGGACCCTCCGTCCCGTCCGCCCCCAGCAGCGCCTCTCCGCCCCCCCTCCGGGATGCGGGCGGTGGCGGGCAGGGCGAGCCCCGGGCCGGGCCAGGAGCCGCCGGTCCCGAGACGCCACGCCGGAGATCTCGCCCCCCCCCGCAGGCCGAAGCTCGGGGAGGGGGGGTTGCGTCTCGCCTGCCACGGTCCCTGACGGAGCAAACGCGGCACCTCAGCGGCGGTGCTCCCGGCTCCCGGCGAGTAGCGGCCCCTCGCCCGGCCCCGCGGCTCCCGGAACAGAAGGCGCCGGGGGGGGGGCAGGCGGAGCTCCGTCGAGGGCCTTTCTGAGCCGACGGAAAGTTCACCGGCGGGGCCGAAGGGGCGCCCGGAGCAGCCTCCGCAATAGCCCCGCGAGGGTCTCCCTGGACGGGACGCCGCCCGACCTTCCTCCCCGCCCGCGCTCACCTGCTCAGTGCCGGCCGGCCGGCAGCTCCTCCCGGCTCGCTGGTTGCCCTCGAGTCCGCTGACCGACCCGGCGGCCGCCCCGCCCCGCCCCGCCCGCCTCCCCGTCCCCGCCGCCCGTCCGGCCAGACCTCCGTCCCGGGAGCCGGGCAGGCGCGACCTCTGCTGGCCAGGCGCGGCGGTGGCGGCTCGTTTCTCGAGGGCGGACCGGGCGGACGAGCTCCGCGACCCCTCCCGGCCCTCGAGGGCTCCGGAGCGCCCGGCCTGCTGCGGCGCCCGCGAGAGAACCCGGCCGGCGCGGAGCCTGCCCGCCCGCCCTGCCCCGCGGAAGGCGGGAGCGCGGCCGCGGCGGCTCGGCGAGGGAGCCGTCGAGACGGAGGGCTCTGCCCGAGCGGCGGAGGCGGCCGCGAGGGCCGTGATCGGCCGGAGGAGCCTCTCCGGCTCCCGGATGCTCTGCGGGGAGCCTCCCCGACGGGAGGGAGGCCGAGGGGGAGGTCGGGAGGGCTTCATATGGGTCATTTGAGGGAATTACATCGCACATCCCCCCCCGTCGGTGATGCTCTCAAGGGAGGGGAGGGGCGGATCCTGGCCCGGAGGGAGGTAGGCAGGCAGGCAGGCGGGGGCCCCGCCGGTAAGGGGCCTCGGTGCAGCCCTGGGACGTGTTCCTGGAAGAGCCCCAGAAAGCCACCAGAAATCCCGAGAATCCCCCTATCCCCGCAGCCCCCCCCCGCCCGGGAGTCGCCATGAAGTCCGGAGGCTCATTTTCAAGGGCTATCCCCCCCCATTCCTCCACCCCAGTTTGTACCAGGTGATCCCTCTCATCCCAGATTAGATCCAATGATGATTAGACCGCGGGCCTTATTGCAGGTGATTTTATCTTGCAGAAGGTGGTGAGCAGCGGCCCAGGCTTGCCCCGACTCTCCCTCCAGGTGAGGACCCGGTTTGAAGGGGGGCTGCAGAAGGGCTGGGGGGCTTTTCTGCCCAGCACTCCTGTTGAGGTTTGGCTGCCCCACGGAGAAGAGAGAGAGGGCAGCTCGTCCATTTGACTCCATTTTTATGGGATTCCCGAGCAGCCTTTCCCACAACGCGGGGCTCCTCCTTTGGCAACTTCTCAGCTCAGGAGGGAAGCAGAGGAGAGGAGACGAGAGAGCGGAAGAAAGAACCGAACCGAGGGCGCGGGAGAGCTCGTGCTTGAGCCTCTGGCCACCTGGCCAGTGCAGACCTTGCCAGAGGCCCGCCAGGCGCCGGGCGTGGAATGGGACTGCTCACCAGGGCCGATTCAACAAATACCAAAGTTAAATTCATTGGGATGTAACTGTGGCCGAAGATAATTGATTAGAGGAAGGATAATAATTACATTTATTAGCGACTGGAAGCCTGTGGTGGCTTTTTTGCTGAAAAAAGGGGGAAAAGTACCTCTCCCCAAGACCTCTGGAGGGGGGCAGGTGCCAGAGTGTAGTTTTGGGAGGGTTCCCCTTTTCTCCATGTGGGCAGGAACCCTGCCACCAAATAGGGGCCTCTCTGGGTGTGAAGCCTCCCGTGGCAGGGATAGCCCTGCGGCAGATCCCCTTCCCAGGCTGCAAGTTGCCTAAACTCCCGGTCTTCCTGGAAGACAGGAAGGAGGATGAATCGCCTGAACTCCCACTGGGCAAAGACGCTGAAGGAGAGACGGGGGGGGGGCTCCCCTCTGGTTCACCACAGCCTCACCCCCCCCCCAAGGGATCTCAGTAAGACCTCCCCAAACAGTAATGAGGAAAATCAAAATACTGACATACAGGGGCATTTACTGAAACACTTAAAACATTGCTCAGACTAGCTTTTTTATTGCATATTCAAAATATTTAATGACAAAAGTAACAAGAATATATTTTTACATAAGTTAGCTTTTAGAAGATGGCTAAAGAATCCACGAGTACTTAAAAGAATCTAACAAAGAACTTCCCTGCTATTGTAGAAGAAGCTGCTTTAGATTTCTTCCACCCTTTTGAGCACTTTCCTTGATAAAATATTTTTGTGTGTGTGAGATCTTAATATAATTCCATCTTTATCAAAAGTTAACAAATCATCACTACAAGGAAACAAGTCGGAAGCTTTCTCCCCCTGCTCTGTATGCCTTTCGTTCTCCAGGCCTTTGCCTCCTGTCCCTCCCTTGACGGGGAGAGCAAGAACTCCTGGAGCAATTCCTGTGTAAAACTCACCTCACTGCTCCTGGGCCACAATGAGTTGTCGTCTGCTTAGAAGAAAACTATGTATGTCTTCTTATAGGATGCAAAACAGTGTGTGTGTGTGAGGGGGGGGGGAGAAACACAAGACACAAGGCCTCAGTCAACCTTGGCTCTTTTATGACTCGTGGACTTCAATTCCCAGAATTCCTGAGCCAGCTAAGCTGGCTCAGGAATTCTGGGAATTGAAGTCCACGAGTCATAAAAGAGCCAAGGTTGACTACCCGATTTAGACCCGAAGAGACGGAAGAAGACTGCCTCCCTTCCACCACCACATCCAGAGAGTTCAGGGGAGGCCAGGGCACCGTTTGATGCTGCAAGACTCCTTTTAAGACAAACGGAAGGATAGATGCTGGGAGGTGCAGAGCAAGTTCCCCGTGTATTTCCTGTAATGCCAATCTCCATCCCAAGGCAAATGTCAGTATTTGCAGGCTCCTTGAGGAAAACCAGAAGCAGAAATTGAGCATTGGGAACCCACTAGGCAGCTTACCGACATGACCAGTTTGTAAAGTGTTTTTGCACGGTGAAGGACATGCAAGAGGCACAAGAAAACTACATTCTTCAGAGTTCATTCTGACTTGCTTCAGGACCCGGTCTGGTTTCAAAGCCCATCCAGAGACTTTCCAGGCTAAATTGTGGAACTGGATTATATTCTCGACAGCTCACACACCGGCAACATTTAACATTCAAAGTCCTTTGCCAGGCACATCAAAGAACGCAAAATTACATCGAGTGGGGAAAAGCAAATTACATTTACAAACAAAAGGTAACAGACTTGTTTTCAAAAAGGCAACAGGCTTTCCTCTCCCGTGAGCAGATCGCCACCTGGCCCCTCCAGGGAAGGGGTGACCCCCTCTTTCATTGCCCGGCAGCCAATCCTAACACTGCCTCTTTGCCAGGGCCTCCCTTGGGGGGGGGAGGGCACTAGGCACTCCCTGGTCCTTGGGCTGCTGCTGCTCTCAACTCAAGGTCAGGTGAGGCACCCCCCCCCCCGCAGCAATGGGCCCAAAGTTGTTCCATCTCCTGATCAGGATTAATTCCACCTGTTAAACCAGTTTTAATCCAAAGAGCATGGCCCGCAGAGCGGGACACGCATCATTCATTTAAACGTGCTGCTTAGGGAAAGCCCCAGAAGCCCCTTTGACTTCAACCCATTTACAGGAGCAGCAGTGAAGCAGGTGGACGAGCTGCAAAGCTACTGGCAGACCCCACAGGGGCGAGACCTTTTGGCAAAACGTTGACCAGCTTTTGAAAAGCTTATCCTGTCCTGTCCAAACATTCTCTTCATCTGAAACAAACTTATCCGGAGCACCACCAAAAAGGAAAGTCAAGAAGAAAAAAATGTTAGTTATTCCCAAGGAAAAGTCAACTGATCTCCATGTGGGTGTCTCCTGGAATTGGGATAACCTGCCTGCTCTCCCAGATTCCCCCCCCCCCAATTGAGGCAGGACCTTTATTACAATCGATCCTCGGAAGAGGCAGCTTTAAGACACAGACTCCTCGGCTGAGCAAGGCTGTTGTACAGCTCTGACGTGGCCGCGTCTGCAGTCAGGTGAAGGTGGCAAGGAAAAGGCACCTTTGCACTTCTTTTAGCTGAAGAGACGGAGATGATCTCAAATAGCTTTGACGAGGTTACAACAAGCCGCTTCTTCTGCTCTGGGGAGCATTAGGGTGTCACAAAAATAATATTTACTGAACCTTTAGGAACACTTTAAAGGTCAGATGACCTTCTTTAGCTTTGTGCTTTTTGCAGCTTATATTCAGTTTAGTCTCTGGCAAGAAAAGGACGAAATCTTTGTTAACACGTAATCTTGAGTTTGCATAATCATTCTGGTTTGCTCAACTGACCAGAAGGTTACCCAGAAGATGCCAGTTGGTTTTAGGATACAGTTTTGAGCTTCTGCTTCTCCCCACTTTTCCTGCTCTCAGGTTTCAAAGTATTTGTAAATTGCCGTGACGTAGTGCATAACATTTTGCCAGTCTGGACGCTCCGTTCGTACCATTTCATTAATATCCTACCAAGAAAAGAAGAAAAAAAGGGAAACATAAAAAGATGCTAGTCTGAATATAAGGCTGTCTATAACAGTAATTATACTAATAAATAAAAGTCTGCAGGCCCTGCCTCTCAGGCCTGCTGCTTGCCCACTGAAGGAGTGCAGAGGGGATTTTGCGAGCTCCATTAGGCCCTTTTCAAGAGTGCAGAAAGCTTTGGTGTGCTTGGGGGGGGGGGCTCTCCTGCATATAATGTTTCCCCAGCTTGATGAAGAGAGAACAGGTGTAGCTACTTTTTGCGAAAAAGCCGGAGAAGGCTGCAGCTGAAAGCAGGTCAGGGCCAGCCGCCTTCCTGACACCAAGGCCCTGACTAGCATTCAGGCAGCCTGTGCTCCTGATTTGTGTGAAGCGGCTTCAGCACTCATCTGCAAAGAGAGCAGTCGCTTGTGATGTCATCAGTCTTCCTTGTGGGTTGGGGGGGAGGGAGGGAGAGGGAGAGAGATCATCCTTGCAAGGGCTTACCAAAGTGGATTTGATGCCAACGCTCTCAGCTGCCTGGAAAGCCAGCGTGAAGTTTCTTCTCTGAAACAAGAGTGAAGTCACAGTAACTGCACAGCAAATAACTTAAATACCAAAAATGGCTTAAAGGTCTTCCCTCCTAATCACTGCTAGATGGTCCTCAACTTATGACCCCAATTGAGCCCAATGTTTCTGTTGCTAAGCAAAGCATCTGTTTAGTTTTGCTCCATTTTTCAACCTTTTTGCCACAGTTGTTAAGTCCGTGCCGGTTGCCAAGCGCTCAAATTTTCATGACGTGACCCTGGGGATGCTCCAATGGCCGCAAGTGTGAAGAACGATCCAAAAAGTCACTTTTCCCCATGCTGTTGTAACTTAGAACGGTCACTAAGCGAATGGTTGAGAGTCGAGCACTACCTGCGCACGGGGGCTCCTTGGCGCTCTTTGAGCTGGCTTGTTTTCTTGCAGGCGTTTCATTGCCCAAACTAGGTTAACATCATCAGGGCTAGTTTGGGTAATGAAACGTCTGCAAGAAAACAAGCCAGCCCAGAGAGCGCCAAGGAGCCCTGAGTTACAAACACTCTCCTCTATTAGTACTACCTGTACACTTTTACATAATTTTTGCAGGGTCCTTCGCCTTTCACAATTTATCAAAAATTCTCTAATGGAAATAAAATGTATTTTTCCCTTAAAGAAATTTCACTGAAAATTTGTAACAGACAGTTTCAACCCTCCCCAAAATGGATCTTTGGGGATTTGAGAGTTAGAACAATTAGTCAGTGGAACAACTTGCCTCCAGAACTTGTGAATGCTCCAACAGTGGAAGTTTATAAGAAGAGATTGGACAACCCTTTGTCAGAAATAGTACAGGGTTTCCTGCCAGAGAATGGGGTTGGACTAGAAGACCTCCAAGGTCCCTTCCAACTGTTATTCTGTTAAATATGCTTGTGGGAGATCTTGTCGCTGCAGAAGTCGAGGGGCAGAAGGCTGCTGGAGATGAAGACGGGCCAGTCCTGTGACAAGCGGAGAAGCTGCGGTGAGGAAGGAAGCGCAGGCAGGGCCCACGGAGGGAGGGAGCCCGGGAGGAAGGCAGGAGGGTCACTTTCCCGGCACTCCAGAGGCTCCAAATGGCATTTTTTCAGGGTGGAAATGTCTTTTATTAATAGCCCCTCAGGAGCCTTTCTCAGTCAGCAAAACTAACCCCAGTCCGTGAAGACGACCTCTCGGCTCACGCAGGACTGGCCTGGGCTCTCCAGGAAAAGGCTTTTTCCTCCAATACAAATCTGAATTTACCAAACACACACACACACACACACACACCTTTCTTTCCCCTCTTTTCTTCCAGGCCTCCTTTTTTCTCTTCACTGTTTTGGAGAGTCCTCCCTGGGTCCAGGCAGCCCCTGATCTTTCTTTGAATCCCATAACTCAGAAGAAAGCCCGTCAGTCTAGGGGGGGGGGGGAAGGAAATCGGGAGACAAGCAGCTTTTTCATAGCATTTGTTAGTCGGAGAAAAGGCTGCCAGATCTGTCCCCTCCCCTTTTGCCGCCATGGCTCCTTCTCAGAAAGCTAAGAGAGCCTCTGCCTGTTCATCCTGCTGGGCATTTTGATAGCTTGCTTGTCCACAATAAAGTTTTCCGTTATTGTCTTAAATAGTTAGATTTACTTAAGATACCTTTACTGTTCTCTCATAAATCATTTAAACTTCAAGGGAGCAAGAAATAAATTTAAAAAACAGTAACAATTTGCGCTCAAGTGTTACCAATGGTGGCTGAGGAAAGCATCTTCTCCCCTTGTGGCTTCACAGAGTAACAGAGTTGGAAAGGACCTTGGAGGTCATCTAGTCCAACCCCCTGCTCAAGTATGAGACCCTATATCATCAAGGACAAAGCCGAGGTGGCGCAGCAGTTAGAGTGCAGTACTGCAGGCCACTTTAGCTGACTGTGTTCAGCAGGTCAGCGGTTCAAATCTCACCGGCTCAAGGTTGACTCAGCCTTCCATCCTTCCGGGGTAGGTAAAATGAGGACCCAGATTGTTGGGGGCAATGTAAATATATATATATACATTGCTTACTGGTGTACACCGCTTAGAGAGTGCTTGCACTTAAAGTGGTATACAAGTCTCATAAAATAAATAAATAAAATAAAATAAATGGCTGTTGGAGCACCCAGGACTTCTGGAGGCCAGCCCTTCCACTGGTTAATTGTTCTCATTGTCAGGAAATTCCTCCTTAGTTCCAGGCTGCTTCTCTCCTTTGCTTCTTGTCCTGCCTTCAGGCGCTTTGGAGAATAGCTTGACTCGCTCTGTTCTTTGTGGCAGCCCCTGAGATATTGGAAGGCTGCGATCGTGTCCTTCATTTCATTAAATTAGACGTACCCAATTCCTGCAACCTTTCTTCATACGTTTTAGCCTCCAGTGCCCTGATCATCTTCGTTGCTCTCCTCTTTAAATGAAAGCCACCAGAGTCCTTTTGGGTAGTGATAGTGAGATGGGAGGCATTTACATTTGCAGAGCCTCCCTCAGACACAGTCACTTCAGTCTGTTCCAAGCGGGGGGCCTGCTAGGATGCAGGTGGAGAGGAAGTGACTGGGGTGCAGCCTTGCCTACTTCCTTTTGGGCCTGGGGAAGTGGGCAGGCCAGCCACCCCTCCTCAGATCCCCCCAGCTAGTTAAGGCTGCCTGAGAGTCAGGTGACTGGATCCTAGCAGAATCCTTGGTGATCTCTTTTCTGAGTGTTCCTTTGCCTAACACCCCCCTCCCCTCCCAAGAAGCCACTGCTGGATCTCTCTAGCGGACCGATTTTAACTGCTTTCAAATCTCTAGTCCAGACATGTCAAACTCATGACGTCATGTGATGTCGTGCAATATATTGGGACAGTTTTGCCATTGCCGGCAAGGGGATGGGCGCGGCTTCCGCGTGACGCATCCGGCCCACCGGCCGGCAGTTTGACACCCCTGCTCTAGTCGAACCTTTAGGGAAGGCTGGGGAGGAGGTGACTGGGCGGCAGCTTCAGAGGGCCCCGGATGGATCATCAGCTCTCCTTTCAGTTGGGACTCAGGGCTGGGTATGGGACGGAGTTGGCACTGGTGGCACATATAGATGATCTCTGGCGGTAGAGATCTGCCCTCGCTCTTCTTGACCTCTCGCTGGCCTTAGGTACCATCGACCGTGGTGTCCTTCTGGATCGGCGCTGTGGGCTGGGAGTATTGTGCTGCTTCCCTTCTTTTCTGTGAGGCTGGAGCCCGTTGGTGTTAACTGGGAGTGAGAGGCCCCAGTCTCAGCCCGTGCCATGGGGTGCTGCCAAGGTCAGCACTCTCCCTCCTCCTCCTTAGCATCGGCATGAAGCTGCTACGGTAGGTGTGCTCATCCATCCCCAAAGGATGAGGCGTCACCAACATGCTGATGATATTCAAGCATATCCTTCTGCCCTGCTGAGCTACGCAGTGCGGCCGAGGTCTTGTCCTGCTTTCTGGAGACTGTGGGGCTGGATGGAGAACCACAGGCTGCAGCTCAGCCCTAGCGAGACCTCTGTGTTTTGGCCCTTCTGGCCTGGGGAATTTATCACCCTGGATACTTCACGGGGTGGAGCCCAGACACACAATCTGGGCAATCTGGGGGTCTCTGTAGACTCATGGCATCTGCTTGAGCTGTGGGTGGCAGCCGTGGCTAGGTGGGCCTTTGCACAACTTCATGTTCTGCAGCAGTTGCGCCCTTTTTCCCACTCATGGCCACTCACCCCTCGGTCTTCTGCAGATGCGTACTGGGACTACATTCTGAAGCTTCGGCTTGCACAGACCACAGCTGCCCAGGCACTTCCCACATGCCACACCTGTCTTCTGAAGGCTGCACTGGCTGCCACTTGGCTTCCAGGCGCAATTCAAATCCCTACATGGCACGGGACTCCCCCCCCCTTCTTCCTCACGCCTACCAAATGCACCAAGACCAACAGGAGGGGCATGTGGGGTCTCCAAAAGAGCTCCGGGTGGGATGACTTTTCTGCTGTGGCCCCCATCCTCTGGAATGTCCTTTCCTCCCGGGGTCCATCTTAATTAGCCTTCCAGAAGGTTCTTAAAACTTGGATCCCATGAGGAGTCATAAAGGTGGCTGTGTAAGATCAAGTGACTGCTGTTCTCCCACTATTTGGGTTTTTTTTAAAAAAATTATTTTGAACTGTTTTTACATTATGTCATCTTAACTGCTGCAGTCTGTACACTGCCCAGAGTCACATTTTAGTGGGATGATTGACTACACACACATGCTAAATAAACAAACTTGGCTATGTCTGAAGGTTAAGCTAAACACAGAAGAAATGGAAATTACAAAATACATTTTCTCAGCTGTTTGTTGGAAGGGGCGTGTGCTTCCTTGACAGCACAAGGAAAAGACAGCCAATCACCAGCCATCAGCACACCAACCAACCAACCGGAAGGCTCCACATAAATTCAACCCACAGGATAGCCCAAAGCACACATTCCGGTAGGCAGAAGTTCCAGCACACGTCTGAACGCTTGGAAGAGTAAGCCTCTGGTCCCCTCATCGACGAGGATTCGATCTTGCAACATTAGCCCGGGACAGGCGCATTTGCCTTCTTTCGGGAGGTGGCTTGGCCCACAAACGAGGCTCAGAATCACACCACGTCCCATCCAGCCATTTATTCGTAAAAACTGTACTTCGCCCAGAGCATTTAAATAAATACGTTGCAATTTAAGAAAAGGAAGGTGTTCCTGCAGGTAGTCCTTGATTTATGGTTGGTCATTTAATGACCGTCAAGGTTATGACAGCCTTGGAAAGGCTGCTTTACGACACTTCTGGCTGCAGTGAAACACTGGGCTGCCCCTCCAGTCACCTGCCCACATTTCGGGTGCTTATTGACCAGCTCATGTTTACGACTGTTTGCAGCCTCCCACGGTCACACAACTGCCATTTGTGTCGTTTTTTTGCCCATTTGGGAAAATGGATTTGCTTAATAACCACGTGATTTGGACTAACAACCCTGCAATTTGCTTAATGACTACCCTAAAAACAGTAAACAAGTAAGGCGGGCGCCTTGCCCTGTGACCACAACAACTTACGACTGAATTTCCCATCCCAGGTGCGGTCGTAAGTTGACAACTATCCACACTAAGCGAAAGAACTGCAGACGTACAAAAAGGAGGTGAAGAAGGGAGCTGCGAGGGCTGTGCCTAGAAAGGAGGTGTCTGGCCTAGGCCAAGCAGCGTACCTTGTCCTGGCTGTTCAGCTCCTGGTAGGGAATGTGTGCTGGGAGGTAAGTATGGAGAACGGCACAGAACGCCAAGCCATCGTTCCAGCTGCTGCTGAAGTTGGTGATATCGATATTCTGAAATGGGGGAAAACAAAGTAGGTAAGAGAAAGCCTGTCTTCTAGGAGCGAGCAAGGGGCTTATATCCTTAGGCCCAAAACACAAGGAAAGAGAAAACTGAACAGCAAGCAAACAGAAACAATGGAGTATAAAAGTTTACATTGGTGGGGGAGAGAAAAACACAGGGGAGAGGGAATACGTTGCAGAGACACAAGAGTCTCCTGCTAAAGCCTCTTTTCTGGACAATCTGGGGTCACCCATTTCACCCCAGGCAACACTCCAGTGAGGGGACCATGGGCTGCTAGCCTCCAAGAATCCCTTAAGCAAACAAAGACAATCTGCATCCTGCTCGGAACAGGAAACCCAATTGGAGCATCCCTGATGGATGGATGGACAGATGGATGTTTCTCTGCTTCAAAATTCCTGCTGTGTCTCTGGATCAAGGGATGCCCTGCCTGCCTGCCTGCTCTTCCTCCAAGCCTGGCCCTCTGGGATGATGAGAACCGTCCCTGACGTTGTCCCAGATACGGGAGGGAGGAATGCCGCCTCCTTCTGCTTCTCTTTGGGGTTCTGGTCACGCAGGCATCCTTCTGCCCTCCACTGACCCTGGGTCAGGTTCTGTCTGCATCATTTCTGACCCTGTGGCTTCAGGGTTTTATCAAGCAAAATAGTAGTATTAAATGCTGGGTTTACAGAAGAGGAGCCTCTTTCAGCCAGACAGTATTTCCACGAACCACTGAAGAGAAAAGTTTTGCTTTGTCACAGAAAACACCTAAAACTTGGGTTCTTCTCTCCCGAGGCAGCCTTGGGCGTCCTGGGGTCAGATTAAAGCCCCAGAAGAGCAGCGGAGAAGACATCCCTTCCATCCCTCTGATCCCCACAAGATCTCAGGTTGTATGTGAGGAGTCTGAAGCTGACGCAGCTACACAATGGGATTTTTTAAAACAATTGAATGTGGCTTTTTAGAAAGGATATGAGATTCTTACAAACACAGGGGCTGGAATGAGAAAGCAGGATGTGGACGTGCCCTTGCCTGATTTCGTTTGTCTCGTAGATGGTGAGAACATGCTTAGCGCTCAAGCCCATCCAGAGGGAATCTCTGCCCTAGTCAGTAACCTTTGGCAGCCCTGGAGTTTACTCAGGTTCTTGATCCCATACATACATCCGGCAGGGTGTAAACGTCCCCTGTTTTGGGGGCTTATATGAGATCATCTCACCTATTTAAGGTTGCTGGCAAGTGCCCAACTGCGCTTAGCGTTAATTCTAAGCGAGCGAAGGTAGATGAACATTTCTGCGAAGGAGCCTGTAATAAGGTTACAGCCAGTTTATGGAAGAACTGCTGACCGATGGCAACCTTGCTACCCTCCATGTTTGCTCAATTTGCTAAGCCACCGACAACTAAATGCCGAGGTCTTATCTCTCTCTGGGCGATGCTCAAACACGAGGGCATGAGGTATCTAGCACAATGCTGAGAGACCACTGAGAAATCGGCTACACACGCTGCTAAGTTTTTTTTTCTCAATTAAATATATTTGTCAGCACAGAAATGTCAGTATAGATAACTATTGCCAACCAACAGTAAGCACTTGTATTTCTCTGCATGCAGGATTAATTCCATTATTACAAATGGACGTCAGGTTGGTTTATGTATTTGCTAGCCAGACAATTCTTCTCTGACAACATTATTTTATTTGTTCCTTTCTATTTTGAATGGAAATGTGTCTCAGAATGTCAGAAAACTACAGTGACATTTGATAGCTACAGAAACAATCTGATGGATTTACTGCCCGTTAATGGAAGCTGCAGACTGATTAGAAGGCTGGGAAAATGTAGTCACAATATAAATGGGAAAAACAAATCCTCCAGAAATAAATGCACAATTTGCTGAATTTGGACCATCTACAGCTACACATTTGTAAAAAAAAATAGAACAAAACAAAAGAACCATGAATAAACCTATCTTTTTATAGACATATCTTGTTTAAAAAAATCTATCTAAATATAAAAGATACAAGGCAAAGAAAATTAACTCCCTTCCCCATAAGATGATTCCAAGTGGTGTCAGAATTTTTGGAATTGTCCCCCACTCTTTTCCTAGCCACAGAGTTCACTGCAACCCAATATTTCAACTTTAGCTCACTATAACCCTCTTTAAAGTGCCTGTTTGGGATTTATAATACTCTAAACCACTTGACTTCATTAAGAAAAACAAAAGTATAAAAACAAACATTAATTTCTTAGCCCTTTGCTGAAGAGGTACTTTCCTAACAGAGTTGTATCTAACTGGTGTTAGATCTGCCAGAAACACCATTTTATAGATACGTGGCACTGAGATTATGAAATGAAACAGGTAACTCCACGATGAAGGCTTCATTCTCTGAACAAACACAATAACATTCAACGAGTCCTGAGGTCTGAGCCTCGCAGGCTCCCTATTGCAAGACCTGACTCGGTGCAGAAAATCCACACTCAGAGCACTGGGCTGTCCACGCTATTAATCATGGGAGTATCAGACAAATTTGAGCTCAAGTCTCAACCTTCTCTGAATATATTTACTTTTTTTGGTTACAGTCCCAGACCCATAAAACAGAGGCGCAACATTTAGGACATGGGGAAAACCCCCCACATCTGAAACAGTTCACGTTGAGAACAGGGTATCAACTCATCTCTCTGAGCCACAGCTATTGCTAGAAACTTGGCAACCTTTATGGTGTTGCTCCCATAGGGCAGATCTTGTTGAAGCAGGACTAATCTCCTGATCAGAAAGACAACTACAATGTCTAAGCGATGAGTTATGGACGTCAGAGGCCAAGGATAGCACAATGGGCACAGCAGTTACTTGGCCTCTGCATCTGAGCAGACATACGTAAGGTAGCTCCACAGGAGGCCGGGATATTTGCCTCGAGTCTCCAAAACAAACCAATTTGAGAAAAGGGAAAAAAAATCTTGTACGGAACAGGCAGCATATTATATAGGACAATGGAGAATCTACAAGAGGACCATAATAATGGCAGGTGTTTTTAAGCCATATTTTTGTAAGGCTATAGCTCAAATTCTGTTTAAATTCAATTAAGACTTTATCTGGGTTGAGGTATGACACTGTCTGGAGTGAGAAGAAAGAATATGCCAGCTGCCTAGAGTCAGTTTGCCTTCCCAGCGATAAAAAAAAAAACCCTTTTAGGAGGGCAAGATGACCCCAGGACTCCCCCTGAGAAATGAGCTTTGGGGAAACGGCTCCATGGGGGGAGACGCAGCCAGGCTCAGCCTTTGTGTTGAGCCAGGATGGCTTTCAGAAACCTGGACTGAAGAGCTTTTAGGGCACCTCACTTGATTGTAGTTACTGCTTTAATCCTTAGGCTCCTGCAATGACCTCAATTGGCACAGAAGCATTTGATGCAACAAAAACCTGGGAAGCTGACGATCACTGAAAATACTCAGATCGAACGGGAGCATATCCCAGTCTAAACAAGGGTATTTTGGGGCCAAAGTATTCTCTGAATGCATCCAAAGTAAATATTATGGTATAGAAATCAAGCATATGTTTATTAACTGGATGGCAGTTAGGCAAATTCTGTCTTTATGGTATACTGAGAAAATATACAATAATTAAATCCCTCTTTGGGTAGCAGTAAAAATTATTAATGCTAGCCGTGGGGGCCGAGGCTAGTGCCGAGACTCACTCATCGGCTTATATTTTTAATAGTTTTGCAAAATTGCATGGAGCCAGATACCAATGTATATAGGAAAAGTCCATTCTTTCGTTCCATAGCAAAAAGGAGGAAGTGTTGACCGACAACTGCATGAGGCCGAGATCTCTCCCCAGAAACCAAGACAGCCACAGTGGCAGCTGCTTAAAAATACCAGGCAACCAGGCAAGTGAACGGCAAAGCGATCGGTGCCCGCAGGTTAGCTGTGGAATGAGTTTGGAGCATTTAAGAATCTGGCATAAATGATTTAATGGGCCTGGAGAAGTTAGAAGAATCGTTCCTGTTAGACCATTTTTAAAGAATCTGAAAAAAGTTATTATTATTCAGATTCCATTGATTTTTAAGCGCTGCAATTAACTGTTTTTAGGATTGTTTGATAAAAATAAAAGATAAATATTTTAAAACATTTTCTAACACAAGTGACCTCACAACCAGCATGCCAATAATCATGGGGAGGACATATGTTAATTAACATCATTCCACTAACTCAGGGGTCCCCGACTTCTGGACCGTGGCCGGGGGGTGTTTGCAACCGGGCCGCGGAAATGGTGGAGGAGCACACGTGCACACCCCCCCACTTGCACAAGCAGTGGGTGAGTACATGCACTCCATCTGCATGAGCAAATGTGCACACCACTTGCACAAATGGAGCTGCGCGCATGTGCGATCTTGCCAGCCGCTCAAGCGGAATCACCCCTCCCCCCTCCCCCGCTGGTCCACATGCGATTCAAAGATGATTTGTACGACAAAACATTTTACACTGTACTGTTGAACACTGATTCTGTTCGTTCTTAGAAATATTATTTTTATTTTGATTCTTTACTGTGGACATTCTGTTGTGTATCTGTTGGGACTGGAAATTGCCATTGCTAAGTGATACAGGACACAACACCCCCCTCCCCCCCATTCATTCCACAACCATAGAAACAGGAGAGGGCAGGGAGCGATTCTGCTTAAAGCAGCCGTGTGAATCTCTGCCTGCCTACAAAGAAGACCTGATATTCAGACACAACACCCGCTCCGAACTGCAGATCCAGACGGAAGAGCTTCAGAACGCGGCGCTCCATTTCGGCATCTCCAGATTTTTGATAGCACTGATTAAAATGAGCAGCCTTCATGGTTCCCAGGCTCTCTTTCTGAAAAACCCAAAGGACAGCACAGAACGAGAGGACTGCCGTGCGGTTCTTTTGAGTAGGGAATAAACTTCCACGGTCTAAGAGACCAGCAGAGATTATTCCAAGTCTCGGCTGCCTTTTATTTGTCCGACTGAGAGGTTCCATTCCGCGCGCTTTCTCTTCACATACGTGTGAAGAGAAAACAGCCATTTCAGAGTGTCAGCTACTCTGTCAGGAAAGATATTTACCTTGTGCAAAGTAACTAGAGTAGCTATTAATAATTGTTCAGCTGGGATGCACAGGATCTGTTCCTGCAAGCACAGGACATCCTGGCTCTCCCGCGACCGAGGTGGCGGAGTGTGGCACAGCCTCGCTGCCCTCCGCCCGGCTCTCCCCCCCACCTGGGCTCCTGGCAGAGGCCCAGCCACGCTTACCTCGTAGCCCTCCGTCTTCTTCTGGCACCACTTCAGCAGAGCGTTTCTCTTGGAGCCCCCGTACTCCCTCGCCAGGGCAGACAGGGGGTCTTTCCTCTCCTCTCTAGAAAGGAAGGAACAGTTTCATTCAGCAAAAATCAAAGCCCCCCCAAACACCGAGATGCGCCACCTGCGTGGGGAGCCCCTTCCGTCACCAGGAGCGCCCTGGCCTAGGAGGCTGCAGCAGGCTGGGCGGGTCGCTCGGCACACTGGGGCAGATTTGGGGAAATGGGGGCAGAGCGGGCATTTCCCCCCACACTCACGGAATCACAGTCAGAAACACTTGATACATATACATGAGATGTAAACATGAAGTGTTCCTAAACTTTACTTCGAATTTAGAGAATCAACTGATAAAATCTCCCTGCCTGGTTCGGAATGTCACATTGACCGGTTGGGGCGTTCATTGCCGAGAGACACCCTGTACTGAGGCAACGCAGGTGGTGGCCACCACCCTGGAAAATAGCCCACCTCCTCAAATCTCCTGCAATAATCTTGAGACACGGAGAGGTCCTCTCGCACAAGGGGAGGCCTCCCTGTTCCCTGGCCAAGAAGCAGAGGCCAGGCGGGAACCAAACAGAGGCAGCAGCCCTGGAGCAGCCAGGCTCCCTTAAGCGCCTCTCCCAGATGCCCTGAGCTTCAAGTCCCAGGAGGCTGGAAAGGTGGGGGAGGGGACAAAGTTTGAGACAGCAACCCCACAAAAAGACCACATTTCATAGGGCTTGTTCTTCTCAAACCTTTTCCCTTAAGAAAAAAGAAAGGAAGACATAACAGGACCGGAAATGTACAGCCATCTGGCAGTGCCGTGGCCAGATCAAGGAGGACCCCCTCCTGTGCCAATTGCCTTCAAATGAGCAGGAGAAGCAGGCCGCTGTTTACTGCCAAACTCCATTCATTTCAAACGTGGAGAGGGAAACTCCTCAGATCTTTGGGATTCGTGCTGTTTTCTTTTAAAGTTAATCTTAATTTATGTAAGGCATTTATATGCCATGTGGCTCTAGGTAGTTTACAATAAACCTAAAGACAAGAAAGCAAAATAAACCATGAAATGAAAATCCAAAACAAAAGCCACAATAGGCCAGTGTTTCTCACCCTTGGCCACTTGAAGATGGCTGGACATCAATTCCCAGATTTCCCCTGGAAGTTGAAAGCCACACTTCTTCAACCAGCCAAGGTTGAGTAACGGGCAATTACTGCTCCCCTCCAGGTGGGGCCCCAGGGTTGGAATGTCTTCCTAGGGCCAGCCGTGTATCGGGGGGGGGGGGCTGTTCCAGAAGGTGGGGGCTCTAACCGAAACGCACGCTTCTCAGGTCCCGTCGGACAGTCCAGTTTCAAGGAAGAGGCCCATCCGTTGGCAGTGTGTGGAATGGGCCAATACCACACCATACAGCGTGGCAGTTGTTTTGTTGCCTTCTTCCAGGGTACTTTTCCAATTCTTAGTCCAGCCTTGACATTTCCGGTCCAAGGACCAACCACATTGGGATCTGCTTATGCTTCCTGGGATCGGCCGAGGGTGCTGCTCCTCCTGCAGCTCTAGTTGGAGAAAGGTTAGTCTTCAGGGAATTGCTTTCTATCGCCCAATTTCGGAAGTGGCAGAGAACTGCAAGAAGCTTGTTTTAGCCTCCTTGCAAACCTGTTTTTTTTTTTGTATTTAACTAGGCAGGAGCAAAATTTGGAGTGTGGCCCTTTTCAGGAAGCCTGCTCCAGACCCAAATCTGTGGGTTTGGTCTTGGGCACTAGCGTGGACCCAGAAGCGTGCAGGCTGAAGGACAGGGAGGCAGGTGGCATGCAGTGGCTGTGAGGAGATAGGAAAAGGTGGCCCAGGGGAGACTGAGGAGGGGCAAGGAAAAGGCCACCACCTTTGAATGGGGTCTATGACAACTGGCCACGCCAACTCGCTACGGGACAAGAGTTATGCTACTATCAAAGAAATGGTGGAACAGAATCATTAAAGAAAGGATGGCAAAGGAGGGACAGAATGAAATGTGAGTGACAAAAATTAAAATATTTTTTTAAGTAATTAAATAGAATTGTTAAACTGTCCCGCGGCAAGTTGGCCATGGTGAATTGGCCGTGGTGAGTTGGCCAAGGTGGGTTGTCCCATTCCGCCTTGAACGCCCGAAGCTCACCCACCCTCCCTGACGTGGCTGCCAGCATTCCCCGTGCATTCCAACAGAGCCAGCTGGAAGTGCTGTGCTCGGATTCATAAGTATGACGGCGCACGGTGGGAGGTAGGGAAAGGAAGACCCTGGAAACACTGAAAGACAGGAAGACCCGGAGGCCATGCAGTGGAGAGAAGGTGCCTCAGCGTTGCCCTGCTTGCTGGTCAAACCCCTCTAGGATGTTTTTTAGCTGAAACCAGTCCAATGTTCCAGGTTTTAGTTTGGCTGAACTGGGTTCAACCTGAGTTGAACCTCTGAACCACAGCGCACTTCGTCTGAATGCTACATAAGTGCAGTTCCCATTTGATGCACACTGTCAAGAGTTAATCGCTATATGCCTTCTAGCTTCTTCCACTAATCAATTTGCCAACAAGAAGGGGGCAGGGGTGGGAAGCGAAACAAGGAAACAGGATGCCAAGAAGCCGTTCCCAAACCGTGAGAGCCTCCAAAACGCCAAGGTCACTCTACTGCAGATTCTTGATGAAGAAGTGAACTGTTCCCATAACATAAAGAAGTTTTATTATTGGACAATGTGAACACCCGAGGGGTTAGGGTTGGGGGACAAGGGAATCTATTGTTTAACTAGGCAAGCTTTCGCACGGGAAAAATCAGAGCTGGTTTTGCTTCTTCAGTTCCAAGATGGTGTATCCAATAAAATTTTATCTTTTGGGAGTTAATTGGCCTGAGGGTTCCTTTTGTTGGGTTTGCTAATCGAACCATAGACACACACCTTCTATAGAGGTGTGCAAAATCCAGAACTGCCATATCAGGGATAGCGCATACATTTAATAAATAAATAAAACTCCACCTGCAACTGAAAACAGAAGAATCAAGGACCACTGTTGGCTCCCTGCGGTTTTGTTGGGACTACCTTTCTCTATGTATAAGAGTAACCGCAAACTGCTGATCCACAAAGAATGCAATCTTTCCAAGAGGGGTCCCTCAGGATCACATGTAGGAACTGTGACATCCCTCAAAACCAAGATTTGCAAGTTTTCATAGCAACTGCGCACTGAGAATCTCACCTGACAAACCAGAAGTCTAAATAATGATTTCTGTAGATCCTCTTACTTTCCAAATGTGCTGGCCAATCTGACTTCCATGTTCAGAAAGGAAATGCTTGGAAAATATAAATCTAAGTCTTCAAGTAGCAGTAAAATTGTTTCAACGTAATGTTTCAACATAAAGAAAAGCATTATATTTTCCCCACCAAAAGGAAAAAAACCTGCAAACATCACTCTCCTTCAATTGTTTTTTTTCCCAACTTTTGTAATTCTGTAATATTCTTAGTATCAAAACACCATATCCTTCTCTCGTTTGATCCTTTTTTCCCTACTTTGAAGCAGATGCTATCTATTTAGCAGTCGCCAGCATGCTAAAATGTGATTAGGAAATGGCACGTGTTGTGTTTTATGAGGTGTAGCTTCATCCGTCCCACCTCCCCAGCTCAGCTCAAATCCATTTTTCATTCTCATTTTGCAGCCCCTTTCAGTCAACCTGTAATCCTAAAGCTCTTCAATGCCTCTGCAAGAATTCCCCAGAATCGCCCCTACTTTGCCAAGCTTCCTCCTCTATGATTCTGGTTGATAAGAGTTTTAACTAGATACCTATGGATATAAGAACATAAACCATATGTTAAGAATATTTTTAAAAAGTCTGAACCACATCTTTCTTTAACAAGAAAACAAAAATCTAACTACCCGTAAGACTGCAAAAGAACAGTACAGCTTGTTTCTAAATTCCAGAGAGGAACACATTTTATGTCAAGTTCTTTGTTTTGAAAATAATGTTTCAGGAAACAAATAAAATGAACTGTGTGGACACAATGAAAAGTGGTTTACAACAAATATTAATCTTACAAATGAGTCTGTCTGTTAGGTCAACTGCATGCCAAGCCCAAACCAGTTTAACTGTTTTTTATATTGGCATTATAGACCTTAACTAGCATATTGTTTAGGCATACGTTTTTCATTTCTAAGGATAACTTTATTTTAATACTTACATATCTAATAGATTATTTAACACCCATACTAATATATTAAATAAACATACAGAAATTGTTTAATAACCTATTCTTTCATTGGATGGCACTGCACATTAAAATCTGGTTAGGTAAAAATAAAATATCTATTCTTTACAATGTAATTGTCAACCTGGTGTGTTTTACTACAAGCTGGACAGAGCTGGTTTAAATCAAAGTAACATCAGGACAAGTTGAAGGTTAGGGTTTTGCAGGGTTATATTTTATATTTTGATACTGTTAGCTACCTTCAGCCTTGGAGAATGGGCAGCTTACAAGCAAAATAAATAAATATTTGAAGCAGGCAAACCACCAGTATGCTGCAGCTACCAAAAACAGATGCCAGTTTTACTACATTAAAAGAAGCATTCTTTTTTATAAATCAAGCTACCTCATTCCTACATCATATTCTAGAAAACTCTTTTTTCACTATTAAGACATATTTGAAATAATCTATCCAGCATATGTCATTCAACTTGAAAAAGAAAGAGAATTTTGCTGGGAACCTCTAGAGAATGCCGAGGCTCACAAATCTGATAAACAAGCTGGGAGGACAACCAGGAGGAGAAGCACCAGGGGGAATGGAAGAGCAGAAGATCCAGGACGGTAAATGGCCTCAGAAATAAGAAGTGCTGACAGAGTTTTCTGTGCTGACAGAAAACCAAACTAGAACCAGAGAGATGCAGGAGGAATGAAGCGGTATCAGCCTAGAATCCCTACGTAGCCACAAGCAGACCAAGTCCAATCCCTCCTTGAATTCCCTGGACCCTTATCTAACTCCAAGCAGGTACTGACCCATTAATTGAGAGTATTCCTGCCCACTGACATGATTAGCAATAAATCAGCTTAACTGGACCTTCGCTGATTTTTCCTGCCTTACCTGGGAGGATAATATAGGGAAGCAACTCAACAGAGTAGGGATGGCTGGCGGCTGTAAGCGCAGGTGTGGAGAGTTGCTTAACAGGGAATATCTTCCTCAAAGGCTACCACCACCTTTTCTTTAAAGAGCACTTAATTGGAAGACTGCTCTAATTGCATCTAGCAAAGCATGGGGGGGGTTGGACTACGTGAGGTTCAAAATTCCCCCCAAAAAGTGTAAGAAGAGAGTTATATGTGAACAATTGACTTTTTTTCTTTCCCGGAGCAGCAAAGCATTTGAGCAGGAACTCATGTCTAAAGCCCTTCAATGGACTATTGTGGTCCTCTCAGACCGCTGTTTGTTGCAGTATCTAACTTCCAAATATGCTTCATCCACCATTAAGGAGCTCACACTAAGCTCATTCACTCTTGATGCAGCCACGGATTTCAAAGTATACAGGAATGAGAGAGAGAGGCATTTTTGCACTATGATGTGGATTAAAAGCAACTAGCCAGAGGCAAGAGGGGAGAATGCCCGGCATCCAGCCCAGGGGATTCTTCAAAAGTACGCAAGTAAAGGCCAGCAAATGCTCCAACAATGCAGACATGCTCCCAAGTGGCGAGGCAGGTGCCAGTCAGGGTTAGGAAGCCCAATGGGGGGTCCCAGTGATGAACCTCAGTAGTTCTGCTGGTCAGGGCCCAAATGGAAAGGAGCAATGAGCTGTACCTTATTCGATTCCGTGTTGTAGGAGTGACCGATGCTGTTGGTGAAGATGAGAGCGACAGTTGTGGCGAAGCGGTCCCAATTGCTACAAGGGAGGCTGGAGATGTTCCATCGGGAGCGGTCATTTCCCGTTTGATTTCTTCGCTGCTTCGGCGGGACACTTGAATGGAAAATTGGAAAGCCTGGTGTTCAATTTCATGCTGGATCCTACATTTGCAATCTGAGCATTTTAGTTCCATTAGCAACCTCGGTGACAGTAGATGCTGCTGCCACTGAGTTTGGCCAAAGGAGCAAAATCTATGCTTGTTCCAGAACTTCAAAGAACATACTCTAAGAGCTTAAGATGTTATTCAGAAAGAAACCATTTTTATTTCATTGCACTTACTCTATGATCTTAAGTTGTAGAAGCTCTATTCCACATACAATATCTCACAATGTGTTTGGCAAGGAACAACTCTCATCTGTTTGCTTTAATCTATCTACAATGTCACATAGCAATAACCATTTTCCTTACACATCGCCTGTTAACTGCACTCACTGGGATTGGCCTAAAGCAGGGGTCTTCAATCTTGACCCTTTTGACTTGTGGACTTCAACTCCCAGAATTCCTTAGCCAGGCACGCTGGCTGAGGAATTCTGGGAGTTGAAGTCCAGAAGTCATAAAAGGGCCAAGTTTGAAGACCCCTGGACTAAAGCTAGAGTTGAGATTCACCCATTTCTGTGTGTTATTTCACAATCCACCAATATTATAACAAAGTAGACCTTCATACCAACATATCCAGAAGTCCTAAGGGACATTCTCACAAATGTACATTTTCTAAGGGCATTCACAACACAGTGTACGAAGAATTGCTTGCCTCCACAGTACCCGTCATTATTCCATTACCACATTATTACCAGAGAGAGATTTAGCACTTTCCATAGCAGGAACTCTTGGCAGAGAAGCTGGTCTGCTAGTAGAAGAAGTTCTCAGCAAATGATCTGCACAGAAAGGGAAGGAGGAAACGTCATCTCAACCTCAGCACAATCCTGACCTGATCCTGCCTGCAGGGAGAGGCGACAGAGTGGATGGCCCCATACGATAAAGACCAAGTACTTGTGTGTATGCGCGTGTGCCCATACGTGAACGCTGGCTTACTGCTTCATGTGTGGTGGGTCCCAAACATGAGACTGTTCATCTAACCTTTAAAGTGCAGAGGAGAATCAACGTTGCCTTCACCTGTGAAAAACTGGTCACTTGGGCTGTAAGGCAGCATTTTTCTGAGGCTGCAACTTGGCTGGGAAATTACTCTGCAAGCAAAAATTGGCTTTTCTTTCTCTCAAATACCTTCTTCCCCAGGCTAAATATACTTTTCTTTTACTGAGAACCTGATTATGTCCTAACTGTTAGCATATGTACTGTAGCTTCTTTTCTCTAGTTTATCACCCCGCTTCTATTGCACTGCATTTGTTTAATTTTGATTTTGGAATGTTTTGTTCCAAACCACACTGAACATTATTTTTCAATTAAAAGAACGGGATGAAAGTGGTTAATAAAATAAATCAAATGATGCTGCGTAAAACTCAGTTGTGTAGTATTTTCTGATCTAGGGCAGAAGGAAATGCTGCTGATGCAATGGTTTGGCTGGCAGGGCCCTTTCTCATTTCTGTATACAGTACACTAATTTAGATTCCAATTTACTTTCCCGTGTATATTAAATAATGCCAATGGCATGCAAAAAACAACCCAAAAAGACCAGAACAAAGTATTATTTTAAGCGGTGGAAGAATTTCCATTGTTGATACTGTGCTGTTATTTCTCCAGGTTCAAAAGGAAGCCTATTCCTTGTTCACATGAAAACTATTCTTGTGAAAGTCTATTTTAAAAAGCCCAGCCATAAATCAAAGAGCTACACCCAGATCTGAGAACCATTCATTCTTACCGGAAGGGTAAGTAGGAAAGGGAAAGTTGATAAGTAAACCTACCAAGCACCAGAAAAATATTTGGAAATGGAGAAATAAACATTCTAGTTTGGTATCGTCACATTTTTTGCTCAAGAAATACTGTCCTAATGGTAGCAAAAGTGAATAGGGAGAGTAGGTTGTGTCCGAGAACTGTGCAGGAGGAGGACTCTCTATATACAGAGGAAAATTTGAATTTGGAGTCGGAGCCTTCTGAATAATCTTTCAAAACCAGTGAAGTGTCTCGCTTTGGGCTCAGCCGTCATCAGAAGACGTTTCAAAGATAAACCACTCTCGTATTCTGGAACGATCCAGCAGAGACAGGCAACAAGCCACAATTCAGCCTAGCCAAGCCTTAGAAAGGTATCGCAGGCGGTCAGTGGCTCTACCTTCGGATAAAGAAGTGGAGCTGATCTGCCTTCTGCAAAGGTCCTTCCAGCTCAACCCCCATCAGCGCCTGTTTCGGAACCATGGAAAATTCTGGAGGGTTCTAAAAATGTGCTGGGGATGTTCCTAGCAAAAGACGCCTCTTACCTTGAACTGGAATTTCTGCATAGCTGGACCTTTTGTCTGATAAAGTAGCAAGCGGCTTAGAAGCAGATATTGGTCCACTGATGGAGTGTCTCTGAAGGGGGGAAAATTATTTTTGAGAAAAGGAACCAGTTTACTAAATCTCAACTGTTGTCATTCACCACTTGAATATTATGCTATTTGAATTTTAAACACATCTCCAAGAGAGGCACCACTAACCCCAGTAAGTCATTATGATTTAGCTGAGCACGTAATGGCAGAAGATCAGGTTCAAAACTAGTTCAGCCATCAGCTTATGTCGCAGATAAATGACTCGTTACAAAGATTGTGGTTATCAGGCTTCGCTGGAGACCTTGTTTCAAGATTCCCTAGAGGGTAATTGAGTATGTTAATTAGAATAGAATAGAGCTGGAAGGGACCTTGGAGGTCTTCTAGTCCAGCCACCTACTCAAGCAGGAGGCTTATACTAGTGACTGTCTAGCCTCTTCTTGAAAATCTCCAGTGATGGAGCGCCCACGATTTCTGGAGGCAAGCTGTTCCACTGGTTGATTGCCCTCACTGTCACGAAGCTTCTCCTTAATTTTAATAGAATTATAATTAATCATTAGATTCACAGGGGTGAAGACTGAATTGGTACCTTAAGGAACCTTTGCAGGAATCTGTCAGGCAAACCAGATGTAGGCTAGCCTGGCGGTCATGAAGCCTAGTTTAGCCATTATTTATTTGAATTTATTGGCTGCCCAACCCCAGTAGACCCTGGGTGAGGTACAAAATGTGAAAAGATATAAAAGCAGCTAAAAATATTAAATCAAGCCAACGGCCCAGATTAGCATACTCTAATAAACAACAAAATCTAGAAGACCAAAGACGGACATTAAGCAAACGACAAGCATCAAGCACAAACCCAAAGGAAGGTTTCCAAAGCATTCTGGAAGACCAGGAGAGAAAGTCCTGATCTTTGGGGGGGATCCTGTTCCCCTAACAGAGAAGGCACCCTGCCCAGGCCCCACAAGATGCCACTATTTAATGGAGAGCACCCGCTCAGCTGTACTGGGTAGGCAGAAGCAATTGGAGACAAGCCAATCTCTCAAGTGTTATGCAGATGGTCCTTGCTTAATGACAGCCCTACTTAGCGACTGTTGAAAGTAACTTTATGACCAATCCTCACATTTACAACCGTCGCCAGATCCTGCAATCAGGAGATTGCCATTTGCAGGCTGCCCAGTGGGCTGTGTAGAGGCCATGGAGCAGCTGGCAATAACATTGTGCTCATGTGATGTCTTGCTTAATAACTGTGTCGCTAAGCAATCAAGTTGCTATCCCAATTTTGGTTGTTAAACAAGGACTTCCTGTATTGCTGGTATTCCCGACTAGGGGTACTTATGAAAACAGGAACAAATAACAAGCTAGAGGGTTTGCCCCCATTTCTACTTCTCACTTAATCCACTGCTGAAAGGGCTCCCCGATTTCTGATCTCAGGCACTGCAGTTACGATTGTTCCAGTTAATCATAGTTTGTAAGAAGTTTTAAACTAGCATTTCTCACTTCCGGTCTGTTTCCCTAACTGTGGCTCAGAAAAGGAGGCTGCCCCCTTTGCATCCTAAGAAATATGTGGATCGTTCCCTCTAGGAGACCTTGAGATATGCAAAGCCACCTGGCCGGTCCAAACAGACAGCGGGAGCCACACCATTGATGTTGTTTGGGTATTACTATGGGAAGCCGAACCCAAGACACGCTTTCCAGAAAGACATCCGGTTCCTTTTCTTTGTGTAAAGCCATCCCTGTTGCCAGCCTGCGTGAGGCTTGACCAAACCCGCAAAAGCACTGACCTGCATGGGGGAGACGGCAGCTGCCGGAGGGGTTTTCAGAGGGCTTGGGCTGAGTGGAGTCCGGGGAATTGTAGCTCCAGCAGGACTAGGAACTAGGGAAGAAGAAAGCGGGTCCAGGTTTATATCTAATGGCACAAGTATCCTAGAAGAAACCCTCTCCGCCTTTTCTCATTATCAAGTAAACAGAAACAAGCACGGCTGGCGAGGAAAGGGTGTCTCTTTCTGGGTGCCTCCAGGCAGCCCGGACACTTTCACTGCTTTCTTAAGGTAAGGTCTGCACTGAAGAGGGCAAAGAAAATTCCTCGGAATTTGCATTTCAGGGGGATGCTCAAGAAGGCGCTGTCTACAGAGCCACAGGGGCTGCCCCATAAGGCCTCCATTCCCCCCAGCATGGACGCCTCTTGCAGCACTGGAGTTTTTAAATTTCCTTCTGTCTGCCTAAGTCTAATACGTTTCAACTGGTTCCTTCACAGCCAGAACTTTAAACGTTGAGCAGATCAATGTAGAACAATTTACTGTAAGGGTGCATTGTTTAGTTTTAGTGCTGCTTTTACTCCTAGAATACAGACTGAAGTAAAAATAATAGAGACAAACTAAGAATTTAATTGGTGCACACAATGGGAAAATTAAATGATACTAAGATGAATGAGACCCCCCTGATGGGTCCGTGACACTTAGATCTAAAGAGGCTAAATTGGTACTTTCTTAGAGCATCTGTCAATTAAAATGCTTTGACAGATGAACCAGAAGCTTTAGTAGTCTCAAAAAACATCCAGAGATGACCTATTTTTGAGCTCTGTTTCCTTTATTCTTACCCCATTTTTGTCATTTCTGCCATTTGTATTCGTTTTTGTTGTTGCTTCCTTGTTTTTAAATGCTTCCAGAAATTTGTATACTGCCCAATCATTGGGATTTAAACTGATTCCTTTCTGGAATAATGCTGTAACATATATAACCACATGTGGATAAATGTTCTAATCATATTCCAAAAATATGTCTATTTTTGTGGAACTTTGGTTATATTGATTGTGGGAAATAGCCAAGTAAATTACACCAAGAGACTGGAAAGGTGCTATTCCGCCATGCTTCAAGGACTGAATTCAGGAAATGTGCAACTCCTTTAATTTTTGAAAATTATTTTTTGTTTATTCTTTTTTTGGGGGGGTTGTTAAAAGAATTTAAATATTAGATTACTCACTGGATGGCTGTATATAACCTTTCTTAGCAATGTTTCTCTTTGCTGTTTGTTCTTATTGTTTTTGTTGTGCTATAAGTTATTTTCTCTGTATTTTTTAGAACTGCTACAGAATACGTATCTATTTTAAGACAGATGCCCATTAGTGATGACCTTATTTGGGAAGGCATTTGTCCCACTGGAGCTGCCGTTTCCTTTCAGCTACTTTATTGGTCCCCTTTTCTTCTGTAACTCCTACACGGAGACCGACTCATCCCAGTAAATCCTTTGGGACCAAGTAGGGTGATGCAGAGTGCAGGCAAGCAATGTGGAATCACAAGATACACAAATTAAAGGCAGGACATAAGAAAACAAAACAAAATACATCTACTAAAATAATGCTTGATTTACCATTAAATCACCCTGTGGGATTAAGAGTATGAAGTGAAGTTCCTGTATAATGTTTCACTCGTTTTATGTAGCTCCTTAAAGAAAAATTACCTTGTGAGGCGCTATCGAAGGATTTGATGAGGGTTTTGACCGTGGGGGTCGGTTCCGAAGATGTGGAGGACCTCCGGCTCGCCCCCATGCCTTGCCGCAGAGCTGCCAAGTCTCTTTCCACAGCATTCATGTAGTTGTAAACGCGGCCACGTTCCTCTTCTTGCCTACGTGTCAGAGGAAACCCAACAAGATGCACTTTCAAAGGTCTGACTGAGTAGCCTCTGTGACCCTGGCAACAACAGCCTGAGTGGAGAGCATACAGTGTGTCTGAAGGATGCAGGGACCAGATTATTGCCTCATCTTTTCAACGGCTAAACATTCTAAGGGAAGTAACAAGCACGTCCCCTTTTACAACATGAGAGCATTTTGGAATGAAGAAGCATTTTTTCATGTTTTGAAGTACTATCAAGGCATCTTCCATCTGGTGATCTATAAATGTGTGAAGAAAGAAAGCGCTATAGCTAAAGCAAAAAGAGTGTGTTTTGTATTTAGCACATGAGTAAATGGGGGAGGGGGAATCAGGCACTGCTCAGTCAGATGCTCTTAAGAGGTGAAAAAAAGGGGATAAAGGGCGTAACAGGGAAGGAACATCACATTCATATATATTTTTGCCATCACTCTCTCAATGAGCATTTCTTAAAACTATAAATAGATTGTTATGCAATGCCAATTTTCAAAACAAATTTTGAAAGGGACACAAATATAAAGTAAACAAATCAATTCCAAAATACTTCTAACACAGAACTTTATATAATGTTCATGCACAGGTCCTAAACATTCATCATTATTAAAAATTAGAAGATTAGAAAAATCCAGATAACTAGCCATTAACATTCTAGAGATGTTTTGTGACAAATATTTAGCAACCGACTGCCAATTTTCCACAGCAAACGGGGAGTTTCTGTTCTGAATCTCTCTCAGCAGGTGGTCCTGACTGTGATAGCCTCCATGCACGGGTGACTCCTTAGCCCGGCTTCAAGCCCGGCACTCGGTCACTAAGTAACAGAGGCAGTGAGAAGTTTTAGAAACTCGGGCTCTGTTAAAAGAGAATTTTCTTTCAGACAGTTTTTCAAAACAAAACAGACAGGAGGCTCTGACAGAAGAATCAAAAAGAAATTTCCTAGTGAAATTAAGGAGAGAAGATCTTATGGGAATTGCAATTGGCTTGTAATGCCTTAGAGCAGTGGTTCTCAACCTGTGGGTCGGGACCCCATTTGGGGTCGAACGACCATTTCACAGGGGTCGCCAAGCAACGCAGTCCGCCATTTTTTCCCCCTTTTCCTTAGCTGTGCTACTCCCTTTTATTCTGTTGGCTTTTGAAAGCCAATCGAAGAGACTCTCTTGAACAGAGTCTAATTCTATTGGCTTTCAAATGCCAATAGGAATTGTCCAGGCTGTCTCTGCCCTGCTGAGCCCGCCAAAAGTCCCATTCTGCAAACGGTGCTGCACCAGTTGAGTAGTCCTCGACTTACGACCGGTTGAGTAGTCCTCGACTTACGACTGGTTGGGGGTCGCGGCATTAAAAAGGTTGAGAACCACTGCCTTAGAGGAAGACTGGTGTGGGGAGCCCATCTCTTTCTCTTGATAATCTCGGCTATTCTCTCTCTTTCTTGTCCTCAGTGGCAGCACTGATGTCAACTGGTCCTTTCCAGTCTATTCAGTTCAGAAATTCTGAGAAAACCAATGTTTGGGCTGACCAGGGGACGTTGCAAGCAACCATGAATGCATGCTGGTTGCTGAGCACCCAAACTACGATTGTGTGACCACCGGGGGTGTGTGTGGCTGTTGGAACTTCAAGTGGTCACTGAGCAATCAGTTGTAAGTTGGGGACAATCCGCAGTGGGGAAAAAAAGGATTTTAATAAATTTACCATTTTTATAAACCTCCTCTAACAGACGAGCAAAAAAACCCTGTAAATTATTCGATATTCTCTCGTGTTCAGCAATTGCGTGCTGTGCAGCTTTCAGAAATGTAAGAAATTGCCATAAATAAATTATAAATGATAATGATAATTAAGTTTCATTAACATACTTGCGTGATTTTATTTCCTCGAGCTCTTTGGTGAGCTTTTCATTCTTTTCTTGAGCTTCGTGCAGCCTGCGCTTTAAGTCTCCAATTTCTTCCTGGGCTTCAGATTTTATGTCATTCGCAATGACCACAGCAGTCTGCAAGTCTGCTTGAAACTGGCGCCACTCTGCAGACTCTTCCTGAAAATAAGCAGGGATCAAGCAGCAGATTCCCAGGGAGGGAACTGACAGGTGTGCAATTCAACCGGAAGAGGAAGAGACAACAGAAAGAGGCATCTTTTCAGAGGGTGTGCTCAGCTGGGGTGGGGGGATGAAACCCCAAACAGATGCTGATTGCAAGTGTGACAGCCTTGCAGGGTGGCACTCTCTCATGATAATCCCCTGCCCTCTCCAACAACTCTTTTGCCATCTTCTTGGGGTTTGCAATCCACACCTTGAGGAACACTGGAGTGAAGGAATACACAATTATGCTCAAAATTTAAAATCCTATACTTCTAATCCGATCCTAAGTAGCCCTGGGGAGGGCTGTCGTAACTTTAAACATCAGAAAGTCAGATACCTTGAAGAACTGTAGGATGAGAATTTGATTGGTAAACACTTTGAAAACAAGATGTCAAATTTAAAAAAAAAATAGCAAAAAAAATGGTCAAAAATAAGTTATTCCAGATGAATCTTATTTTTTGATCTGGAAATTTCTTAGTAGCATAAGTGCAACAGATAAAGTGCACTTGATTATAGCAAACTATCTGACAAAACATCCCATGGCATGTAAATCAGCAAGTGTGGGCTGAATGGCAAGATAATTAAGTGGCTCTGGAGCTGGCTCAAAAGTCAGACAACATGCCCTTCTCAGTGTTCTGATCAAATTGGAGGGAACGGGTGATACAAAATTCAGTCCGGGGCCATTCAGTATTTATATTAGCAATGTGAATGAAAAGGTGGAAAGACGGCTTAGTAAGCCTGCAACGAAGCAAAATTCAATGCACAGATAGCACAGATCCCGGAACACAGAAACAACTTTCAAAAAGACCACGACAGTTTAGAGAAACGGGCTGAAAATGTCACTATGGAATTTAACAGAAACAAGGTGAAGTTGAAATGAAAGACAGAGTTCAAAGGTAAGGAATCTTTCATTTAACAGCAGCACTGTGGCAAGATCTTGTGACGGTAGTTGATCAGTTACTGAATGTGATCCAGCATACACTGTGGCAGCAAAACACCCAAGGCAGGGATGGTTCCCATTCCAATGTACATTCTGTGTTGGTCTGATCTCCCTTTCGGTAGGAGCAGTTTGAGAGCAGAATGGAGGACCATGAGAGATGACAGTTTCCCTTCACTGAATGTGCTCAAGTGGGGTCTTAGCAGGCATCCAGCATCCCTCAGCTCTGGATTCCTACCCAAAGGAGGGATCTAATGACTGAAGTAGTTCCTTATGAATCTATGAATAAAGAAGTGCAGAAGAGACATGCATTCTTTCAAACCATTACGGAAAAGAACAAGAAGGTAATTGGACTAAATAAGGAGCCACTTTGGTCTAACCTGCAGGGGTAGGCAACCTCGGCTCTTTTATGACTCATGGACTTCAACTCCCAGAATTCCTGAGTCAGCATAGCTGACTCAGGAATTCTGGGAGTTGAAGTCCATGAGTCATAAAAGAGTCGAGGTTGCCTACCCCTGGTCTAGTGGTTAAGGCACCAGGCTAGGAAATGGGAGACTGTGAGTTCAATTTCCACCTTATGCATGAAAGCCGGCTGGGAGATTCTGGACCAGTTCCCCCCCTCCCAGCCCAACAAACATGACGACTTACCCTCAGCCGCCTGTGCAGGGTCTTGATCTCTCTTTCCATGTCATGTTTTTGATCCTGAAGCTTCTTAACTGTGTCTAGCAAATAAAAAGTAGCACAGGATTTAACAATAAACCTGAACATATTTCCTGCATTTATATTTTTAATGTGACTAACAACCAAAGTTCTCTGGATAGACTGCAAAACTGTTATATAAACTAGGTACCCCTCATGTATAAAAATAATGAAGATGTCTTGGGAGAGGTTAAGTATATTAGTATGGTATCCTAAACACCTCAGATTGCGTGCTCTATGGAAAAAGCAGTAGCCTACACATAAGACCACCGTCTCCCTAATTTTATGCCAACGTGTTAAGTGCACTGCTGAATTTTAATGTAAGTTCCTTAGGACAAAATATGTTTGTTTCAGATTAACTTTTCAAGTAGTGCAGTTTTCCTCAAAAGGTGCTATTAAGACAGGTTAGCCTCTGTCTTTCAAAGTTGGCTTTCCAGCTTAGGATACTAGCTTTCAAAATCTAAGACTGCCATCTAGTGAGAAGTTCAAGAAGAAAGCAAAGGCCCAATTTGGAACACCTTTCTATATTTACGTTCCTTTTTAATTAGTGTTTGCAAAATTATTTCCTTTACATCTTAATCTCTGAGCTATGCAAGACCGTGTAGATACTGTAACCAGCTTAGTCATAAAATGTTAGATTTTCAACTTCCATCTCTTAGATATTATTCCACCTGGTTTAAAACAAATGGTTACAAATTTATTTCTTTGCCTCATTGTCTACAATACTTCTAAATTTGTGAGACAAATTTGGCAGAAACCAACACCAGATAAACAGAAACAGTCAAGGAACAAATGACCCACTCAAGACTGGCAGGGTAAAAGGAGGGCATCTAAACAAGCCAGGCAGCTTTGTTGCCCCCTGCAGGACAGGAAAGCAAGTTCAATCACCTGGGAAGCCAACCTTTACATTTTCCAGACAAGAGTGTTTTCCAACAGAGCATTAATGGGGAAAGTTATGCTGCTAATTTTCTCAACTACTTACTCTAATGAAAGTGGAACACTCCCCCTTTTTATAAAACATTCTCTTCATCCCATTTAATGCTATCTTTTGTTCAGAAAAGGGAACTGAAATATATATATATATATATATATATATATATATATATATATATATATATATATATATAGGTCTTTGGTTGTTCGGGTTGTCTCCCGCGTAAAATTGGAAGTGTCTTGGCAACGTTTCGACGAAGTCACATTCGTCATCTTCAGGCTGGTGTTTTTAGCTTCTTGCTTTGAGCAGCAATGTGTGGTTTTAGCTGTTTCTTCCTTTTAACTGCCAGTGAGGGTATGAACTGATTGGATGGGAGGGAACGGCTAGCTGTTGCAGTTCCGTACGCATTCGCGACATTTTGGGCACTCTAAGGGGGGAAAAGGATCTGACTCGAATAGGACAGAAGGTCTTTCCCAACAAAAGAACAAAATTCTCAAAGAAAAAAACAACAACTCTTCGTCCTTTAAGAATAAGAAGCTGAGAAATTTCCAGGTGAAGATGTTTATCTGATTACTGTTCTCAAGTAACTTGAGTCCAGCTATGCAAAGTTTGTAGGGAAACGCGCAGCGATACACACGCTAGATATTTCGCTGAGAACAACCGAGCAGCAGTTTTCGACTTTGCTCACCAAGGTCAGATTAAATGCAAAGAATTGATCGCTGGAGAGTTAGAGGACTCTACATCACAATCTATTGCAGCCAAGAAAATAGAGATAAAGGAGAAAAAAGAAAAAAAAAAAAAACATAAAGTTGATGAAGATGAGATTCAAAAAATGCAAATCCTGGTTTCTTCTTTTTCTGAAGAACAGCTAAATCGATATGAGATGTATCGACGATCAGCTTTCCCTAAGGCTGCTATTAAACGGCTGATCCAGTCCATTACTGGAACCTCTGTGTCTCAGAACGTTGTTATTGCCATGTCAGGAATTTCTAAAGTCTTCGTTGGAGAAGTAGTTGAAGAGGACTAACCTGAGCACAACCAAACAGAACACTCCCCCAGCCAATCAGAGCACAGCCAAGCCCCTAACCATTCAGAACACACCTCCACCCAATCAGAACACAGCCAAGCTCCCATCCAATCAGTTCATATCACTGGCAGTTAAAAGGAAGAAACAGCTACATACATACACACACACACACACACACACACACATACACGGGGTTCTTTAATCTCTACCTACTTTCAAAATTTATTTCAAAATTCAAAAGTTCATTACTCAATGTAATGGAAACATTACATTTCACTTGAAAAGCTATAAAATTGTGAACCTGCACCCTCCTTCGAAGGTTTAAGATGGGCTTTTCTACTTACATGCAGTTTTTTCTTTCTGATATAAATTTTAGAAAAAAATATTTCTTATGAATTCCAGAGTTTCCAGAGACTGGCAATGTTTGAGAAAGGTGTAATGGCTAATACTCCTAAATTATTTTAAGATGCAATTTTCCCTAACACAGATAATTATAATGACTGGTTTAAGTAAAGTTGATCTTTAATTTTATGCAGGGGGGGGGATAAAACTCCAAAATTTATGTAATAGTTTTTAAAGACCTCTCAAAACTAAAGTAATGGGTAAAATATAACAAACATGATAAATTATAAAAGCAAAAATAATCATAAATTGTAAGAATAAAAGGAGTAACAAATCAAATAATGTATCTTCATAAATGACTTAGATGAGGGAATTGAAGGGGAACTCATCAAATTTGCAGATGACACCAAACTGGCAGCAGTATCCAACACCCCAGAAGACAAACTCAGGATCCAAAAAGATCTTGACAAACTGGAACAATGAGCTCTGTCCAACAAAATGAGTTTCAATGTGGAGAAGAGCAAAGTTTTACATTTAGGCAGGAAAAACCAAAGGTACAAGTACAGATTAAGTGAGACCTGGCTCAAAAACAGTAATTGTGAGAGGGAGCTTGGACTCTTAGTGGACGATCATTTGACCATGAGTCAGCAGTGTGCAGCAGCAGCCAAAAAAGCTAATACAATCCTGGGTTGTATAAACAGAGGCATAGAATCAAGATCACGCGAGGTGTTAGTACCGCTTTATAAAACCTTAGTAAGACCAATACTGCAACCAATTTTGGTCACCATACTACAAAAAAGATGTTGAGACCTTGGAAAAAGTTCAGAGAAGAGCAGCTAAAATGATCAAAGGCCTGGAGACTAAAACATATGAAGAACGGCTACAGGACTTGGGTTAGCTAGTCTAAAAAAAAGAAGAAATAGGGGAGACATGATAGCAGTGTTCCAGTATTTGAAGAGCTGCCACAAATAAGAGGGGGTTAAATTATTCCCCAAAGCACCAGAGGGTAGGACGAGAAATGGTGGTTGGAAACTGATCAAATAGAGAAGCAACCTGGAATTAAGGAGAAAGTTCCTAACAGTGAGGACAATTACAGCTTGCCTTCAAAAATCAGGGGTTCTCCATCACTGGAAGTTTTTAAGAAGAGACTGGACAGTCACTTACCTGATATGATATAGGTTCTCCTGCTTGAGTGGGGGGCTGGACTAGAAGACCTCCAAGGTTCTATTCTATTCTATTCTATTCTATTCTATTCTATTCTATTCTATTCTATTCTATTCTATTCTATTCTATTCTAATTATCCTATCCTATCCCTACCCAAGATGGATACCACTAATTCTATAAACTGAAGGCCCAGTAAAATGAAACCATCTTTCAAGCCTTCTAAAAATGGGGGAGGGGTTCTAAACCTGGAGTGGAGGGACATGAGAGAGACAACCTGTCACCTCACAAGCCTCCCCAAGATCTTCTCCCTGCATGGGGGATGCCTGATACTGCAGGAGAAGACACAATGCTGTTTGAACCTCCCTTGTTACAGTCCCAGGGACTTGAGAAACAAGCAACCTTCAGCCTAGCCTCAAATGGCCTGGAGGGTGAAGGAACGTTGAGAAAGCCAGGAGAAGATACCAGGTTGTGGGTAGAGCCCTGGGAACCAAGACAGTTGAATAGTAGCCTTCTAAAAAGAAGCTACTGTTCTCCATTACTTCCTTGTTCTGCCTTAATTACCTCAGTAAACATCTCACCTGCTGATGCTATACGCAACCCCATGCATATTCTAACTTGCATGACCCTGTAGAGGTAGGTTGCACCCTGCCCTTCTTAAGTTAGTTTTGCTGACTCCAGTTGGGAAAACAAACCACCTGGGTATCAATGAAATTTTGTGCCGGTCTCCAGGTTTAAATAACCCTGTGGGAGAAATCTATCCCACAAGAGAACCTAGTGCTCTGCTATGCAAGGCTGTCCGGATCCTGAGGACTTTTGGAACCGGTAACCGGGGCAGCGACATCTGGAGAGAGCTCACCGTGCAGCAGAGAGACTTTCCCACCAGGAGTATCCCCTCTGCGTTCAGATCTCTCAGCTCTCTGGGGGAGGGAAACAAGAAACAACAACTGACAGGACCGTCCTTCCTTTCTCTGGGGGATTTGGCAGTCTAGGCCATTCACGCTTTTCTGCAGGACAGCCACCTGCAGAAGGTACCTGCAGAAAAGTGTGAATGGCCCACCCTGCGTCTGCCGCCATATCTTCCCCAGCCCATCGTGGTTTCAACTCAGGCCCCACCCAGACAGCCTGTAATGGGACGTGGAACAGCCTTTGGAGACAAGGGGAAGACCTGCAGCCCTGATAAGAGGCAGCTCAGTCTGCAGATGGGGGAAAGCAGGGAAGCCTTTCAGAGGGGACCCTCGCTACTTTTCCGGAGACTAAAAAGAGAGGATGGGAAGTTTCAGTCTTGCAGGGTTCTGTCAATGTAATCTTGCCATAAAGTACGATTAGTTCGCCTGGGTGTTTTTCCTGTTTGGACTCCCACGCAAGACTGACACAAGGCAGGGAGAACCACACTCGTTCTACCAGTATTAGCCACCTTGAGTGGTCACTTCTCCAGAGGAGGCTGGTTAATTACAGGCACAGTAAGCATTCCTTCCAACCCTTCGTCTTGCCTTGCCTTGCCTTGCCTGCCTATCAATCTTCCTCAAACATCTCAGGCTGGGAAGTGCTCCTCAATCCTACCAGATCTCTCCTCCCGGTCCCTTCCAGCACTTCCTGGAGAGCCCAACATAGAAAGCCTCTTTCATGTTCTTCCCAGCCAAGCAAAGACTACATACCTCTCTCCAATCCCTTTTCAGCACTCCGAAGTCTTCTTATCCAGCCTCTGGGCCGTTCATCCCTGCCTCTCAGTTTCATTCCAGGCCAGACCCCGCAAGCTCAAAGCTGCACTCTCTCTCCCTTCCACTTTTGTAACACCCAGGACAACAATGCCCGGCTTTCCCTGGCAGATTCTAAGAACGCTTGCTGGCAGTGCTGTCTCCTTCGACTAATCGCCTGGAGCTCAGTTCGCCTCCAGATGCCTCAGTGAGCATGGAGGCCCCAGGGCTCCGGAGCGCCTCTGAAATCCCCCACGTCTCTTCCACACCCTCTTCCTCCACCCTCATGCTCTTCTACTTCCCTAGCCCCAATTATCACCATTCTGACCCACGTCGAATGTCCTGATTTCACTCTTCCCTTCCCGTATCCCCTCCCACTGAAAAGCCTATAAGCCATTTCATCCAAAATTACCTGCATTCCGTATCCCGCGCCAAGTAAATTCCAAATCTCTAATCTTAACACTAAAACTCTCACGACAATATTTTACACAACGCCATACTAAAATAATTGGGGCCCGTGTTGATAAAACTTTAGTCCGCTTAAAATTGGTTTTCAAATCTGTTCCCTTATTCTTAATTTAATGTTTCAAAAAGAGAAGCATAATTTTACCTCTATTCAAAGTGCAGGTTAATAATCCCCAAATTTATAAAATTTTGATTTTATAAACATCTTTGCCATCTCTATTTTATTTGCATCTATGATATTTCAATATATGTGGATAATGTTGCAGGATCCAATCTGCAGAATGGATAATGCACTTCTTTATTTAAAAGATCTAAAGGACCACCGATCTTGTAAAACACAATTCTGGCTCGGCTCGCAACAATAATAAAAGCAAGCCAAAAGAAATCTGGGCTCCTGGCCCATCACCTCCAACCCATCCATTCCTACGACCCTCAAGCGCCATCCTTCCTCTATTCCAGGGCTGGAGGAAAAGCTAGCCCTTCAAGGCTTAAGGGGGGGCTGCCAGAACCTGGGGAAGGGGGGGTATAGTTTAAGAGTCACAGTGGTGGTATAGTAAGAACTTGTCATGCTACCTTCCCAGAACCGGAACGCAAAACTATTACCTATGCTTTTTTCAAAAAACAAAAATTTGGAGAACCGGTGAGATGCCAGCCGACTACAGAAAAGTAAGCATAGTTCAGACATGCCAAAAGGGAAAGAAGAAGGACCTGGAAAACTACAGAGCAAAAAATTACAACAAATAGTCAAGCAATATGCTTAGGCAGGAGTACTACCGTCACCAGCAGCCTATCTAAATTCATCGAGAATTGGGTCAGAACAATTCTGCCTCTTTTTATCAGCTAGTGGCGAGTTGTTAGGCCTTGGAACGTGCCTTGACCTCAGCCAAGCAGCTGGCACTCTCTCTCACGACATCCTGATATTTAAAGCAGAGTGAGTTAGAAGATACTACTTGCAAAGATCTGCACTTATTTGAAAAGTCTCCTAGGTAATTTAATTAAAGTAGGTTATATGCATCTTGCTTTTATATTCTCACTCTACTGTAAATAAACGTTTTAAAAAAGAAATAGGAAAAAAAGCAAGGCTGTTTGTAAATAATTCTGTATCAAACTGCAGCAAGCTATTGAGAGAGATCCTCCTCCAAGGCTCCCTTCTTGGCCTTATGTTGTCTGAGATCTTTCTAAGCGGCATAAAACAGTGGCGGCAAACCTACGGCATGCCTGCCAGAGGCGGCACTCGGTGCCCTCTCTGTGGCCACATGTGCCGTCGCCCCAGCCCCGTCTCCCCCCCTCAGCCCTCTCCCCAGCAGCTCCCCTGGAGGAGAGAAGCCCCCAAGCGTGGAGCAGCACAGCCAAGCACATGGCAGCTGGGCAGCAGGGACAAGACTCCACCCTCGCGCCGTGTCACGCGCAGATGATGCTGCGGGGTGCAAGTGGAGGGCGTGGCCACTGTGGCACTGCAGAGCCGCCTGGGTGATCTGGGCCATGGAGGCGGTGGGTAGCCTGGCAGGTGGGGCAGGACGGGGCCGGGGGTGGAGCAGGCGGGACGGAGCGGCGGTTTTTGGGCACTCGGTCTCTAAAAGATTCGCCATCACTGGCCTAGAAGACCAACAGAAAGGGCTTATATTAAATCTGCAGAAGACACCAAACTAGAGGGATAGAGGATAGGGAAGCCTGGCTTGGCTGCACTCAATATGAGAAGAATATACAGACCACCAGCTGAGCAGGTGTGAATAATCTAACGCAGCTTCACTGTCCTCTGTGCTTGTCTGATTAGGTGTGAGGCGATATGATCAGGGTGGGGCACTGCAGTTGCCGTGCGTTAATTAAAATAAGTTTTCATTAATTACAAGGCTATGTTTTAGACATTCTGAATGAACATTTCATGTGATTTCTTAACAATATGTACCTTAAGAAATGTATCGATTGCGCAGGATAACAGAGTTCCCCCCTCTGAAATTTTCCAGTGACAGCCGAATAGTTCTCTTTTGAAGGGGTGATTTAATGGATTCCTACACTGGTGGCTGAATTAGATAATCTACAACCTCCAACTTTCTTTCAAGTTCAAAACACTGTGGTTTAATTATTTTATGCATTCTTTTTTCTTGTTAAATTATAACCTTACAGTACTGTATTCATAATATAATGTTCACATGACAAATATAATGATTACAGCATAAAGTCATATGAAATCAACCAAAAAAGCAATAAAAATTAATTACAATTTGTACAACTACAATCCCACGATTAATTTCATCTGGGCCAAGGAGAGATCCGATCACAGAATTGGGCTGGTGGATCTGCCTTCCCATCCAGATCACCGACCGTCGCTTTCATAACTCTTCAGAAAGCGGTTTGTGAAAATGTTGCATTGTCACAACCCAACTAATTCAAATTCAGGCATCATGGGGACATCTGTTTCCCCACTAGAAAATAACAACATTAACAACAATTAAAGCACCGCAAGAACATTAAGAAAATGAATGTGTGGTTGTTAAGAACCTGTCCTGCCCCCCCCCCCCGAGAAGTAACCGCGAAGGTCCCAGGGAAGGCAGAGCTACCACTTACTGCCCAGGTCGGTGAGGAGGAGATTATCGTGCAGTTTCACTGCTCGGTGCTGCTCCACTTCGTCCTCCAACTCAAATATGGTTTCTTTCATATCACTCCTCTCCGTCTCCTTCTCCTCCAGCTCTGTGCGTGTTTTCTCTAAGGACATGTTCAGATCCTCAATTTGCTTCTTGGCTTCTTCCTGGAAAGCTCTATACTCATCTTCAATCTAGTTTAAGAAAAATGGCCAGACTCTAATTGCTTCTTCTAAATAGATTTCAACGTTTGCATCCAGGATTAAATTTGTATCACACACTGCAGAGTGCCAGCTATCTCGGCTGAAGTCTCACTTTACGGCATCAGGCCAAATATTGAAATAACCGAATCAGCAAAGATAGCTTCCTATCAATGGGAGGACCAGACACCTCTCCAGCTTAGCCTCCCCCTCCAATAGCTCCTCCAAGGTGTCAGCCTGGCAAGCGCATTCTTTGCCAATTGCCCGAGAACCCTTTTAACTAGTTCAGTGTATCTCAGCCTTGGAAACAAGAAGACGTGTGGATTTCAACTCCCAGAATTCCCCAGTCAGTCTTGCTGGGGAATTCTGGGAGTTGAAGTCCACACATCTTCAAGCTGCCACACCTGAGAAACACTGAACTAGAGGACTGGTGACTAGGACATACAGATCATGCACGCTTCCTTATGTGGAAAATTCAACTATGGTTAGTTCCAATTTTTACCCAGGCCAATTTATTTATCATGCCACTGAAAACTCTCTCATCACCACTGGACACACCTGTTTGTATACCTGCTCACAGCTGAAACATAAGGCGGGCACTCCTACCTTTATTCTTCTGAGGGAAAGTGAGGCTTAACCTGGAAGGACAGAGTGGGCCTGAAGTAGGATCCGTCCAGGGGCTGAGCAGCTCAGCACCAGCTCCAGGCACTTAAGGGGGAACCAAAGGGCAGTTCTGGGAGGTCATGCATGTGGCTCACAGATGCTTCTAAGCAGTGCTTTTTTTGAAGAAGAAAAAAAAGGTGCCGGAACTCACACGTCATACAACCCGCCATGCCTACCCTACAAGGTTCCATCCAAAAAAGGTGCCGGAACTCCGTTCTGGGCGTTCTATGAGAAAAAAAGCCCTGCTCCGAAGTGACTGTCTGCCTCCCACTTTCAACACACCTGGGGAAGTCTTCCCATTCAATGACACTTTTGACCTTTACCTTTGCGATGGCATCTTGGAGACGGTTGGCATCATTACGTGTCCGAGCAAGCTCTTCTTGTAGGTTGCTGGCTAACGTCTCTGCTTTCTCTTTGTCAAGCCTGACACTCTCTAGCAGGTCCTGGATGTCTGACTTATCACCCGATTTGTGTATAGAATAGAGCTCAGCAACTTTCTGCTTCTCATGTTCCAGCTGTGCTTTCAATCGGTTCATCTCAATTTGGTCACTGGAGACGGTAGCTTTGTACTCATCCAAGGCAGCCACCAGAGTGGCCTTGCTTTTCTGCTCCGAGTCAAGAATTCGCTCCATGTGGTGATTCCGTTCCTTCAATGCCCCTATCATCTCTTGGGCTTCCTTATTGTCTTGCTCAGCCATCTTCAAAGTGTTGCTTAGATGCTGCTGGACACCCAGAAGCTGCTCTCTTTCAAAACGCGCATTCTCTGCAAGGTCCATAAAACGTTGCTCTAGCTCCATGTAGCGCCCACTTTTCATGTCTTCATCAATAACATATGATATATGATGCTCGTCTAAAAGAGAGCGGAAATACTCAATTTGTCGGCTAAAGTGTTCCAACTTATCACTTTGCTGGCACAAAGATTCCATGAGGATTACCTTTTCTTCTCCAAGCCTTTCATTCTCACTGTTCAACTCCTGCGTAATTTGCTGCAAATCTGCAAGTTCCTGAAGAGTTGCTTGAAGTTCTTCCGCTGTGCTATGCTGGTTCTCTTCCATCTGATGAATCCGTTCTGTTAAACAAGCCACGGACACTTCGCTGGCATTGCCGCTGCTGCCTTTTCTTGATGTCTCTATGCTCGGCAGTCCTTCCGACTCTGAAGACGATGGAGCATCTAAAGCATCGTCACTGGACGTGAGCGGCTGGTACACTTCACTGCACTCGCTATCTAAGTTATCCATGGAGTTACTGTGTTGATTGTCCATCAAAGTGTTCTCATCCTGACTTAGAAGATCTTCCATGGAACCAGGAGCGGAACCTTCTACGGAGGAAGTAAGAGTTCCTCCACCATCGCTGTGGCTTCCAGTTGTCATTTCTGGGCTCAGAGACTGGTAGCCAAACAGCTTTTCGGAATTATCCAACCTTTGCTCTAGAGAAAAACCCAAGGCATTTAATCTATCCTTTAACATCCGGTTTTCATTTTTCAGCTGATTCAGCTCCTCTCGTATGGCAGAGTTTTGCTCCTGCAACTGCAGCAGGGCAGATTCTACATCAGTCGGCTGGTGGATCACAATTGTTTCTTTATCCTCAGATTTTTCATCACCCTCAAAGGAATCTTCATGAAGGCCCAGCTGAGCACGCATCTCTCTTAGTTCATTCCTTAAGTGAAGGATCTCCACGTCTTTTGTTTTGGCCAACATCAAGAGATCTTTCACTTTCGCCTCTAGAGCAGATTTATCACTGATCTGATTGTCTGACTTTGACTTGCTCATGCGAACATCAGAATCTGGATTGGCACGGCTGCGGGAACGTTTTGCGAGAAGGAGTTCGCTGCTTGCCTGACCAACTGGGGGCAATTTTTTGCTTTGCGTTGGTCGTGAACGGTCACGAATTCTTTCCCGGGAAGAGCTGGATTCCTTATTTGCAGATGAAGTGCTACGCTTAGCTGAAGAATGTGTACCTGTATTATTTTTTAAAAATAGTAAATTTACAATAAATAGTAAATACTAAATATACAATTCTGTAAAAGATATTTTTTTTCAGGAATATGCGACTATAAACTCTAATGCACATACTTGAAAGTTAATGATTGAAAATAACTGTGTGTAGCAACATACATAATAAAAATAATCATACTACAATAAGCCATAAAAGTTAACGCTGAATAGCTATATATACTACAAATAGGGAAACACTAACATAGTAGGTCCCTGATGGGTCTCTGGGAAAAAGGTTCAAATTCAGATGGCCAAAATGGAGGTCTTCATTTTTCCAGCTGCATTGCATGTGTTCAGCTTGCAGTCAAAGACTGCTCCAAGATCTCCCTTTCACAAGCTCTATTGTTTACTACTTCTCCTCCAAACCAAAAGCAGAATTCAAAATAATTTTGTAGTTGTGGAATGGAAAGTAAGTAGTAACCTCTGTTTGTTAATTTAGGTATCATGTTCAGTTATAGTCAGCAATAAATTTAATTTTAAGATATAACGAATGCACAAGCAGGCAACATGTTCAAGATCCTGGGTAACTGAATATATCCTAACTAACTAACTAACTCACTAAAGACAGCCTGACTAACGTATAGTTATGTCATATAGTGGGCTATGACATAGGAACAAGCCCCCTTCCAGCTGAGCTGAGTTCACTTCACCCAGCCATGTAGATTTCTTAGGAATAATGGCATGATTGGTCACTGACTTCTTCTATTTTTTTTAACTTGTCAATCTAGCCAAACTGAAAGTACATGGTGGTCTCCCATCCCTGCTTAGGTTCTGAGCCCAGACACTACTAGCGATGAGAATTAGCACCGTGCAGCCAGTATCCCGTGCTAGAAAAACCACAGTGGCCTTAAGAAAAGGACTTTGTGTCTGTACCTGTGGTGGGCTTGGATCTGCTCTCCGCAGGGCCCAGGGTGGCATTCCCTGTAGTAGAAGGGGCCGTGGAGGTAGACACGCTCTTCTTCCCCCCCTTGACACCGTTGCTGACGTTCATCCCTCCAGCCATTCCAGCTAAAAGATCCTCGCTGCTCTTAGTCTGCAGAACAGAGGTAAAGCCGTCCGTGAGGGTCCAGTCAGAAGGTTAGCTTTTTTTCAACTACAGACACACACATGCCAAGAGTCAAATTTTTGAGAGATGGGTGGCATATGATAAAGATAAATGTAAAAGATCTAAAATTAAAATATAATTACCTACAATAATCATAATAAAAAATCAGCATCCTTGCATATAAAACCTGGTTGAATCCACTTTTCAATGCCTCAGAGGTTCAAGTGGGCAGAATTTCATCCCTGTGCAGGTTGTCCTCGACTTACACCCATTCATTTAGTGACCGTTGCAACAGCACTGAAAAAAATGACCCGAGACCAGTTTTCACACGATCCTTGCAGCATCTCCGTGGTCACATGATCAAAATTCGGGCGCCTGTATTTATGACAGTTGCCTTGTCCCAGGGTCAAGTGACAATTTGTAACCTTCCCAGCCAGCTTGTGACAAGCAAATTCATTGAGGGAAGCCATATTCGCTTAATGACCACACGATTCATTTAACAATTGTAGCAAAAATGGTCGTAAAATGGAGCAAAACTCACTTAACATCTCTCTTGCTTAGCAATGGAAATTTTGGGGTTACGTTGGTCGTAAATCAAGGACTATTTGTACAGAAAGTCTTGGGAGGCATCTTCAGCTACAAAGGTCCCACCATGTATGGCCAACATGCATTCATAACTGGCACTCCCAATGCCATGCCATTCTTATTTCTGCAGAATGTTTGTGCTGTTACATACAAGTGGTTCCTCCTGCAACTCCTGCCATGGAAGCCTGGCACTGCCTGGCACTAAAGACACACACACACACACACACGGCCAGAAAGCCTCAGTCAGGATGGAATTGCCCACTAAACTTTAATACAAGGAAAACCTATTAAATACAATAATTACAGTGAATTTTAAGTATAATAGCCGTACCATTAAAAGGGCTGTCCTTAAGGTTCATCCATGCACTTTGCATCGAGTTCCTCTATGTGTTCAATTTTGTTAAATCAGCTTACCACAATCTTTCTTAGTATTCATCCCAAAGAGTTAAAATGGAATACACAATGTGATCAATATTACTTATTCACATTTTATTTACTTAACGAGTCACATTTGGAAACTGCCCATTTCTCTCACAGGCATACAAGGGAGGCATAGAATAAGACAAGCAAAAAATTACAAAAAAAATATTTGGAAATATTTTAGCACTTGCATTTGAAATTAAAAGGACAAAAATTGTCAGAATGAAAATAGGTTTCACGGAAGATTTAATATTTTTTCCAGCCCCCAGTTTTAAAAGACATTTTTTGCAACTACAACTGCTTAACATAGATAGCATTTTTTTATTTTAGATTTTGTCTTTGTATCTGCATGAAGTAGTTATGAAAATCTTTTGTCTGGTTTCTTGTTATGATCAGATGAGAACATTTACATTTTTTGTATTGCAGAAAGGCACAGTGATGACTGATGACTCAAAATAATAATAATAATAATCCCAGCAACACAATGGAACAAATTTCCCATCCCTTTTATGGAGGGTCTCCTCTCACCCCTAGCAGACTTACCCAGATTAAGCATTCCTTCCAACTATCTGCATTTCCACTACATCTATTTTTTTTTTGTTGTTGTTAAGTAGGTTAATTACAGCCATGATGTGTAGGTAAGAACAATCTAGTAAGGAACCAAGTAGGTCAAATTGTAAAAAGAGCTTCATGATTCAGTCTGGAAAAATCTACCCTGAAAATGATAACCAGATCGGACACCCTCCTGGCTTCCAAATGCAGCTGTGAAGAAGATCCTCCCATCTTCAGAGGGTGACGTGAATATAGGGCGGTTACTGTACTTCAAGAAAGCACACAGCAGAAATGCAAATTATATACGGTATATAAAACTCCAGGGATGCCAGACACAACTATATGGGAGACATGTAGAGCTTATAGGAGAGGAATCCTAGCTGGGCTTGCTACAAATCAGAAAAGAACTATAACAGATATAAATCACAATTAAAAGAGATTCATAAAAGCAGTCTAGAAAATTTAGAATAGAGCTGGAAGGGACCTTGGAGATCTTCTAGTCCACCCCCCCCCCGCCCCGCTCAAGCAGGAGAACCTATGCCATCTCAGACAAATGACTAGCCTCGTTTTAAAAACTTCCAGTGTTGGAGCATTCACCACTTCCGGAGGCAGGTTGTTCCACTGGTTAATTGTCTTCACTGTCAGGAAGTTTCTCCTTAAATCCAGGTTGCTTCTCTCTTTGATCAGTTTCCAACCATTGTTTCTTGTCCTGCCCTCTGGTGCTCTGGTGAACAACCTGACCCCTGAACAAGCCTTGTGGTAGCCCCTCAGATACATCACATCTCCCCTATTTCTTCTTTTCTTTAGATTAGCCAGACCCTTCAGATTGAGGTGGAGAACCGTGATCTGAGATCACATACTCTCTGGGATGCATAGTTTCCGTGGGCATAGAGGGGTTTGATGGTCCTTGGACCGGAATGGCCCTCCCTGAAGCCGCCATCGCCTGAGCCACCGCCTGTGAGATCATGGCTTGGAGCTGGACAGTAAATGAAGGATGTTCGGGGCCCCGAAGACCCGCCGCCGTCGGCGTGAAAGATGCTGACAGGATTGGGGGAGGGGCGACTGTAGTAACCTCCCCCTGAGACCCACAAGACACTGAGGAAGGTCTTGGCTCAGCAGCTGGAATTGAATCTTGGACCTGTAATCTCAATTCTCGGTCAAAGAGGGACAGATGGTCCCGTTCGTACCCCAGCAAAGAACCCTGGTCCAGGGTCTGCTCGGGAGACCAAGCCTGTGGAAAAGGGGAATGTCGATGTTCCCCTGATGTGGATGCAAGAGGGGGAGAGAGGATAGGCTGTGTCTCTCCTGCCTGTCGCCGGGCTTTGGAGAATTGTCGTTCCTATGTCTGCTATCTGCTTGCTTGTCATCGTTTGACCTTGGCCTTGGCTTTTGCAGGTGTATCCTGACTGGATGGCTTGCGTTTTACATTTTACGTTTTCACCAGGAGATCCCTGGATCGGCCCTGGTCTGCAGGAGAAGAAAGGGCAGGTTTTCACCAGGAGATCCCTGGATCGGCCCTGCTCTGCAGGAGAAAGGAAGGCCACGGCCCACCTGGGTGGTACAGGCCTACACGAGGGTCTGTGAGGTCTGGCCCACCATTAAGCACGGAGTCACTACGCGATATAAGCCGCGCTGCACTCAGGGGGTGTCCTCCCCGTTCAATTTTTCAGGCCCACTGTAATAGTGAGACAATTTGGCCGATAAAATATCAAATGTCAATTAATGATAAGTGTATATATGAATATAGATATATATCTTGTTTATTTTAATTCTATTTTATTTTAATTAATTTAATTTTTTACCCTTGTGTCTCACTTAGTGACGGCTGGGACAGTAACTGCCGGCCACAAGATGCAGACAGCGGAAAACAGGCGAAGCAAGCAGCAATCCAATCTGTTGGCACTGGATATTTGAAAGGTACTGGTAAGTCACACAGTCTGGAATATTACCAGATAAAATGGAGTGAGAGACTCAAGATATTTTCCCTATGTCCACTAGGTAACCTAAGATGGCGCTTATTAAGCAGCTGAAGCACGAGGTAATGAAGATCTAAAAGAGTGTAATTAGAACTCCTATTTCCCCCCCCACGTAGGGAGAATCACCAAATAAGTAAGTTGCTTTGTGACTGAGAAGGCTGTAATTAGGTCAAAGCAGTCAATTTAATGTGTGCGATTGGGCGGAGCCCAAAATGGTGGCCGCGACGATCTAATGAGAGATAAAACAAGCTGAGAGAAAAGATCCTCTTCTGCAAGTAATCTGGTAATAAGTTCTTTTAGTCAAACAGTTCACCTGTGGTTTTTTGGGTAATTTACAGCTGACAATCAACAGTAACAAGGAAGTACTTGAGTAATGTGAAGATCGAGCCTTCTAGAGGTGAATTGGTAATGAACCCAGGAAGGTGAATTCAGAGTTTTCAGCCGAAAACTAGTAGTTTAAAGCTTTGCATTCACAGCTAAGATCCTGGGAGTGGGTGGGGGGGGTGGATTGTAATGAGGAGGCAGCAATCGACGATCAGCTGTCTGCCTCTGAAAAACTCAACGGAGAAGGGAATTGATTAAAGAGAGAAGAAATGGTGCAGCACTGAGCCCAGAGCTGAACCAATCCCCCCCCAAAGAAGGAAAAAAAAAGGATAATCCACGAATGGCAATAACTACCTTTCTGAATCTAAATTGGGAGCCAAATTCTCATGTCTCTTCAGGGCTGAGACCAAACGAAACTGGGGCATGGTCAGATCCTGCAGCGGCGTGGCAACTTTGATTGTTTGGTCTGATTGGGCTAGAAGACTAAATCAACCCATTCGTGGATTCTACATTCCTCTACATGCTGGAGAAAAGTTTATTTTATACCCAGTGAACCGGCTTATTCAAATCACTTTTGCATCTAGTTCTTTTGCTTCCTGTATTTTCTGAAGTCAGAGTAGCCTCCTTAAAACCTGTCAGTTTGGCAGGCGACAATGTTAACAAATAACTATGACAGGTATGTGAATTATAATGCCATGCTTTTAATTAACTTGCATCATTCTACTTTATTATTATTGTTAGCTGCTGCGACTCTTAATAGATCCAGTGACACGTAAATAAACAGTAAGCCTTCAAATCCCAGTTATTATTTGCTAACATAGACTTATAATTACCATGCATGAATTTTTAATGATCACTCAACAGGGACAGGCCTGAATTCCTGAGTGCCGGCAGCCCCATTCAACAAAGTAAATAAGGTACATCAAATCATGGGTGGCATAACATCTATGCCAATCATACAGAACGTGAACCAGTGGCCAGAATAACTCAGCCCCTCCTGGGCAAGGAGAGGCCACAGGGACACCTGCAAGGCTCTGGATAAGTCGCTCAGATTTGTTCAGAGTTGGAATCTGACTGTACCGGCCCTTTGCAATTGCCTGAGGCACAGCCTGGCCCAGATATCGGGCAGAGTTCAAGCCTTCTGGCCCTGATGTCCGTGATGTTGGTCTGAGAACCAAACAGGATTCTCAGAGCTCAGGGTTCTCAAGTATTTCAGATCCCTGTTCCTCACCTCCTTCTGGGAGGTGAGGAGCTCTTGGGACCAGACCTCTGCCAGAGGGTATGGTCCCCTCTGCCTTGAAGCCCATTGCTGGACCCAGCAGATCTGACCTTTTTATACAATCTTCCACCTTCCCTTTTTAATGAAGGTTGTCGGTTTACAGCTCCTGAAAGAAATAGATTATCTGGACTCTTTTCAGTCAGGAATCAACCCAGTGACAACACTGAAATGGCACTGATCGCACGGGGTAACCTCTGGCAGGCTCAGGATAGTGTGTCCATCCTGGTCCTCCTTGGTCTCATTTGATACCACTGGTTGTGGCATCCGTCTGGCCTTCCTTAGGATATTCGGAGTAGGAGGCACTGTATCACGCATGTCTTCTCTACCTTGGTAGGAACTTGTTTACGTTTACCTGTTTATTGTTAACAGGACTTCACTCTCCTCTCTAGAGTAGGACTGCCTTTCTCCCTGTGGTTTTTGCCTGACCCAGTTGTGGAAGTGAGTGAGGCAAGCAGTGGGGCGTGGTTCGGGTCCCCTCCACTTAAAAGAAATCATCCCGTTGGACCCACAAATCATGGTTTCTCTGTGGCAGTGCCTGCCTTATGGAACAGCATCCCCTACAGATACAGGGAGCCCTGACTCACTTAGCCTTTCACAAGGCCCTGAGAATCTGGCTTGTTTCCAGGCATTTGCGTGAGGAGTTTAGGAGAGCTCCGTTGTTCATGCAATTGTACGGCTGCATTGCACTTGGACATCCTGGGCTACTATTTTTAACTGTTATCTTTTTAATCTTTTTATAAACCCCAGATTAGGAGCATAGTGGGGTGCATGACTGCCGTATGGGGAGGCTGCAAATGGGTGCTAAAGAATGTGGGTGGGGGCTGTAGGCACTAGTTGCTATGGACTGGGGCTCCTCGGGAGAAAAAGCAGAGGGAGTGACTTGCGATCTTCCTTGCTGACTCCTCATTGGCACTGCTTGCAAAAAGCGGCAGGAAAAGTTGCAAGCAGTGACAACTGCACATGACGGTGGGATGCTGCAGCCACTGTAGCTGCAAGCTGGTTGCTACGCACCCAAACAGCCATGCCGGCCCCCGGGAGCGCTGCCACCGCAGAACCTAAAGGGCTGATTGTAAAAAGCACTCATTCAATGCCATCATAACTTTGAACAGTGCTGAATGAGTGGCTGCAACTTGAGGAGTACCTAAGAATAGTGCCAGACTCAATAAGTGGATCATGTGAACAGGGTGAAAATATTAATTGCATGAATCCAACACAAATTTCCAATAGCTTCATTGAAGAGGGGAAAATTATTTTTATCTGCAAGGCTTAAGAAACAGTGCAGGCTCTGCTTTCTCTGCGTCTGTATTTCTCTACAGTTATAAAACTTGTTATCTGAAGGTAACATGTAACCCCATGTACAGGAGGCAACAACAAAAAAGCTGTCAATATGCACGATTATAGGCAGCATTTTCTCTGCTGCTCATGCCACTGCCCGTTGTTATCCCCCACTTCCCTTGCATTTCAAAAGAGTTGTGGCAATACCTTGAGGAAAGAGGCTGCTGTTCCTGCTTTTGGAAGTTTCGTTACTGCAGACGTTGTGGAACTGGTCTCTGTTTTAACTTTCTCTACCATTTGCATTTTAGTTATTCCAGGCACTTTGGGCACCGAACTAATAATCCGGCTTGCTTTCTTCATTCTTGGCTGCCTGCTCGATATACATTTACTAACAATCTGCAGAGAGAAAACAGATTTTCAAAAATTGAGGGCACTGTTATTTATATACAAACTATTCACACACCTGAAAATAGCCCCTCCCTGCCTAGTACTTTCTGCACAGACTACAAATCCTACAGTAATTCCTTCAGTCTCCCCGGGCCCTGCTCAGCTCAGCCCAAACCCAGCAGAAGCCTTTCACACATTGACACCATTTGACTTGATAAGTATCAATAGCACATGCGGACCGAAATTGCACTAAAAAATTGTTTGCATTTTATAAGTGTGATGGAAATGTTTCCTCTTACAGCCATAGCAGTATAAACCTGTTGTTTCTTCCTTCTGCTTTTCCCAAATTCAGAAGACCTTTTGCCCTGCACTTCATGACTTTGAAGCTAAGCAATTGATAGATCTGAAATCTTTATCCACTCTGATTCTCATCTCTCTAAGGATATTTATGAATTTGGAGCAATAGCGTTATTGAGGCCCTTAACTGAAAATAAGAGAAGATTGAATAATCAGAACATTAATACAAGTTACATTTGCTTTAACACTTCCTTTCTGAAATCTGTAGAGAGTTTTTGAATCTATAGAGAGTTTATGGACTAGGCCAAGGACCAAAGTTTATTTCATTTCCCTGTATCTGCAATTTTGTATGTACATTCAAGGAAAAATGAGAACAATCTTTTTTCATGTAGAAATGAGATATAAATAAAACAAAGATAATTAGGTTTTCAAACAAGGTTAACAGATTGCTTGTTGGACAAAAGCTTCATTATTATAATTGAAATAGTTAAAATACCTACATACTTTTCTGGTAATAATGCCACAAGATTTTTGCCTCAATAAATTACTTAGTCTCGTTATTTGTGCCACTATGTGACGGAATGTTAAGTTTAAAGCTGGTTTGACTGTTGCTAATTTGGCTGCAGTGATTCAAACTGTAGTCATCCTCCCGCCAGATTATTACAATTCATTCCTCTAAGGGCTGGGCAGTTTCAGTTTATGTGGAAGGCTGCCATTCTGTTACTGAATATGAGCAAAGTTGGTGCTCTCTAACATCTATTCCGCAGAATCCACCCTGGTGGTCTTTGCTGCATTTCCAACCTACTTGAAAAGGTTTCCTTGTTGAGATCTCTAAGTAGGATTACTGGGAGAAATATTAAGGTGCTCTGAGTCTGTTACGGAACTCACGTTCAGGCCTTTGGAAACTCAGCAGCAGCTCTAGTTTGGCATCCCTTTACTTAGGTTTTGGGTCTCTTGATGCAATAATTGTAGAATTTAATACACACACAGGATTTATTTTTCAAGTACCAATGAATGTGTGCTATTGCCCAATGAGAAGCGCCTTGCATCCCTTGCCTGAGCCTCCATTGCTGCAAGAGCAGTCTTCAAAAAGCTATGCCTCCTGGGGAGGCCCTTGAACCCTGGTCTGCAAAAGGGCAGGGGGAACAGGGGAAAAATATGTCCCAGTGCTGCAAGGCGTGCGCAAGGGATCCACCCGACCAGCAGGGTCCCGGTCCCTTCTTGGCAGGGGGCAGCACACACTTGCCCCGCCTGCCTTCCCGTCTGCAGGACGTTTCTGTGACCCCTCCCCACATGCAGCGGAAACATGAACAGAGAAGCGAATTCCACTTTACTGTAAAACTGCAATTAGAATCAAACAGAATCTTGCATGTCTGAAAGTATAAATCTCCCCGCTGCCTCCTCTACAGCCTGGAAAACTAGGGAGGGTCCTTTCTGAGCCAATGGACCCGTCCACCATGCAGCTGAGGGCTGAGCTGTCTCTGGCCTAACCATTCCCTGGCGGCCTCTCTTCACCCCAGCTCCCAAGGTCCTTCCCACGTATGACAGGGGAGTCCAGTGAGGGGAGCCAGAACCATCAAGGTCAGCTGGGAGGAGGCGGCTGTACGTAGAGTGTGACTTGAATTTTAATAAGGGACTTTGGGGACACTGTGACAGTCATAAATTCAAGGGCAGGTTTCCAGATGATTTTTTTTTTAACTTCAAATGACTGCTGAACTGTTACACGAAGGCTACCTGTATGTACTAAAGTTTCCTCAAACTGATTACATCTGCAGCACATAAAGGATAACAGAATATACTTTGAAATATTGTTGTCCACTGAACCGGATAGTTTTAGCCAATGACCCATTGTTTTTGCAAGCATACTTCTCATAGAGCCACTTTTGCAACAGAGAGGTTGAAGAAGGTCCAGACTCTTTAAATTACCTCCAAACTTTGATCTGCAATCGTGTTTTGGTCAGGACTAAGCTCTAGGATGCCCAGTTTTACAATGTGGAGAGAACGGAACCCATGCATGGTAGAAAAAGAAGGGACATGTACTTCCTGGGCCCACTGCCAACCCTTACTCAGCCTGCAAAGGCTCTATCTTCCTTGGAGAGTAATTTGCCCAGGATCTGCCATGTTCTTTTCTAGTAAAATGGCCACAACCAGAACCCAGGTCAAGAAAAAACGCTTCTGTATCTTAATACGCACTCTTAAATATTCATTTAAATACACAAACTCTTACTCAGAGCCACACCTTATTATGCTCTTTGGAGAGATAAGAAGTTGGGATCACACAAAAGCTCAATCTGCTTCTACTGAAACATCTCGTTCCTATGGTGGTGAATTGGGCAATAGCCGTTCTGAGATTAATTCTAGTAATATTAGCCCCTTGTAAACCAATGGTACTCTGGGGACCATCAAACTGCAACTCAGTTTTGGTTACCCTCACAACAACCTATCAGTCATGTCAATTATGTCCACCCTCATCCTGTAACATCATTTGCTATTTGATTGGATGGCACACGTAGTACAGGGATTCCTCAGTTAATGATAATTTGTTCAGCGACTGTTCATACTTATGATTGTGCTGAATGAGCAATAGACACAACAGGTCCTCAGCATTCCAGCCATCACAGCATCCCCATGGTCACATGATCACAATTTGTGACCTCATTTGGCAGCTTCCTACAAGCAAAGTCAACGGGGAAGTCCACAGGAAGTTGGAAGTCCTAGTCATGTGAGATTCTTGCTTAATTATCTGTGTTGTCCTCCCTTAACAATGGCAACCAGGACTGCTGGAATTGATGTCAATAGATGGCGTGGTCACATGATGTCCCACTTTATGACTTTATTGCTTAGCGACAGCAATTCTGGTTCCAACTGCCTTCATTAACCAAGTATTTGTGCTTGTCCATATTCTTTGGTGGAGCGAAGGTGGGGGTGGTCCATCCACCCTTGTGCTCCTTGACCTCTCAGCAGTATCAGCAACCGTAGTATTTTTCTGCATAGGCTGGAGGCACCATGTTATAGTGGTTTGCTTCCTTCTTCAGTGATCACTCCCAACTATGTTGATGGAGCAGAAGAAAGGATCGTTCCTGTGACCACCCACTTCTGGGGTGACTCAGAACTTGACACTCTCCCTTCTCCTGTTTAACCTTTAGATGAAACTGCTGGTTCAAGCATCCATCAATTTGGTATCAACAGTACAAGGTTCCTGCAATTGTTTATCTCAATCCATAGGTATACAAAGCAAAAAATGCTTGCTACTGCTGGTGCTACTGCATTTTGAATCAACTAGTGGATCTTCAAGGGCAGCCCCATGTAGAGTGAAGTTGTCAAGGTGTCAATGCAGTGTCTGGAAGCTGTTCAGGTCTGATGGAAAAGAACAAATTTTGGGTCAGTCCTGAAGACCGAATGGCCGTGGCTGTTTGGTCCCCTAGATCAGTGGGGTTTTGTTAAGTCTTGGATAGGGACAATTTGCGACTGACGGGAGTTCATCTTGTGTGCCCAGGGTGTTCCTTTCTTGACTGGGAGGTCCTTCAGATGGTCACTCATGCCCTGATCACCTTGTAGTTGGATTACTGTAATGTACTCTGCACCAGGCTGCCCTTGAAGATCAAAATGCAGCAGCACCAGCAGGCATTTTTGCCTAGGTATGCCCAGATGTATTATTGGTTGACAGTTGGTTTCTGGGTGATGTAATTGTCACCTACAAAGCTTTTCAATTCATAGGACGTAGTTAAACAAGGGACCATGTATCTACAATTTTTTGTAGATGTAGTCCAGGTCCCCCTTTTGTAAACTGGCCAGAATTATCTGGAATAGGTAGCCATAAACACATTTAAATAAATGATAATAAATAATATTCAAATGAATTCCCCCCTTCCTCTCCCTTCCATTTCTTCTCAAATAACTCCAACCAACTGCATGCCTGTGCCTACTGTTCTAATGATAAACGCACCCACAAACTCTGCAGGGCTTACCGTAATTTTAATTACAGGATATCAGAATGCCTGGAACAACATGGAAGGAGCACACTAAATTTTGTCCAAAGCTTGGAACAAAGTGCTGGAATGGAAGGTGCTTTATTCCAAGTTTAGAACAGTATTAACTTTTCCACTGCAAGTTTATTTTAAATCTGAGAATAAACTCAAAAACAGTTACACGTACTCCTTAACAGTAAACTGTGAACAATGTCAATCTTTAAATACTCCAAAGAGCACCACTCACACACAGGGGACTTGCAAGAAATAAAATTTATTTTATTTTACAGCAAAAGGGCGGGGTAGAAGAGAAGCGGGCTGTCATAAGACAGCTCAATGAAGAACAAACATATATAGTTACTTCAGAAAGTAGGGAGGGAGAAAGAGGTTGCAATATTACCAGCCGGCTCTAGCTTGGACAGGAATATGCTGCAACATTTAGTTGTGGTCCAGCTTGCAATAAGACACATTTAGCTGGACATACACAAGCGTGCCATAATTTGTATACACCCAGTTCTTGCTAAGAATTATGTTAATTTGCACAATCCCATTTGAATCAAAGGCTTGAGCAACAGCTTTAGTAAATTTTTTTTAAGAGGCGAATAAACAAAAACTTGAAGTCATTGGTTTCCACCTGATTACTGCAGTTTCATCCTATATTTTACAGGGATTTCAGATTTAATTCTGATCTTTACTTAAGAGACAGATCTGCCAGAGACTTCATTTGCTCCAAACCAATTAGTCCTCCTGCTTTAATCTCATTACAGTACCCAAATCTCACATACTGGACTCCAGATGCCCAGTGCAATTCAAACTCTGTTGGAATTATGGGTACAAAGATCTCTAGTGACTTAAACTATGTCAAGTCCCAATTCTCTTCCTTAAAATGACTGGTAGGTTTGTCATGGAACAACATCCCCATCACACTCCAGGAATCTGGGACTTTTACTGATTAATGGCCCACGAGAGGCTTTGATCAAGGAGGAGCAGGCCATCCGTGCCAGAGGGACACTGTCAGGAGAGTAGTAGAACAGAGAAATCCTGGTTGGGCATCAATACGATGCTTAGCTTTCGAATTATTTTTTTCCAAAGAAATAAAACACCAGATATACCATTTTGAACATACAAATCAGAGTCGCCGTTCCCTCTACCAAGCGTTTCCTACATTCAGGCATCCAGCCCCAAATCAGAGATAAAAATGCAGCACGGACCGATCCTCCTCTTCCACGAAGGGCTTGCACCAACCTCCCCCCACCCCAAAAAGGCCCGGGTTTCCCTGGGTCGGCGTTGCCTCGGGGCTCAGCCCACGCGGGGCGGCCAAATCCCCCCAAGGGCTCCAGACTGCTCATCGGGAGCGATCCGTTAACGGAGACTTGCGGGCAACCGGCGCCTCCTCCTTCCCAACCGGGGCCGCTTTGGAGACGGGCGGACTGCAACTCCCAGGATCCCAAGCGACGCTGCCTGGGGGATTCTGGCGGTGGCGGGGCGCACACCTGGGCGGCCAGGACGGGAAGCCCCGCAGCAGAGCAGCGCCCGGACAGCCCCCGCCCTCGCTGCCCCCCCCCCGGCGGGAGCCTCCGGGCCTCCCCTGCCCGCCCGGGAAGCCGCCCGAAGAGCGCCCCGGGGACCCTCCGCGCAGCCCACCCCCTCCGGGCCGGCTCCCCACGCCGCGAGGGCCGCCTCAGAGCCACGGCCGCCCGCCGCGCGGCCCTCGAGGGGCGGCAGCTCCTCCGCGGACTGGCCGGGCCCACCGGCCCCGCCGCCGAGCTCCCCGGGCCCCAAAGGCCGAGCGTGCCAACGGGCGGCGCGGCGGGCAGGCGCCTGGGCCGCCGCCCCGGCCTTACCTGAAGCGCCGCTGCCTCCTTCGGCGGAGGGCGACCGGGCGGGCGGGCGCGGCGCTTCTCCTTCGGTCCCTCGGCGCGCTGGGCGCCACTGCGCAGGCGCCGACGGGGTCGCAACTGCACGCCCCGCCCCCAAACCTGGCGAGGGGAGGGCGCACGCGCATAGGGAGGGGCGGGGCCAGTCAGCTGCTGCTCCTCCCGTCTTTCCCCCTCCCTCCCTTTTCCTCCCTGTCCACGGCGCCTCTTTCCACCCGCGGCCCCGCAGAGGGAACTTGCCTCCCCGGGGCACAGAAGGCCCTGGCTCCTGGCGCCCTCCCGAGTGGGAGCCTCCAGCCAGGCGGGTTGGGCTGGCTGGTCGCGGAGGGCTGCGCCGGGAATTCTTGCTGGCTTCGGTGGCCCTTCCGGACCATCTCGACCCTTGGCGGCCTCTGGCAAGCACGGGAGCACCGCCGGCGCTTCCAGGACCGCCTGGAATCTGAGAAAATGGGTGGTCTTCCTTTTGAGGTGGCTCCAAGGGAAGCCCAGGCAGCGACTCCCCTCTGGACGCCAGCGGGATTTTGAGGGCCAGGAGATGGAAGCAGGAAATGCCACTTTGAGTGACAACCCAATTCAGTTGGGGGGAGGAGAGGGAAACGTGAAGCTGCCCCCCCACACACATGCACGCTCGGGTATGGATAGCACTTAGCCCTTAGACTTATATACCGCTTCACTATGCTTGACAGCCCTCTCTAAGCTGTTTACAGAGTCCGCCTCTTGCCCCCAACAATCTGGGTCCTCATTTTACCGACCTCGGAAAGGATGGAAGGCTGAGTCAGCCGGGAGCTGGTCAGGATCAAACTGCTGGCAGTGGCCAAAATTCGCCTTCAATGCTGCGGTCTAACCATTGTGCCACTATGGCGTGTATGGATTTGCTCTCTTATTACCAGGTTGTGATAGGAAAGCTGCACATACAACACATCCTGGTGGTGTAAGCCCTCCACTGTTTGGGGAGCTTCCGGAGAGGCTCTGTTAAGCTTCCAGGTGCCTTGGGTGGAATATGAACACGCGCACCTGTCAGCATCTCACTCTTTTCCTTTAGGAGTTGCCCAAGCCAAGGGAAACACACATTTGAGGCCAGGAGGTGCTTCAGGGCAGGTATCAGCACACATGGCTGGTGCGTCACCTCAGACCCATTTTGTTAGAATCAGGCAGCTTTCTTTAAGGAGATCTTTGGCAGACGGTTTTCTGGCCTCCCTGGAGATGGGCCTCAGGTAGGGATCCTCAGAAGCATCCTTGGAGACAAATGCCAGCTTTTTCAATACCGGATCCTCACTTCCAAGAGATTCTTATGAACGGCACATACAATTCACAGCATCTTCCTATTAGGGCCACTTCAGTTGCTGCTTCAAGTCAGAACAGCCTTAGAATGCCTGACCTGGAAAGTAGCAGCCATAGTCTCCACAGGTGGGGTTGGAAACGGGCATTCCCAGACAAGCTTCCTGCTTCCTCCCTCCCTTGTGCCCCCCCATGCCAATTAGAGAGAGGTTGGCACAAAGGACCCAAGATTTACCCAAGTAGAACAGAAGAATTGGGAGCCACTTGGTCTCTTCTCAACAGTCCCACCAGGAGTACAAAGCTTCATGGAACATGCTGTGCTGATGGAGCAAAGCTCGCACTATTGAGACTCGAGACTCAACTGAAGCCTTCCCCGGAAAGAAGGACCACCTCCATACCCTCTGAGCCTGTTACTCCCTGGAAGACCTTTGTAGGGCGTCTACATGCCACTCTTTGTAGCAAACCATCAGCTTCTGACTTAGGCTCTTGAGAAAAGGAATTTCCAACAGGATTAGGTCTCAAGGTGCCTGCTAACTTCTATCACTACTCAACTTGCCATAGAAATAGGGGGAAGGAGTAGGAAGCGTGGGAGGAAACGGGAGTCTAAGAAGCCGTTTACGACCTTGAGAACCTACAAGAATGCCAAGGTCACTAACACAGGTGTCTGACGGACAAGTGGATTGTTCCCATAACAAACCAAAGATGTATGATTGGGCAGAGCTGGTTTTGCTTCTTCAGCTCTGAGATATATATTCAATAAAGTTTATCTTTTCTGGCACTTCAAAGCCTTGAAGATTCCTTAATTTTGTGTTTGCTAGTCAGATGGCTGACATTAGGGTGTTTTCCAGTGTAACACACACACACACACACACATAGAGTTTTGGAATGTCCACTCCACAATGCCCTGCTTCGTTCTGCCAGTGTTTCTCAACCTTGTGAACTTTGTGTTGATTTTCACAATATATGCCAGACACTGTCCATCTTTCCAGCTTGCTCAAAAAGGATCAGGCCATAATGGGTTAAAGTTTTAGGCAAGTGAAATGCAAGAATAAATCACCCAGCCTGGATTTGTAAACTATTAATTTTACACTGAAGTGCTTTAGGGCTTGTATAGCTTCCTAGGTATGTGGGGGTGAAAGAGGAATTGCTGGCAGGCCCCCCTTCTCTCTGGTCAGTTGGGGAAGAGAATTCCTCTGCAGAAAACAGCACGGTTGCGTTTGCCACATTAGTGCCTTAAGAAAGTGTTGGGTGTGCATGAATGCAGTTGGAATTTTAAGATCCTATTAGTGCTGCCTTAGGGACTGAATCCCTCTAGGAAATTCAGTCACAAGATTTGTCCTACTTCCTCTAAAAGCTGTGCTTACAAGACACATTGATAATATGACTTACACAATTGACAGTGTTCCAGGTTTACAACAGCTAACTACACGGGCTGGATTCAGGGGTAAGATTGTGCATCAACCATAGAGGGTTATACGGTCAGTATAATTATTTCAAGAGTTGTTTTCATCTCATGAATGGACTTGTGGAACCTCAGTGACTCTAGGATGCTGTGATATTCCCAAAGTGACACTGTTGTCTTTTTTCTCCTTTTATGCATAAACAGTAATCATACATATATATTGAAATTATAAATGAAAAAGGCGCCAGGCTTTGAACTACCAAGTTAGCAATGGACAAATCCTGAACAGGATTCGCACCTCGTACGACTTCTGCTGGGAGTCTCTGTATAAATGGGGCATAGCATCCTCCCCTCCCTGTGACTGTGGGCTCCCAAGTCAAACACAGTTGACCGGCTGTAAATTGAGGGCATATACTGCTCCAGTATCTGATTTTTAAAAATATATAAATGCTGCACTTCAATGGTTAGATGGCCTAGAGACATTAGTATTTGAACATAGATCTTTTAACATTTATTTTTTATTGTGTTTTATTAATCTAGGTTGCTAGTTCATGTATGTTATGCCATATGCTAAATAAATAAATTGAAACTAGTGAATAAGACTTATCTGATGGACATTTGAATGGTGGCTAAGCTTTCATGTGATGACCAGGCTTTGAGGACAATTAGATTGCCTAATTGTAGTCCATTCCTATAGAATGCAGTAGAAGCTCCTGGTGTGGAAAGAAGCTTCTGCCTGACAACTGTGACCTTCAAAACTACAGGTAGATCCTTGATCAGTAGAATAGAATCTGAATACCAAAAGGTTTGCACAAACAGGATGAGGGGACAAAACTTACAGGGAAAGGACAATCAAAGCTGTGTAAAATTGGTTCTTGACTTTTATCATTTCATCGTTAAAGACATGGGAGGGGGAGGGTTTTGTAACTGGCTGTCTTTGGACAACACATTTAATGTTAATTTAATTGTGGTTTATTCAAACCAGTTTCCTAGGTTTACATAACACACTGAACCACAAACTAATCCCATTGGCTGGATTGGCACAAAATTGCATCATCTGCAACATCTTCCAGGTGTTGGGGCTGTATCTCCAGCAGGAAGTCATTCAGCAACAGCCAGAGGTTGTGCGTTGTTCATTCATGTAAGATTAAAGCATAAGTCAGCTATTTTGCAATTCAGTGTTTTGTACAAATACAGCCACTGGCTGTTTTAAAGTAAAGCGGGGTCAAGGAAAATTATTCTTGGAGCCACTTCACAAAGAAAAATAGAAAAATAGAAGGGATTGGAAGAACTTGAGGGATTTGATGTTGCTACTTCTTGGAAAGAAAATGAGCTCAGTTCCATTTGAGGCATTCATTTCTGAAGCACAAGATTATCACTTTTCAGAAAAGCATAGGTTTATAATTAAAACTGAAATTAATGCTTAAATTATACAATCTCTTCCATACCTACATGCCTGCATGTAAAATTTGCCTGGATATCAAAGCAATCCTCTTGCAGATCACCAACACACACTGTCTCCCTTTTATCTAGGTCAGTGGTGGCGAACCTATGGCACGCGTTCCAGAGGCGGCACACAGAGCCCTCTCTGTGGGCATGTGTGCTATGCCCCGGAGATGGCGAGGGAATGGCCCCCGCTGCCCTGGCCCCACCCACCCAGTCTGCCATGTCCACCGCAACCATGCCCACTTGGCACCCGGTGATAAATAAGTGGGTTTTGGGTTGCAGTTTGGGCACTGGGTCTCTAAAAGGTTCGCCATCACTGATCTAGGTTCATCAACTCAATACTAGCAGAATTATATATAAATAAAAAATGCCAGAAAGGGCAGACAAGCAGAATGGATTGGTCCATTTCCCTCGGTGGGATGGCTTTGCCAATTCCTGCAGCTCTGAATATGCAATAACAATGCAAGGAGGAAACTGCAGTCATTCAGCAATCGTGCTGCTTAAAGCACGGGTGTCAAACTCGCCACATCACGTGACGTGTCGCAACATATTGCGACTCTTTGCATTTCCTGCAATGGGGTGGGCGCAGCTTCGGTATGATGGGGCCGGCAGTTTGATACCCTTGGCTTAAAGGAATCAATAAAAATAAATAAATAAAAGCCCTTAAAACTTTAATTTTCAAGACATGCCTCAAGTTCACAAAACAACACTGTGGCCTTCCTTAAACCTGTTATGACTCTTAAGTGACTCGAGTGAGCTTTATTAATGCTCCCAATCTCTACAACCCCATTAGGCCAGCTGTTAATTTGATACTACTGGACCTTGTAAGGAGGACAGGAGAACCTACAATACTTGTTTGAGGATTCAGAACAGAGAGAAAGGTATATTCCTTCCATTGTAGTCCAAATACTTCTTTGGGACTCTAGGGAATTTGGGGAGGATTCCCCTTTATTCTGTGGGTGAATAGCTGATGCTTAACCTTGAGCAAGGTTGAGCAGAAAAGGGTAACACTGCAGGCAAGGTGTAGGAAACTCCTGGGCCAACATGTGGCCTTGAATCATCCTTTTCTCTGCTAGATGACAACTGGGGATCCTTCAGTTCTGATGAACCAACCTGGTATATAAATACTTTATGTCCTCACAACCTTTCCTCTGTCTCTTCATAATGGAATAACCTACAACAGTTGCCTTAGAACAGGGGTGTTCAAACCTGGCCCTTTTATGACTTGTGGACTTCAACTCCCAGAATGCCTCAGTCAGACACGCTGGCTGAGGAATTCTGGGAGTTGAAGTCCACAAGTCATAAAAGGGCCAAGTTTGAAGACCCCTGCCTTAGAAGAATAAATATATGGCTGGTTGATGGAATGAAGAAGCTTCAGTCTAGACTTTCGTTATAGGGCTATTGAATATTTGCTGCCTCAAATAATAGTAATAATATGATCACATTTAGCTTCATTTTTAAAAAAACCTTACATAAATGACTCTCCTATTTAGAACTCTTAATTCACTGAGGTGCCTTCTGTGGATGAACCTTCTTCTTCAACTGACACAGATAGATGCTGCTTTTTGACCCTGGAGGTGACTCAAAGCCACAGACAGCTTGATCCTCCATGTCTGAAAGCCCCTTTCTGTGGTAGAAAGTTGGGAGAAAAAACTCCAGTTTTAACAAAGGATGACTAAGGAACAAATATATGGGCATGTCTGCAAAAGGCCTATGTATTTCATCTTCATAAACCTAGGTACATCACCATCCAAACTAGGACATCAGAACAGAGTTCTAACTTCTACACTTCTGGGAGGAAAAAGCAATATGGAATCCTTATTTAAATATTTTCTGGTATGAGAAATGCTGTGAGAGTCAGACACCACAAGCTGGCCACTCCCGTGATGGGTTATTTCCCAGTGTTAAGATAGCTGAATTTTAACTCAAGGATCAGAGCAGCTATGGAGGCTCATGCTTCTGTAGTGATTTTTAGCCCCCTTTAACAAGCAGAATGCCGTTACTTGCCCAAAGTATGGGAAACCGTGGGGAAAGCTTCTCAGTCCCTATTCATAACGTCTCTGAACAAAATCAGAATTTCAGTTTAGCTTCCTGGTCTCTCACCAGTTAGTCAGAGTTGAACGTTTTAGCCTTCCAAGCCACTTCTGAACATCCCGGTAAAAGTGGCTTTGAATTAACAGGATAAAACTTATGTGGTATGATTGTATGGGACAGATAAGGACATTTTTTCTGTCCATATGAAACATAAAGAGAGATCCCTTCCTATGCAAGAACTCTGGGCTTAATCCCTGTTTCTGACTGCCAGTGCTGCTTATTTTCCAGCATTACAATTCACAAACGATCCCTGTTCAATCTTAAAACAAACTGTTGGAATTTCTGAAAAATATAAAATGCTCCCTCAATCATCATTGTACAAGTTATTAAAACATCTTATCAAAACATTTCTCTTTCCCAGCAAAAACAGGGTGGCAGTGAAAAAAATATTTTCCATAAGCAAAGTCTTTCCAAAGTCCCAACCAAGAAAGAGCAGAGAGGCCCAATCCTGCCCTCCCAATTCCCGCCAGCGGATCAGAGGAATGTTTAGCTGCTTGGGGGGGGGGGAGGCCGGCTTGGGGCCAACTGCGGAGAAACCCACCATAGACCTTTATGTTGCTGCAGTCGGGGAGAAAACTGGGCATGAGGTCCTTGTTTATGAAAGGGGCGATTTTGCAGATTATCTTCTCTGGTCTTTAGAATGCCTGAAGACCCCCTCAACTTCTCCACACACCTCCCATTTTTGGGGGTCCACAGAAAAAGGAGAAGGCCTTAAGAGCTGGCCATCACCCCCTTCTCTTCCAGTCTCCGGCCTTTGTTCTCTAAGCGATTAGATGGTGCATCTTCGGTAAAACCTTCCACCAAAAGAAAGTCAAAGGAAAAAAGGCAAGGAAAAGCTTTTTTAAAAAAATGTCCTGATTGTGCATGAAGCTCCTAATTTACTTATTTATTAAAAAGAAACTTGTTTAAATCGAGGTTTAAATTTGCAAGTAGTGGCCATGATGCGTGAACATCCTTGCGGCACTCCATGAGAATCCACAACAGTGGCCATAAAAGGAAAAACCTTCTGCTCTTCAAAGGTGCCCAAGAAGAAAAGACTCCCAGAGCTTCCCAAACGTAACATGGATTCCACTGCAACGGAATCCTCCCAGGAATTCCTTCGGGCACATTCCTTCCCAAGACAGTTTGCTTTCCTCCGTTCTTTTCCTGATCTGGTGAAAGGAATCTTCCTCTGAAGAAAATCAGCTTCCTCCGAGGGCTTCTGGGTCAGCAGAGGGAGGGGGAGGGAGGGGGCCTTCCTCCCCTCCTGAAGGATACGGAAAGGCTGGAACGCCAGAGGGGCAGATGGAGCAAATACCGCCAGCCTCCTCCTCTTCCTCCTCCTCCTCGGCTGAGCTGGCTTCTACACCTCAGTGGAGAAGAGGATGCTCTGCCTCTTGCTGTCCGGAGTGGGAATCGTCTCCAGTTGCAGGAAATAGAGGAGAACCTGAACCTGGAATGCAGATAAGAGGAGGGGGACAGATCAATGGGGAGGGGGCAACTGCAATGGCAGGCAGGGCCAGGAGAGCCCAGCGGTTCTCCAGTTCATCAGGCATTCAAAAGCCTGGACAACTTGCAAGGACAACTTGACTGGCTTTCATGGACACGTAGCCCTCGACTTACGGCCACCATTGGAACCAGAATTTCTGTTGCTAAGCAAGGCAGTGAAGGGACTCACACCTGATGTTACAACTTCTAATTCAAAGGGTTCACATAAACGGCACCATCCAACAGGCCCTGGATTACTCTGCCACATCTGGCATAGCAAGGAAATAAGATCAACTGTTTAATTCAGAAGGTTAATAGTTCCACAGTTCAAAGCAACTGGAACTGGTCCATCTCGATGAATAGGATTCAAAATCAAATCCAAGTAATTGATCCTCTGCCTGCTTAACAAACAGCTTGTCCAGGGCTTGAGGACCAAGGCCACGGGAACAGCCAAGTCCCGGACTTTGCTCTAAGAGCGCTCCTGTGGTCTCAACTCCTGCACAAGCTGTTTGGCAAATGTACCATCAGAGCCCTTCAAGATTTACAACCTCCTGACAAGCAAACTCCTTGGTAAGGAGCATTTCTTTGCTACCATCTTACTTTCTCTAGTTTCAATATTCTTTTTCCCCTCTTTTTGGACATTTACAGTACTTTTCAGTTATTTCCCTCCCTGAAAAAAACCTCTTCTGAATTCTTCTGAGAAAGGAATGAAACAAATGAACCTTATCAAGTCTTTTTGGCTGCTTCATTGGAAATTAGGCCCAGAAGGGTATCCGTTTTCAAATCTTCTTTGATCAGCCTGTTATTGGATGGCTGTGGGCAAGTTGTGCTCTCTTCTCCTGAACCGCCTTTCCCCTTTCTAAGCTCCTTGTAAGAAGGGGGGATATACAGTGGCTGGACATAAAAGGGCTCTGTCGCTGAGATCTCCTGTCATGACAGGGTTAACTTTGCCTGCTTCCCCAGGTGGGATTATGGTAATCAGCTAGAGAGGGATGATCTAAACCAGGGGTGTCAAACTGACACATCCCATGGGCCGGATGTGTCATGTGGAAGCCCCGCCCACCCCATTGCTGGCAACGCAAAGCAGTCCCGGTACATTGCGCAACATCATATGACGTCGCACGTTTGACATGTCTGATCTAAACCCTTTCCTGCCAATATGGCTTAGGGCAGTGGTTCTCCACCTGTGGGTCGGGACCCCATTTGGGGTCGAACGACCATTTCACGGGGGTCGCCAAACAAAGCAGTCCGCCATTTTTTTTCCCCTTTTCCTTAGCTGTGCTACTCCCTTTTATTCTATTGGCTTTCAAAAGCCAATAGGAATTGTCCAGGCTGTCTCTGCCCTGCTGAGCCCCCAAAAGTCCCATTCTGCAAACGGTCCTGCAAGTTGTCTGCAGCGAAGGAGAGCTGTCTGGAAGTTTCCACCCCTCCCTTCCACCCCTTCCCTCCCACCCCTAAAAATGTAAGTAAAAGAGGGCCAGGGGTTGGAGGTGGGAGACTGGCAGGCGCAGGGAGGGTTGCTGGTGCGCGTGGGGCCTGGCGGGTGCCTTACCTCCCTTGGGCTGGGCCAGCCGGTGGCCCAGCCGGTGGTCGGCCTGCACCGTCGCTGCCCCTTGCCAGCTACGCCTCGGCCGGCGCAGGGGACGGCACCACGCATGTGCGGCGCTCCCAGGCAGGGAAAGTCCTTGACCTATGACCGGTTGGGTAGTCCTTGACTTACGACCGGTTGGGTAGTCCTCGACTTATGACCAGTTGGGGTCGTGGCATTAAAAAGGTTGAGAACCACCGGCTTAGGGGCTCTTCCCTCATTTTCCCTTCAATCTAAATGGGTCCTAAGAGAAGCCTGGACCCTGTGAAACCCTGAGTTTTGTTGATCAGAGGACCACAGCAAACATTCAAGGATCAAAGCTTGAATGATCTCAATCATTGAAGACGCATGGACTTCAATTCCACATGCTGTCTGGGGGAATTCTGGGAGCTGAAGTTCACACATCTTCAAGCTGTCAAGCTGAGAAACACTGCCTTAGACTTTCCATTTGCCTTTACCTGGGACATGACTTCGAGTGACCAGCTGTCAGTCAAGGCGATGGGTTGCATTGGATTGGCAGGAATTTTGCTGTCCTTTTCTGACGGTCTGAGTAACGTTGGTCCAAAAACGGTGGCCAGGTTGTGAAGTGACATCTTGTTGATGTTCTCCTTTTCAGCAACTCTGAAACAATAGACAGGATAGGTGTAGAAAAGAAAGTAAGTTATGATCTAACACAGTTGTATTCAAACTAGGGTAATTACTCCCAAGGGGTGCCATCTGGGCATATCCTGGAGACAATGGAGCAATTTGTAATGATTTATTGCTGAATCACAGTCCAGTTTTGGACACCGGTATAAAATTAGAAAGTCTGGTTGTTTGTGAGGGTGAAAATATGACTCACAATTGGGAAAAAAAGGATAATTGGCCGAGGCAGTTTAAGAAACTCTATCCTAACTTATACATCTTGTCAGATCAGGACCAAATGGAAAACAGTGGTCTTGAACAGACAGGTTAGAGATCGGACGAGACTGTCCAATGCTGCTGGTCCAGGCAGGGAATCGGTGTATCAATGCCTCTCCACTTCCCTCAGGGAGGCTCTGACCCTACCCTGCAATTCTTTTTTTTTTTATTGAAAATTTTTAAAATTTTACAAAAAGAAAAAAATTCCCCTCCCCAAACCCTCCCAACCCACCCCTACCCTCCCCCAACCTTCCCAGAGCTGAATACAAGCTTAGTTAAAATTTAAAAGAAAAAATTTTAAACACCATAAACAATTAATTAGAATAATTAAACAAATTATAAAATACTTTAAGACCCATATATAAAAAGCAAAAAAAAAAATTATGATTACAATCATTAAACAAATTATAAAATACTCTAAACATTTTCTAATGTCATACTTATATTATTTAAAATTTATCCATCATTCTTTATAAACTCCCTCAAAAACACACATGTAAACATTACTTATAACATTTAAATTCCCTTATACATATTTAAAGCAAAATGTTCCTTTAAATACTCCTTAGATATCTAAACATACACTACCTATCTAATATTTTCATTCAATCTCCATAATATCATGCTTATATTATATAAAATCTAATCTCTCCCTCTTTCTTTATCCTCAAACACAAAAATAAACATATAAACGTTAGTTATACCATTAAAACAAGGTACTCTTTTGAATACTCCTTAAATTGCTAAACTTAAACTTCTTATCTAAAATTTTCATTCGATCTCCATAATCTTCTCTCCTCTTTACCAATAACCAATTCCATCCACAGTGAACTGTAACCTATCAGTAACCTAAAAACAATCTGTACATTCTTTATCAATCTCTCTTATCCATAAACCTCGAGGGAAGTGCTTGGAAATCTGCCCTTAAAGGTTGCTCCAAAAAGTTTATAAATCTTGCTTCTCCCGCAGACTCAGGAACCAATACTTGTGAGGCTTCCTTAACCTCCTTCTTCTGTTGCTCCTTTTCTTTACGTTTATGCGTTACACGCCTACCCTGCAATTCTTAAAGCCCATCCTAAGCCCGAGCACTAAGAGCAAAGAGACCTGCCCACCTGGCACTCTCCTAACCGCAGCCAACCCCAAAGAAGAAAAGACACTGTGGAAAACCTCACAAGATCCAGCTCTCCCTAAGATGCTTAACTTATTTAACAAATAAGTAAACAAAATCCAGTTGGGGCAGAGGGAAAAGGAAGAAAACAATATCCAAACACAAAACCCCACTCAGCAAGATGGGTAGATTTGGGGAAGGAAGGCTGCTCTGCCAAGGATGCCCTGCCCTGCCCTGCCAGCCTGCCCTCTGCCCTTATTTTCTTCCGCGCTCTCGGATCCCCAGAGGCTTCTCCCTGGAAGGAAAGGGGAGAGACTGAAGGGAGGTGAGGAGAGGGGAACTCTTTCAGGATGGACAGATTTTGCAGCCTGAGGTGAAGGACCAAAAATCAGAGGTTATCAAACTAGTATGTTTTTTTTAAAAAACCAACAAACAGGGGGGTTGGACGAGCAGCCCTTAAGCGCCTCCAGTACTTCTGCCAGTAGATGCTTGAGTGACAGGCTTCAGCTCCTGCTGGTCTGCTCCTGCAGGACCAGGCAGGGCTCAGGTGGGGACAGGCTCCGGCCCACGAAGTGGGGACCATCCAGAGACCTTGCAGGCCACGCAAGAACCACGGCGCCACTTCTTTTTACAAAAGGTCGCGTTGATTGATGTTCCGGAGCGTCCTTCACCACAATGGCTGGGAAGGCTGGAGAAAAAGAGCCTCGGCCTTACCTTTTCAAATGATCCAGGAGAAAGAGGAAGGTGACCAGGTTGGGCTCCGGGAGCGAAAGCAGCAAGTTCAGCATGCAGCTTTCTTTTGCGACGGGGTCAGAGAGCGCTAGCAGCAGCAGAGGAGAAGGAGGAGAAAAGTTTTACAAACTGTGCACAGGATTTATAAGTGCAGATACAGCTAAGAATGTTTATCCTGCCTCAGTTGAGTAGTGAGGTAAGGTAAAATAGGAGAGTAAAGGAGGTATTACTGTCTCCTTAATTTTATCGCAGACAGTAGTCCCTCTGGCTAGTAGTGCCTGGCAGCCTAGTTGTGGGCGTTAGGTAAGTGCGGGAGAGTGAGAGTGAGTGAGTGAGTGAGTGAGTGAGAGAGAGAGCAAATAGATATACTTTATAATCAGTAAAAGTTTGCCATTATTTTTTAAATTCACTAGGTTTCCATGTATTCTAAAGAAACGTTCAAGCTTCAGTGTTCAGTTGTAAGGGATCTGAGTGTGGCTATTTTCCAGGGCCGTGAGTGTGTGACCGTGAGCTGAACGTGACAGCAGCCTCTTCGCACTGCTAAGTGACCACAAAGTAGCACAGCACAATTCTTCATCTTAAACCTGCGTAACGCCATTACGTACCGATGCCTTCAGCAAAGTTGGGGTAGAGTTCGTCTGTGAAGAGAGGCTCTGGCAGCTCCCTAAAGTAGAGTTTGAGTGTTCCCGCAATCGCGTTCACGTCCATCTCGCTCATCATGACGGAGACGTCTTTGTTATCTGCAAGAAGGAAAAAAAGTCCTTTACTCAGGCAGGATTATCACATGCTCCAGCTGAGAAAACTGTCATAACTGCAGGAATTTTCCAAGTCTGTGAGAAATATATTCTGTGGATTTACACACCCTTCCCTCTTTTGTGCAACTGTTAAGAACCAATCAACTCCACGATTATGAAATTGTGATTGCCAGAGATTGTGAATGCTTCCAAATCGTAATTTGTTTCATCCAATGGCTTCCACATCTGGTTTAACGGCAAGGCCTGATGTGTGGTAACTTGGCATGATGACAAAGAATAAACTGAGCAGCAGCACCATCGGATGGATTGTGCATCCCAGCAGAAGTAACAATGAAAGAGGACTACCAATATGGAAAGTATCTCAGGTTTTGACATTGCCCAGCAGAGAACAACATACGATGGACAGATGGACCGTCTCCTCTTCTGGTCCCATTCTCGTGACTGACCGTCGCAACAGGCTGCCCTAGAGAAACCACTGAACTGATTTCCTCTTAACAGAATAGGAAACGTCCCAAGTAAATACTCACTGATATCAAAAGCAGCTTTCAGAGCCTGGATATCAGTGGCAACTCCAGAGACCCGGTAAATGCCCACCTCTTCCATGCCCCGACGTTCAATCTCCTCCACACACTGGCGCACGATGTAAGGCACCTTGGATCGCTCCCTCCTAAAGACGGATAAAGTGGTTAGAGGAAGCAGGGGCTGCTTGGGGCAACAGCCTTTTGTTCCACAGGACAGGAGCCATCAGCTCGACCACGTGGTCACCCTGCAGACCCGGAGCAGAATGACTTGTTAATACTGCACTATGGAGAATTGGTGGGAAGAATTTTGCCAAAAGATAAAGCCTAAAACATTTTCTTAATCCCATTAGCAAGCCTGGGGAGAGGAGAAGCCCGCTCTTTTCTGGCCCAGCATAATCAATAAGAGTAAAATACTTTAGTGGATTTGGTGTAGAAGGTCAGGAATCATATTTATTCAGCAACTTTAATACTGTGACTGTTTGGACAGTAAATAAACATACAGATAAAACATCACTTGGTTTATTTGAAATTCTGAATATAAATTTTCTGGAAAGTTTACACCAGCACACAGGACAACCTTCTGTGGATCACAGGCAATTTTCCCATCTTCCCTTTCTGGCCATTTAGTGGCAGAATTTGTTTCGCTAAAGTCTTGAAAGACGGTGAACAAACTGTCTTGAGGCCAGCAGTCCAAAGTACTTAGACCAGTTATTCCACTCTTTAGCCTGCTTTTATTAAAATGTGTATGTGAGAGAAACCCTAAATACCCATCAATTTAGTAATGCTTTCTCAATATTGCTATCACAATGTTTAAGAAGAAAATGGGTATCCTCGGCTAGCAGGGATTCAGCAGGGACACCGAGGGCCTCAGTCCAAGAGTGACGGGGGCAGGACTCTCTTCTGGGAAGGCTGGAAGACTTTTAAGGCTGAAATGAGGACCCAAGGCTGCAAGAGCTAAGATGCCCATTCTCTCCTATCGACCTCTCAAAATCTAAAAGCCTGCAAGGGGAGAGACACGTCTGGCCCCACTCCCTCTGGAGGCCATGAAATGGAAGCTGGCGGGCCCTGTGTCCCCTCAGCACACCCTCTTTGCCCCTCTGACCCCGACTGAGGAAACGGGATCGTTTTCCTACATGGCACTTCCTCACAAAGCTGGTGGGCTGATGTCCTCCCAAAAAGGCCTAGGAGATAAAACTGTGAGGCAACAGGAACTGAGACCTGATCACACTCCTGTAAGGAGGTCAAGGTCCCTCAGGTATTCGGTGGAAAATGGGGAACCACAATTGTCAGGCCCAAAACAGCTCTATGGTGCTCTCTCTAGTCTGCGGACCTTAATTCTTAAGACCAGGAACCGGAAGGCATAAAAGGAATTTCTCTCTCTCTCAGCCCAACTTACTGATCATAACTTAACAATATCCCTACAGCAGATGAGGAGGAGGGAGGAACTCACTTGGTGACAACCCCAATCTTTACTCCAAATACTCCCGTTTGTTTTCGAGACGGCATCCTCTTTAGACTGAACTCTCTGCTTGTGAACTTCACGGAGAGCTTCACTTCGACCTTGGAAAGAGAGAAACCCTCAGTTCCTTGTTCCAGGTTATGCTGGGCTGCCCCAGGGCCGCAGAGGGCCAGCAGCAGAAGGGAGCTTTGGGGAGAGGCCCCTGTGCCCAGGCCAAGGTGGGCTACTCTGCCATTCTTCACCCACCAAGTCAAAAAGGAACAGAAACAGCAAAGCTACAAGGGAAAGGAGCATCTAAGAAAGAAAACTTAACCTATCATCAATTGAGAAGGCTTCTTTTAATTAAAATAAGCAATAGGCCAGAAAATATTTCATAAACGTTCAGTTTTCCTTGTGCCCTGTAGAAACAGCCTTTTTGATGATGGCTTTAGCTCTGATTGCTCATGCTTTGCTTGTTTTCCTTTAGTATGCTTTTCCAGGTATTGTTTGGGCATAGGCTGCTATCCAAATACAAGACCAATTCCTTGTGCAGGAGTTATAATGGAATTGATTGAGTGAAGATGATTCCCTATTACACATCATTAATTTAAGTGTAAGGAATTAGATGGCTGATTGCTTCTTTTCAGCAAAGATAACAGATTTAATTCTGATAAGAAGCATCATAAGCCAGGTGTGTAAACATGATCGCATGACCAGGGACAGCTGGAAATGAGGAATCTGCACCAGAGAAATTGTTTGAGTTTGTAAACCTAATCCCAAAGATGCTTTTTTCCAAAAGGCAACTGGACTTTCTTGGGTTTTTTCCCTCTGAAAACGTTTCACTTCACATCCAAGAAGCTTCTTCAGTTCTTCAGAACTGAGGAAGCTTCTTGGATGAGAAGTGAAATGTTTTCAAAGAAAAAAAACCCCAAGAAAGTCCAGTTGCCTTTTGGCAAAAAGCACCTTTGGGACAAGCATGACCTGGATGACGGAGAATCTCCCTAAGCCTGTAGCCCTAATGCTCTGCCTTACCCCGTTCATGAAGATGACGGTGCGTTGCCAGTCTTTCTCTTGCAAGCTTTGGGGATCCAGCTGAAAAACACATTGATCCGGCATTCAACTCCTCCGCTCAACAGGTCAATCAGAGACTTTGCCATTATTTTATCTGACAAATCAAGATCAGCTGAAAAAGAATCCTACCCAGTTTTCTTGTAAGGCAGAAAGTTCATAGCTCTGCACAGCATAACATAAATTAGAAAACACTCATTTTTATGCTTTGGATTATTGCTCATTTCCATCCCAGGAAAAAGCTAAGATGTTTTAGATATGCACAGATTTATTGTGAACGCCAAACTCAGCTCCATCTTCTTTTTTCCTGATTTTGCCACCGGAGCCACGTAGAATTTCTGGCAGTTTCTTCCCAGCAGAGTCTCCCTTGCCTGAGCCTGGATTGTTATATGTGATCGGAGACAATGACAACTCTTGAGGGATCCGGAGCCAGTAGGGTGGGATAGTATCAGCCTTCCAAGATGGACCAGACAGGAACCACAGCCAGATCAGCTAAGTCTACTTTATGGTACGGCTGCATTAACAGACTCTCTCTGGAGTACAAAGAAATGAGGGAGGGTCCCTTCTGAGCCTCTTGTCCTCCCCTCTACCCAGCTGCAGGTGATGCAGTCTCTTATCTGACCATTCCCTGGGCAGCATCTGGCACCACCACAAGGTCTTTCCCACACACTACTACAAGTAGTGGACATCAATAGGTGCTCAACAGCCGGCTTGGATGCACGGGGCCTGCTTTTTGGAGAGTCCAGATGCTACAACCCTTAAGGAACTGGGCGCCTTTCTCTGCCCAGATCGGACCAGCTGCTTCCCCTGTCTCTGTTGTGATGATGTTTCCTGCTGCAATTTTGCAGACTTCCCACTTGAAGGCCCGATGCACAAACTCACCAGAGGCCTTCTCCCTGCATCACATCCCACGGCACTGCCTGGGCCCCAGACCTTTAGCAGTGCCCCAAAGGATGGGCAGATGCAACCTCCAAGGAGGGGAGACCAGCAGGGGCTGAACGAGAGGCAGCTAAGGAGGGACCAGTTTCCCAGGCACGGGGGGGGGGCAGGGGGGGACTTAAAAACTGTGCTCCAGTTATTCTCACAATGCATTAAATGCTGAATGTGCAAATCCTACTACAATCAACAACCGTCAAAAAGCCACCTTGCCCAAGAGGGAAGCCTGCATTCCTCGTACGGAAGGAAGGGGAAAAGAGAAGTTTTCAGAGAAATTCTGGAAGGAAGGCCAGTTAAGAGTGACCCCTTTGATTTACACAATCCCAAAGCACACACTTTCAACCGAGGTGGTGAATAGGAAACAAACAATGGCGACATAAGCCAAAAGAGTACAGACAGTCTTGACTTAGGACTCGCTGCTTGGTGACTGAAGTTATGGTGGAACCTACAAACAGTACTTCTGATCCAGATTTGAAGTTATGCCAGCCTCCCTCCCTCCCTCCCTCCCTCCCATGGACATGTAATCCCATGTGGGGTGCCATTGGCAGCGTCCAGTGCTCACAGGACCATGATTTATGAGGCTTTTCATTCAAACAGGCATTCGCTTCTGGCTTCTGGCAAAAAACGCCCATCTGCTTAACAACTGTGGCATTCACACAATGACTGGCAACAACCAGGGTGATCTGCTTAATGGCAGCTGTCAAAAAGTGTTGCAAAATCTGGTTGGTCATGTGAGGAGCCACTTAAAAATTGCCACAACTTCTGGGCTCAATTGCTGTCATAAGACAAGGACTCCCTGTATATGCAATTTCATTCCAGGCTAAGTGGAAATTAAATATGCCCATCCCTTATTGGCCAAGGTCAACCCCCCCAACCCAGGGCAGCCCCCCCCACCTGGATTTGGCCTTTGCCCACAATGCGGTCCGTGGTCTCGCCATCTTCTTTGCTCTTGTGGTAGCTCTTCTCGTAGCACAGGATCCGCAGCGTCTGGGATCCCTCCAGCTCGATCTCAAACTCCTGCGGGAGAGAAGGGCAGCGCCAGGGGTGTTTCAGAAGATCCCCAAATGACCCTCAGGACCACAAAGGTCAGAGCTTTGGGCAGGAGAGAAAAGAACAGCCGAGGAGTCTCCTTCAAAGCATCTGTGAGGTCAAATTGGGGTATTTTGCCCATTCTTCATGGCTTTCTTTCCAAGATTCACCACTGAATCCAAAGTCAGCGCAGCTCCTTCCTCGCTAGGAGCCCCAGGGAACCTGCGACTGAGCGTGCTACGTCTCCCAACCAGCCAACACAGCTCCAAAACAGCCCTTTTTCTGAGCAAGATGCAGAAGTCAGTTACTCGCTTTTAGGGCTGGCTAGGAAATGCATTTTGTTAAGTCACGATAAAAATGGTTGGGGAAAAATAAAATTATAATGCAAACTTAGAAAAGAAGAACCATTTTGACAGGAGCACAATATACAAACTAAGCCAGAGGTGGGTAAAATAAAGGGTTTTTAAAGGTATATCACCCAATTGTGGCACATTTTATTCACCTATTTAATTCATATTTATACCAGCTTATTTATTGTCTTGAAATTGTTTTCCCCACCTCCCAACTCAATATTGGGTTGGATCTAATCCAATAACTAGATCCATTTATTCTAAAGAGTAACTGATCTGTAAACCAGCCTTCCCAGTTTTCCTTACAAAACCAAAATTTTATGCCTTAGCGTGCAAATGCCTCTCATGCCGCAATGCTCCCCATTTGGAGGAAGGCAGATGCCCTCCTTTTCTCCCTCCAAGGGAGGATTTTTTAGGTCTATCTGAACCCTAAAACACCCCCCCCAGCCAGGGCACAAGGCAAGAAGGAAGTGCCTGAAAGCTCAGCTGCTTAGATGCATAGCCCCCCCCCCCCCATACACACACACTGTTTCCACCTACCTCATTCCAGTTGGGCTCTGCGGTGTCTCTGTAAACCCTCGTTTTGGCCTTGTTCACAAAGTACCCGAAGGAATCCACTTCAAGGGTGCAGTACAAGCCTGGGGGGGGGAAGCGGGGGGGGGGGAGACAGAAACCACCACTCAGGTAAGGATCCCCCGGGGCTGCAGGGAGTCCTCTACCTACCCGCTAGGCCAGGGGTAGGCAACCTTGGCTCTTTTATGACCCGTGGACTTCAACTCCCAGAATGCTGGCTCAGGAATTCTGGGAGTTGAAGTCCATGAGTCATAAAAGAGCCCAGGTTGCCTACCCCTGCCCTAGGCCACGCTGGGCAACCTTTGGATCAGGAGAGCACCTCGCTCCTCAGCCACGTTCCACGGCTTTCTTGCGCTGAGCCCCCCTGCTGGTCAGGCCTTTCATTCAGGCCTAATGCTAAGCCCCGAAGAGGGCCCTCCGTCCCACTCTGCCTGGCGGCTGTTCTGCCCCTCTACACACCTGCCGGGCACCTCCACTCACTTGAGCTCTGCTTGAAGCCAGTGGCGGAATGGACAATCACGTTCAGGAACCCACAGAGGCCGGAGGGTTCGTCATCTGTGTCAGAAACAAACAAGGAGATAATCTGGGCAGCTCCACGGGGCTCCCCAGAGCAAGGCGAAAGTTCTGCATTAGGGAGGAGGAGGAGATTTGAACATTCAGAGCACCCAGGTTTGGTAACCCTGAGGTTGTTGCTTGAGAAACCTAAGCAGCCTCAATTTAGCTCTATAAATTTTAGCGTTCAAATTGCACGAAACAAATCTTTTGGAATCCCTTCCCAAATCCGGAGATCAGGTTACAGGTAGTCCTCAACGTACATTCACAATTGGGATCGGAACTCCCACCACTAAGTGAGGTGGCATAAGAGAATCAAATTCAATTTTATGACTTTTTTTGCTGTCCGTTATGTGAATCACCATGCATGTTAAGTGAATCCGGCTCTCCCCATTGACTTCGCTTGTTGGGAGTCAGCTGGGAAGATCACAAACGGCAATCCCCCCCCTCACTTCGTGCTCCAACCGTCACAGCAGGGGCTGGGCAGAAAGGACCTCGGCTCCGTTCAGCCGTGGACGAAGCAGGGAGATTAGTGCAAGGGAGGGCTGTGGGGCTGCTCCTTCTCGCACACTCACCTTCTTTGTTAATTGTGAGGGGAATGTGATGCACCGTCTGAAGCTTCACACAAGAATTTGTTAGCATCTGGAGTTCCACCGATGTCAGCGAAAAGCTTTTGAAGCCTGCAGTTCAGAGGAGATTGACATGTTTGGGGCACGGGAGACTCCTTTGCTCCTCCAGACTTGGAAGCGGGAAATGACCATCCTGGGCTTTGGGAACTGCTGCCGGGAAGATCTTGGACACCCTCCACCTTTCCATCCGGCCCAGGGCACAAGGCGCCTTCTCTCACAGCAAGCAGCTTGGCCCTCCCCAGGACCCCTTTAGCAAAGAGCCCGGCATGGTGGAGGGACATGGAGCTAGACGCCCACCCTGGCTCAGTGGAAGGAGAAGCGCCAGAAGAGACTTCTGCGGCCAGCAGGGACCACATGCAAGACAAGCCCCACATCTACCTTCGCCCTCCCCAACCCATGCAGGGAACTAGGCCGTGATGCACCTCTCTGGGCAGCCTTGGCGCACCCCAAATGCCACTTGGCCAACCCACAGGGAGAAGATTCTGCCGGGGCACGTACATTTCTTCTGCTGCTCTCGGACGATCTCTCGCCATTCAGCCCGTTCGTAATCCGAGGAGATGAGGAAGGTGTAGCTCTAAGGGGGCAGAAGCAGCAGGTTGCAACCCAGAGAAACCACAATTCCAAAGTTATATGTTTTCATCCAGCAATTCTGCATGTCCAAAATCTACTCTAGAGTTTCCTGCCTGATAACTCAGCCTATGTTGCTTCGACTTTACTGAAATAATTAAAATACGATGTATAACGCCTGGGTCACTAGACTAGATGCATAAACTTTATTATATACTCCACTATGCAAAACTATACCACAAACAATAATTAAAGAGTATTAAATAATAGCCACAAAGCATACAAAGTAAGAAAGAAAGTGAGATGTAAAAGGGCTTCTTTGGGGCTCTGTTTCATATACTTTTTGGCAAATCCTCCACCCAGAAGTTTTGCAATTGACTCATTAGCATATTCATTCAGGTAATATAGCAGGTCTTTGACTTACAACCAAAAGTGGGCCCAGAATTTCGGCTGCTGATTAAGTGGCAGCGGAACCTTTTTTGTTAGGCTCATCACTGCAGTTCTTAAGTGAATCACATGGTTAAGAAAATCCAGCTGCCCCCGTTGACTTTGGGGAGACACGACTGGGAGGGGGGCCAATGTCTTTCGTGTGACCCGGGGCTGCTGCGACCGTCGCAAATATGTGCCCGTTGCCCAAAGCCTGAATTTTGGTCACATGACAGCGGGAAGAATGGGGAAATTATAAGGGTGAGGACCGGCCGTAAGTCATTGTTTTCAGTGCCATTGGGATTTATGAATGGAGGTTAAACAAATTGTTGTAAGTCAAGGACTGCCTCTATAAACTAGAAAGAACTGCAAAAGAGAGCACTGTCAAGCAGGCGGATCTCTTGACCAGCAACCACAAGGACTCAGACACACACACCCCTCCCTCCGAGGGTGCTCAGGCGGAGCAGTCTGGTGCTGCAGCACCGAAGCCGAGCTGAAATGTGGCCCTGCTTCGGAGAGGTGAGTTGCAGGCGCATCTCCTCCTGGATGTGGGACTTCGAGGCTGGAGACCTTCAGCCACTCTGGCCGGGCAGACTGGACATGGGATGGGTAGAGGCTGCCCGGAAGGCTAAAGCCGAGTGGGAACAAGGTAGGTGCCAGTCTCTCTGGGCGCTGAGAAGCTCTCGCCTGCTGACATGATTTGCAGAGCCCAGGACCAGGCTTGGCTGCTGCAAGCACCTCTCCTTTTCCCTGAGGGGGGCTGGCTGGAAATCAGGGTTCCACATCTGCTCCCCCCCCCAGTGCCCCTGACAAAGAGGGCTGGTGGACTGATACATGACAGGGGACTCCATGCCATGGACTGTTGAAATGCAAAGCCCTCCTGAGGTGCCCAAGTCAGAAAAACAGCTTCCCCGCCACGTTGAAGGCCGCCTTTCCCGTGCCCGGATCTTAAGCAGGCCGAGGCAGAGAATGTCACCAAGCCCTGGCTGCAGAACCAGGAGGCAGTGACGGCATTTCGAAAGAGAGCTCAGAGAGAAGCCACGTTTGTTGCCCCGGAGCTTGGAAAGGGCTCCTCCACACACCTCCGCAAATAACTCTTTACCTTGGGAAATGGGCACCCGATGGGCTACCCAGGTCCAACTGGAGGGCTCTGAGAGAAACCCAGGAACAGAGCTTAGACACCCAGAAGGCCACTCACTTTGCCATTGCGATTGTGCACTCGGAAGGCCATGTTAGGAGACATCAAGAGAAGCAGGGACTCCTGTTCAGACAGCTTCTTCTTCAACCTCTCCAAGTTCTTGCTTCCCTTGTTAGCTTTCTGAGGAGAGAAGCCCAGACAGAAATTATGTTCTCCTCTGTTCACAACTCCAGAGTTGTGGGGAACTCAGCATTTCACTGACACATCTGAACAGGGTCTGGTTCCACAAAACCCATTAGAGCTCATTAGGCTGAGTTCTCCTTCATCTGGAAACAGCAGCAATCAGGTCTCTGATATCCTAGTGCCAGGAGGAGGAGGAGCAGCTCTTCCTTTTTCTGCCTCTATGGTCCGACTCTGTCCCACTCCTGGGCACTAAAAGGTTGAGGTTTCCCACAGCACCAAATGTGCTCAGCGTTCCTAGTTGAACCATAGCTGAGCATATCCTGAGCCACATGGCCTTGGTGTGCAGGGCTTCAATTAGGCTAACTCTCCTCAGAATGAAGCAGCTATGCAGCTGCCTGGTTTGCTTTAAGAGTGGTTAGCTAACCAACTCGCTCTAGGCGTTCGTAATGAAGAAGCCACAGTCCCTAAGCAAATTAGTGTTTCTTAATTTGGGTTTGTCAGTCTGTCCAGTGATAAAGAGTTGATAGTTTACCACTCCAAATCCCTCCTTTTACCTTTTCACGTTGGATGTCACTCTTGAGTTGGGAGATCTTGATTTTCATGGCATCCAGCTCCTCGTCTGGCACAAGGGAGATGTTTGGCATCGTCTCTGAGTCATCTACCATCTGGAAGCTGAGATCTGAGAGGGGGATGTACCACTTACAGTCATACTGCTGGCTTTTTCTGCAAAAGTGAGAAGGACAAAGGTGAGCGAGCCACGCCAGACTTCATCAGTCCCCAGAACAGGTGAGAGAAGGAGAAGCCAACCGCAGGCGTGTGCTGTGGGGAGCTGCTTGCAGGGAGATTTCTCTCTTGCATGCGTTTCGAACTGCTCCCCTTTCTCCTTCACTACCTTGATATTCCCTGAGCCTGTCTTTGGGGAACCCATCACTTAAACTCCCCCCAGCTGGAAAATAGATAAAAATGTGTTAGATTTGGCTAAAAAGAAGATTTGGCTGCATGGACAGTTAGTTGCGGGGATTTGTTTGGATACTTCATAAAAGCATCACTTTCCAACAATGTAACCTTTCTTTGCAATTTCTGCCTCAAAAACATCACATAAACTTTGAGGCTGCATGCCCAGAAGTGTAGAATTTCTGGGGGTTGCCAAGGACATAAGACTCTAAAGTGGAGTCCCCCCTCCCCACTGAGAAGGAGAGGCCCTCGGCATAGTTCAGAGGTGCTACTTTTGCCTATGGGCATCCATCCCCAAGGAGGTTCTCTTGGGGCTTCCTTCTGCTGCCCCTCCCAGCCACGGCTCCTCTTTCTCCCACATAGCTGCTCCCAGTGGGACTCACCCTCCGATCTGCTTTTTAAGCTTGGCACAGAGGAACAGGTCCGTGAAGAGAAAGACATGACGCAGCTTCCGAGATCCCTCCACCAGCTCCACCATGAAGCTGTCCTTCACAAGCTGCCGGTGCTGTGAAGAAGAGGAGCCAGGCCAGTTAGCGAAAAAGGAAGGGGCGGACAGGCCACAGCCCTTTTTATCAGAAGGGGCACCCCGTGGTAGCCTCTGCCAGTCTAGGGAAGGAAAAGTGTTCAAAAGAAAGCCATAATCAGACTATTGAGGAACTCAGCAAAGATGACAAGGCAATTCTTTAATTTTGAACTCTTTAATCAGAGCAGATATTAAAGCAGGGTGACTAAAAGGCAGGGAAGGGCAGCCAGGAGATGACCCAGTAGGCAAAGAGGGATTGTCCTTACTTCTGTCCACAGGAGGAGGAAGCCGTTGCCCTGGAGAGGCCTGGGTAACAGCAACCACTGGACTACCCAACTTGCCCCCAGAGCAGCCCAGAGGGACTCAAAAGTAGTTTGTGACAGACAAGGGTCATAGCCTGCTTGTCTAAAATGGAAAAACCCCGATATCTTTCTCTGAAGTGAGGGACAAAACAGCCCTACTAGGAATGTTGTAACCTGGTTGTGTAATGATGGGATCGAGTTTGAAGTACCTCAAGTACTGATAGGAGCTCAAACCAAACTTGACTATTTTTGGTCCCCCGGCCACTGTCCACCAGTGGGCAGCTCTCCATGCTCAGTGCTGCTGCATAACATCCAATCCGTAAAATACAAAACCAAGAGGGTCGTTCTGTTCTTGGTTTTTAGGTTTTGTTGAAGTCAACTGGCCGAAATTCAACACAAAGAAATATTTCCCAAGTCGGTGATACTTAAAAACAATTATAGAGCTCAAGGGTCTCAGCACCCTTGGAACTGCCCAGGTTATGCTTCAGGTTCTGGACAAAACTGTGGAAATACAGATATTTTATTCCAAGCCGAGAATACCTGAAGCGGTGGTTTTGAACATCACAGAGAGCCAGGAAGATTACGGCCAACACCACAAGCTATCTTTCTTGGTCAGCCTTCGGAACTGGAGAAAGTTTCAGCGGCTAAGTAGCCATCACTGAGCCCCCAGAGGATCTTTGCTGGAGTGTTCTCCCCTCCCCTCCCCAAACCAGCAACATGAAATCTTCTGTCCCGTTGCCCTTCCTCTCCTGCCTCTTTCGGCAGTCGCTGACCTCCTTCCAAGGTGGCAAAGTCGAAGAGATCTTGCACACCTGGGGCTGCCATCAGGTTTTGTTAGGAGGGACAGCGGTGGCGGAGAACTTCAGCCTCTGCCACTCACCAGATGCAGAGCAATCGCAGAGATGGAAGGGAAAGGAGGAGCTGCCAGGCCGGTTTGTTCCACGATTAGGGGCAGGGGAGGAAAGACACCACCGATTCCACCTTGGCATTGTCTGACTGCCCAAAGAGCAAATTAAATTCACCTTTAGGCAGGGGGTGCCCAATCCTTCCTTGTGGCAGAAAGTCTAAAGTAAGCATTTATTGCACACCCAGGACTTTTATTACTTTGCTTTATTACTCTGGGGTCCCTCAGCAAGAGGACTCCTCTGCTGAACAAATCCCAGGAGATTCAGTATTAAAATTGAAACGTTTAAACCTTTTTACCCAAATTACTCCCCGCATGCTATGGCCAAATGAAGCCACGTTCAGTATGGTTCACTTTTTCAGTTGCTAGAAGCAATCCAAACAAACCCAGAGAAGCCAGAAAGCCAACACCAGGACCTAACTTCTCCAAGCAGATGACGGGTCTGGGAATATAACCAGAGAACTCATTATTCTGGGACATTTGCACTCCAATCACTAGGTGAAAATCTCAAGGCAAAGATAAACCTAGTAAGAAGCATTAAATCATATAAAGTCAAAAATCAGGCATGACTGGTCCTGGTTGGCATTTAAATGGGGGGCCCTTTGAAATGTCGAGAGCCATAGGCTAAATTAGGACCTTGAAAAACATCCTGGAAGAAAGCAGTGGCAAACCCCACTTCCATATCATCCCAAGAAAACTGCAAGGACGCATCCATGGATGTTATAGGGAGTCAAGCTGATGAAGACTTTACTTCATCTTTTATTTCCATAATATTTGAAGCAGAACCCATCCCAGGTCCTGTGTTTCCAGGAGGAGGAGGAGAGGTAACTTCAGATTATCTCTTCCTTTCCACAAGAGACTTTTGTTCCGGAACCAACGCCGGTAGCCTTTCTAACCAAGAGAGCTGGAGGTGTGTGGATCCGACCTATCTATCTGTTCCCTTCAGGTGGTAGAGAGTGCCTGAAATTCCCTCTGGGCATCTGAGAAGGAAAGGAAGGCAAGTAAAGAGAAAACCTAAGATGGCAACTCAAAACATTATTAGCAACTTCTCCTTTTCCACTGTGGCTGCTCAGCTCAAGAGTCAGAAGCAACATCACCTGTTGGAGGAGCAAGATTCAGAACCGGCCTGGTCTCCTGAGAGTAAAAAAGATATGAACGTCTAATGAATTGCATCAGCTGCCATCCTGCTTTGCTCTGGAGGTTGGGGTGATTCAAAGGAGGGGTCATTAAGCCAGTCCAACCTCTCTTCAGAGTCAGAACCCCAGACTGACGGCTGGCCACTCTTCGTTCAAAATGACCTGGGGAGGAGAGCCTCTCCCCCCCCTTCTCTAGACAGCTGACTGCAATATCAAACTCTTTGCACTATGAGGGCTTTTTTAAAAAAACACAACAACAACAAAACAGCAGATGGAATCTGCTTCCCTGTGGCACAAAGCCATCATTGCCGCACTATGAGGAATCCCTACATTCTCTGAGCTGAAGAGAGCAGGTCAGGGTCTCCTCTTCCCAAATCTCCTTTTGGGGGTCTCCGTGTTGGTTTGGACAAGCCATCTGGCAAGCCATGAAGTGGAGGGAACTGCGCACCCCGCTTCCCTCTAAGTAGCAAGGGCCAAGAGAAGGGCAACCGAGGAGTAAACACAGCTGGTGAAGGCACACCGGGTGTCAAGAGATACACAACTGGGTCTAGGCTAGTAGCAAGTGAAAGAAAGAGTGACTTTCCTGAAATGAGCTGCCCCAAGCGAATCTGGGGTATTTGGTAGAAAGGAGATAACCTTAGATTTATGAAAAACGAAGTTTGTTCAAGTTCTATGGCCACCCATCTCAAAGAAGTGACTCTAGGCAGTGAACAGTCATAAAATCAATCACAAACACAATAGAAAAATAAATAGAGCAGCTGAGTAAAATTATAATCCACAGATGTTAATATAACCAGGAAACAGGGTCCTTAACCCACTTAGGGCCGTAGCTCCAGCACAAAAGCCAGATCCTCAAAGCCTTGTGAAGGTCAGTGGGGTTGGGGCGATCCTAATCTCTGGAGGGACGGTGCTCCAGGGGGCAGATAAGGCAGACCTCCTGGGCCCCACAGCAGACGTTCTTGGCTGACGGGACTTTGAGCATCTGCCAGATGGGTCAAAATCGATTGGACCAGATTCGACACTGGTTGGTGGCTTACACAGCGATTATTAAGTTTCCTCTTTCAGCAAGTCGAAATTATTGCCAGCAAGAAGCTTTTAGGGTTAGAAGCAGGAGACAGAAGTGCTCTTGGAGCCGTGTGAAAAAGGAGACCCTCCAGGCAAGCTTTGGGGAAGTATCCCTGGTTAAATATTTGTTAATCTGCAAATTCCTCTTCAGGAAACACCCTTGAGGTTGCCATCCCATGTCCAGCACGCTCAAGACATCCGAGGCCACCAGAACAGAAGAGCCCCCAAGTGCAGTGCAGGCATGACAGTCCAAGCATTCATTGGTAACTGCACCCAACCAAGTAAGTGCCTGGCAAGCAGAGCTTCTCCTGTCCCCTCCCCGGAAAGCTCCAGGGCCAGGAACCGACCGCGGCAAAGGAGGACAGCCGGCAGAGTTGACTTTTTCAGCTAAATGGAGTTCAGGATGCCAAATTTCCAATTTTCCTGCCTGCAGCAAATGGGCATAGAAAGAGCTTTAAAAAGTACCAGCACTGCTGCTTTATTGGTTTATGCTTGTCCAAATGAAGCAAAGCTGAAACTGGTTGCCTCTGGTTGCAAGAGAGGGGCAGAGAAATTCCACCCGTGCTGCATCTGCTCTGCTTGCCAGTCCCCCCCCCCCCAAAGCACCCTCACCTCTCAAACAGTTTCAGGTCCACAGCAGTGCTTGGAAAGACCAGAGAGATGCTCAGTAGAATAGCAAGAAACCCCGTTCTTCTAGGGCAGCGGTTCTCAACCTGTGGGTCGCGACCCTATTTGGGGTCGAACGACCATTTCACGGGGGTCGCCAAACAAGGCTATCTGCCATTTTTTCCCCCTTTTCCTTAGCTGTGCTATTCCCTTTTATTCTATTGGCTTTCGAATAGACTCTCTTGAATAGAGTCCAATTCTATTGGCTTTCAAAAGCCAATAGGAATTGTCCAGGCTGTCTCTGCCCTGCTGAGCCCGCCAAAAGTCCCCTTCTGCAAACGGTGCTGCAAGTTGTCTGCAGCGAAGGCAAGCTGTCTGGAAGTTTCCACCCCTCCCTGCTGAGCAACTACTAAAAATGTAAGTAAAAGAGGGCCAGGGGTGGGAGGCCGGCGGGCGCAGGGAGGGTTGCTGGCACGCGTGGGGCCCGGCAGGTGCCTTACCTCCCTTGGGCTGGGCCAGCCGGTGGTCGGCCTGCTCCGTCTCTGCCGCTTGCCAGCTACGCCTCAGCCGGTGCAGGGGGCACCACGCATGTGCAGCGCTCCCGGGCAGGGAAAGTCCTCGACTTATGACCGGTTGGGTAGTCCTCTACTTACGACCGGTTGGGTAGTCCTCGACTTACAACCGGTTGGGGGTCGCGGCATTAAAAAGGTTGAGAACCACTGTTCTAGGGCATGAAGACCAGTTCTTGCTCTTGAGGTGAAAAGGCTTCAAATGCATTAGTAGCAGTTGATCAGAAGACTCCAAGACAAGAAGCCTCAATCACACTTAAACTGTAAACTTATACTGGAAAAGATCTATGAGGCTAAAGAAGAAATATGTACTACAATAAAAGAGGCTACTACAGAACTAAGAGCCAGAATCTCTACTTTAAAACTTAAAACTGACTCCCAGACCACACTTGACTACTCTACAAAACAGATTATACAAGAAGAGGTTTTAACTGAGGATAAGGAGAATCTTATTTTGCCTTACAAGCAAGACCAGGAAAAGCAAAGACCGAACTTTGGACTTCTGAAGCAACCAGGCTTTATGGACAAGAGAAACAGAGGAATAAATCAGAGATCAAGATGGTCGGTATCGAATCAAGTGACCCTACAAGCAACAAAAAGAGACCTATTATCTGGAAGGGAAGCCCTGTTATGGAAACCTACCTGGCAAAAAAGGAAAGCTAGAATAAGATTGAAAAATGAAATTTAAAATTTCTTAAATTGGATTAAAGGCAACCTAGAATTATGGATTGATGTAAGAACTGAGATTTTGAGTTTGAAGTAAAAAGATGTCTTAGAGTTGGAGTGAATCAATAATTAATTGAATGTTAATTAAATAAGACGACTTGTTTGTCCTATAACATGTGAAATTTAAACTTTACTTAAAGGATTGAAATGATTTAAGGTTTGATATTAATTTGTTAATTCAAAGAGATTAAGTGAAGGATTAGATATCTATAGAATAGTTTGATAAATACATACATTTAGATGTGTCTAGGATAGATTAATATTTTTGTTCAAAAACGAGATATCTTTCTATATAAGGGATTAAAGACAATTTAGAATATTAGGAATGTACCTTTTAGAATGTTAGGTTTATTTCTACGAAAATTATGATGTAATGGAATGACGAAAATTGAAAAGATGTTTCAGATTTGAAGTGAACTAATAGTTAATTGAAATTTAATAAGATGATATGATTTTCTGATGATATGGACGTTATTAGTCATGATAATTAATTGGAGATTTGAATTTTGTTTAATCGAATGACATGATTTAAGGTATGATATTTTTTTTAGCCTGAAGAGATAAATCAATTGATAGATTTGATAGATACAGGATAGATTAATATTTTATTCTAAATAAGGGAGAGTAATGGAAGAAGAAACAAATAAGATTTTGATAAAATTAAGTAGAACATATGTGGAAGGGATATTTGAATTGAAAATGTTTTTATTTAAAGTTAATTTGATTATGGTAGAAATTGACGAAGCTTAAAAACAGGTTCAGGTTGAATAAATTTAAGCTAGAATTGGATATTCTAAATATATTATGCTATTTGAGGGAAAAAGAGAGGGAATATTTGACGTATTGATTATATTATGTATAATCAATACGTCAAATATGTCTTGTTTTAAGATGTTTGATTACCCCAGGTGTGTCCTGAATATGTTGCTTTAAGAACTTTAAAAAACAATAACATTTGTTTTTGTTTTTTTTTTAAAAAAGAAGACCTCCAAGACCTCCCCACTCCAGAGCTGCCAAGAAATTACCCTTTGTGGACAACGATTTGGCACCGAGAGCCTGGAGCAGCAACTCAAGGCCACGTTCAAGGCCATCTGTCGCCATCTCAAGAGAGATACCAGCACCTGCAGGTAGGAACTCTCTGAACCACGGTTTCTCCATCATGGCAGCCTGAAGAGGTGTGGATTTCCATTCCCACAATTCTCCAGCCAACTCTAGGAGTTAAAGTCCACAACTCTTCAAGCTGCCAAGATGGAGAAGCCCTGCTCTGAACAGAGCTGAAGTCTGGAGGGAGGAGGAAGTGAGGGTGGTGGCCAGACTCCCAGACTGCTTATCCTCTGTGCTGACCCAACGGTTCTTTTAAAGCATGTCCGAGTGAAGCCGAGTTCTGGCTTTAGAAACAGAATCCTTGGCCAGGTTGTGCCCAAAACCACCTTTATGGATCTCAGCTCAAGAAACATATTATAGTAGAAAAACAGCAGATAAATGTTGGACATGCTGGGACCTACTGGAAAATTATCAAGGGGAATTTAAAAATCAAACAAGAGAACAATTAATAGCAGAAAAATAGATATACCATAGTCTCTGTTTACAGCAGTGGTTCTCAACCTGAGGGTCGGGACCCCATTTGGGGTCGAACGACCATTTCATGGGGGCCGCCAAACAACGCAGTCCACCATTTTTTCCCCCTTAGCTGTGCTCCTCCCTTTTATTCTATTGGCTTTTGAAAGCCAATAGAATAGACTCTCTTGAATAGGGTCTAATTCTATTGGCTTTCAAAAGCCAATAGGAATTGTCCAGGCTGTCTCTGCCCTGCTGAGCCCGCCAAAAGTCCCATTCTGCAAATGGTGCTGCACCAGTTGAGTAGTCCTCGACTTACAACTGGTTGAGTAGTCCTCGACTTATGACCGGTTGGGGGTCGCGGCTTTAAAAAGGTTGAGAACCACTGGTTTACAGTTATCTGAAAGGTTTAAAATGGATGAAAAGATTTATGGCATAGAACAAAGTAAATCAAAATTTGAAGTGCAATTGTGTACAACATCTATTTGCAAAGGAAAACTGGTTAAAGAATGTATGATAAATGTATGATAAGAATTTTGATAGTAATGTACAGATGGATCAATGGGAAATTATGTGGTTAAGAGAGTTGAAATTCACATTGTGTTATGATCCCAAAGAGATTTTTTTAATAAAATGATGTGTGTTGGTACATGAGGACAGAGAAATTATCTAGAATGTATAACGGCACTTCAAATGTTGTGTGGGAAATATGTAGGATGTGAAGAAACATTTTATCATGCCTCATAGACTTGCAAAAAGTTTAAAAATGGATCAAAATACCAATTCTGAAGCAGGATTTTAAAGATTAATATTAAATTGAACCAGGAACTTGTATGCTTAATGGACAGTTAGACAAAAGCCATGGAAGATTATTTCAGTGTAGGATCCCAGTGAGATTACTGTGTGCACAGAGGTGGGAAGATTAACAACAAGCACAATGGAGGACGGCCCGGTGAAGAGTCACCTTGTAGGGGAGATGGACAGCATAAAAATCTAATAAATACAAAATAAATAAAATTGCGATTTTGCTGAAAAGGATAAATTAACTTATTTGTATCAGAAAAAAAGTCATTATCTACATTCATTGCTGACTGGAAGCCTCTCATGGACTTTTCCCAAACAGACAAAAAAAGGAAGTTGGGAACTGTGGTTTTGGCAATTAGACAGGACAGCCATTGTGCCACTTTTAGGATAAAGCAATATTCGCCAGCAAGGTGTAAAAAACTTGATGACCGCCTCTAAAAAAGGAACAAAGTGATACAGGTAGTCCTCAACTTACAACAGTTCACTTAGTGACTGTTCAAAGTTACAACGGCACTGAAAAAAGTGACTTATGATCATTTTTCACACATGATCGTTTCAGCGCCCCCGGGGTCATGTGATTTACATTCGGATGCTTGGCAACGGATTCATAATTATGACAGTCAGAGTGTCCCAGGGTCATGTGATCCCCTTTTGCAACCTTCTGACAAACGAAGTCAATGGGGAAACCAGATTCACTTAACAACCTTTTACATCAGGGATGTCAAACTCAATTTCAATGAGGGCCGCATTAGCATTGTGGTTACCGGGGGGGGGGGGTGTCCTTCCTTCCTTTTTCCCTCCCTACCTTCCTCCTTCTCATTCCCATCTCCTTCCTTCCTTCCCTTCCTTCCCATTTCCATCTCCTTCCTTCCTTCCTTCCTTCCTCCTTTCCCTCCTTCTCATTCCCATCTCCTTCCTTCCTTTTTTCTTTCCTCCTCATTCCCATCTCCTTCCTTCCTTCCTTCCTTCCTTCCTTCCTTCCTTCCTTCCTTCCTTCCTTCCTTCACTGATCCTGGCGCTTCTGCTGAGCCCTGACAGCCTTGCAGCTCCAGCCATCTCTCACTCTGGCTTGTGTGGTGCTGCCGCCGCTTCAGCTCATTCCCCTCCCCCGCTACCCCTTCCCTAGGACGGCTGCGTGCCGCCTGCCAGGAGCCAATGGACCACTGGTGGTCCGTGTGCCACCGGTTGAAAAGCCCTGGGATAGACTGTGGAAAGAAGAGCCAGAGGGTGGCAGTTTCAGAGACGGAGATTTAAATATATTTGTACTTATAATTGCTGTGAAGAATGCTGGAAGCCACTGCAGGTAAGTCCTCAACTTACAACAGCTCACTCAGAGACCATTCAAAGTTACAACGGCAATGAAAGTGACTTAGGACTGTTTTTCACACACTGCTGCCTCTCCATGAGGGTCCCGTGTTTGGCAACGGGCTCCTATTTATGACGGTCTCAGTGACCCGGGGGGGGGCATGGGATCCCCTTTTCTGACCTCCTGACAAGCCAAGTCCACGGGGAAGCCAGATTCACTTAACAACCGTGTTTCCAACTTAACTGTGATGATTCACTTAACAACTGTGGCAAGAAAGGTCGTAAAATGGAGCAAAATTCACTTAACAAAAGTCTTGCTTAGCAACGGAAATCTTGGGCTCCGTTGTGGTCGTAAGCTGAGGACTACCTGAACTTTATGCTTTTTTTTCTTTTCTTTTGCTTCCCTCCCCCCCCCCTTTCTACCGGTTTGTGTCTGTCTCGGGTCCCAGCACTGCTCCCCCCAACCAGAGCTCTTGCAGGCGGCAAACATCGCCCCTTAGGGGAAGGGCTGCTAGCCAGGCAAAAGGCAGCCCACCCCCTTGGGGAGCAGCGCCAGGCGCCAGCTGGGCACTCACCTCCCCCTTCTGGACAGTCATGGAGTGCCTCCTGGGCGTGATCTCCTCGTTGATGCTGGACAGGAAGTTCTGGGAGATGCGCAGGGCGTCCTGCAGGAGCAGGTAGTCAGGGTGGCCTGGCGGGGTGTGCTTCAGCAAATCCTGCTTGTCAAGAGGGAGGGGAGAAGAAAGGCCTTCAGGGCAGAGCACTGGCCCTCCGTGGCTTCACTTCTGAGGATTTCCTGTCTAACTTAGACCCAACCATCAGATCCAAGCTCCTCCTCCTTCATGCAGGAACCAGGCCTCCCAGACAGAGGGCTGCCCAGGCTCTGCTTGAACCCCCCCCCCCATGGCCTCCCTCTCAGGGGTCACTGATTCCACAGCCTCGTTTCTCCTAGGCTGCTGAAGTTTGCTCTCCCTAATAGTTGCATCTATGCCTCCAGGAGCCCAGAGCTAGAATTATGTTGATGTCTTGCTTCATCTCAGCTCAGAGATGAGAACAGGAAAAGGGACTTCCTTAGAATACCTGGAGCATAAGATGCCCGTGCAGCTACTGCTCCATGCAGAGCCACCCCACAGAAACCCACTCATGGAGAATCCCTGGGCTTTATTACTTGTGGAGTTTTTTTAGCAGCATTGCTTTTACAAGTCCTCCAGTGATCACCCAGCTTCTTCTCCTGGGGCATCTTGCTTGCCCCCTCCACTCTCCTACCCCAACCAGATAAACAGGAATCATTTGAATGTGATCCAGTGTACTGTGGGAACCCAACCTCTATTTGACTCTGCTGCATGAAGTAGCCATCCAGTTCAGCCGTAAGATGCTGCACGGAGCTTGTCAGGTGAAGGGAACACCTGTGCTTTGCTAACCTGCATTTTGCAGCCGGTGGAAAAGACACCGTGTCTGGCAACTCTTTCCATTCTTTGTGCTATTTCTTGCTTGTGCACTGATTTCTCTGAAACAAAGCAGCCCCTCCAATTTCCAGCAGAAGAGCCAACAACATTAATATTCATGGCAACTTACGTGGAGCACAAGTGTACTGCGTGTGACCCGATCCACCGGCTTGTAGAGGAGAGCTATGGGGAAATAAAGGAAAATTAGAAGCTGTAGGGCAACACAATTCTCTGGGGAGCAAAATAATCCAACAGGTTTATGGAAAAACCTCTTCTTTGACAATATGTCCACTGCAATCCTTTGCAATTCATCTCCGCTACTCCCTCCACACTAGCCAAGCCCTTCCCATCTCACGCACAATGGATTGCTATAGGATGCTGAGTGCCCTTTTGCTGTTAAACCCAGGGGCTTCACTCCCAAAACTAGCACTTTGGCTGTTCAGAAAAGAAAAGCTAACCAAGGCAGTCAGCCCTGCTTATACACATCCCTGCAGAACAAAAAACCCAGAGAAACCCTTGGCCCCATACGGAGCTCCTTCGGGGGGGGGAGGGGTTATTGTCCAGAAAACCCAAATCTCAAATCCACCGGGGCACCACACCACTTACTTTCCAAGGAGTTTTTTGTTGTCTGGTCCCTTGCATCCTTGGAGCCTCTGGCTCTGAGGTTCTACAAAAGATGAGCAAGACGCAGGTTATGTTTTTTCAGCCTGCATCGTGGACTTGCCAGCTCTTCCTCGTCTAGTGACAGACGCTGCCTGGTTTGTACACCAAACCCAGATGAGGCCCACGATCTCCCAGCACAGGAAGCACCAGCTCAGAGGTTACCCCCCTCGTCACATGGTCGCCACCACCTCTACGCGGGTTCTCCCCCCCCTTTGAGAAAAAGGCGTTCACTGGGGGTTTGATGAGCCACTCAGACAAACCAGCTGGAATTCCAGCAGCCCAGGGAGAGCTCGGTGCCTCCAGCCTCAGAACCAGTCACTCAATCTGCCCCCAAGTGTCCTTCAAGCCCAAGTGAGATATTCCTGGAGGGAGACGGTCCTCTGCTACTACCTCCCCTTGCAGGTAATGTGGGGGAAAGATTTTGCTCAGACGGGGAGTATTTCTCTGATAAAAGCCACACTGGAAGAGTTCTTGAAATCACACGTAAGGATATTTGCTAAGGAAGAAAGTGACTCCACCAGGTGGATAGGGCAAAACGTGAGTCGGGATGAGTCAAAATCCAGGCCAGGTTTCTCAGGTTCCAAGAAAGAGCCAAGGTGGCGCAGCAGTTAGAGTGCAGTACTGCAGGCCACTTTAGCTGACTGTGTTCAGCAGGTCAGCGGTTCAAATCTCACCGGCTCAAGGTTGACTCAGCCTTCCATCCTTCCGGGGTAGGTAAAATGAGGACCCAGATTGTTGGGGGCAATGTAAATATATATATACATTGCTTACTGGTGTACACCGCTTAGAGAGTGCTTGCACTTAAAGCGGTATATAAGTCTCATAAATAAATAAACAGCCCCCAAATTAGTTGGCTTTTGTGGAGGGTCCCTGGGGTGCTGCATGCCAGGAGAAGCCCCCTGCACCAGGGCTTCCGGCCATCCTCACAACACAGCCTGCAACACCAGCCCCTTTACGGGTTTAACCCAGGTGAGGTGGGGGCAGAAGAGTCCCATCAGATTCCTATGAGGACACCCTTCCCCACCGCCGGCAGCCGGCAGCCATCATGCAGCACGGCCTCGCTCACCTCCGAGATTTCTGCAAACTGCGCGTTGGCTTGGCAACACTTCTCCGCCGTCTCCATGGCAACCTCATAGTTATCCACGAAGGCCCGGTACACGCCCAGCTGGCTGGCCTGGGGGGGGGGGGCAAATGCGGAATGAGACCCAGCCTGGTGTGGAAAGGCAGGGGAGGGCAGAGATGGCCGCCAGCAGCCACCCCCGTCTCGGGAGGCTGGCTGGAGATCTGGGCAAGCAGAGGACCGTCGGGATGAGCCTCTGCCCGCCCTGGACAGGCGCCCGCCAAGCCAAGAGCTGAGGCAGGAGAGGGAGAGAGGCCCAGACCGGCTCCCTCGCCTTTGGGCCCCAGGGGGAAGACGCCCCTCTTTCTTTGCTCCCCCTGCGCTCCCTGGGGAAGTGGCAGGTGCATCAACACCTGGCCTGCTTTTCCTCCAGGAAAAGAGCGACAGCCCTGCAAGGCCGGCTGAGGAATGCTTTACACCCAAGGGGGGGTGGCCCACGTGACACCACTGGGCAGCATCCCCACAAGCGGATGCCCTCGGAACAGGAGATTTATGGTCCATAAGGCACTTCCGACACTGTAAAATATGCCCCCCCTTCACAATCACGTGACCGAATTTCGGGCCCCTGGCGACTGGCCGGCATTCATGACCGGCTGTGGCACCTCACAGTCACCCCAGTGATTTGCACCCCTTTCTGCCAGTTTCAGCAAAAAACAACCATTTGGAAGAAGGGATTCACTTAATGACTGCACCGTTCACTTAATCACTCTGCGCTTCACTTAGTGACCACTGTGAATAATATCAGAAAAATAGGTCCAGTCAGGTGGATGCCTCAATTTACAACCAAGACTTACAATTGTGGTCTTAAGTCAAGGACTATCAGTTCTGCCACCCTAGCAGTTCAAAAGCAAATCAAACGGAAGGAGGTACACGGGGGGTGTGCCACTCTGGCGGAAGGTAACCGCGCTCCGTGACGCCACGCTGGCCACGTGACTGGCAGAAACGTCCATGGGCAGTGCCTTGAAACGGAGGGGAGCAGCACCCTCTAGAGCTGGCAATGAGTAGCGGAGTAAAATGCACGGGGACTCCTTTACATCATCATCATCATCATCATTACCACCACCACCAGTACAGGCTCCCTCCAGCCAAAGGGAGGCAACCCACAGCCCAGCCAGCCAGCCAGCCTTCCTCCCCCCGCCCACTGGTTTCTAGCACTGTCCCCCCCCTCCTCACACTTGCTGGTAAAGGAGAACTGGAGCCTCAAGCTGGTTCTGAGCCAGGCAAAAACCCCCCCTCTGCCCCCCCAGGGCCCAACGTCCTGCTCACCAGTTTCTGGAAGAGGTCGCCCACCCGCTGCTGGTGGCTCCACTGGTGGACCCGAGGGAAAAGCCCGTCGTAGAAGTCCTTGTGGATCTCGTAGAGCTCGGGCACTTTGAAGAAGATGGTCTCGATCTGCTGGCTGGTCAGCACCGGCTGGGAGGTGGTGGCAGCCGCCTTCAGAGGCTTCATGGGCTGAAAGATGAGAGACACAGAGCCGGCTGCCTTCTGTGGCCCAGTGGGGCACGTTCCTGGGCATCCCCCCTTGAGGAAACCCGGAGTCTTTGGGGAGAGCCCACTCGGCCCTTCCCACAGCAACGCGGGCAGTCGGAGGCCCCCCCAGACCACGGCACCATCACCAGCCAGGGCTTCGGCCATGAGGAAATGGGCAGAAGCGGAAAGAACCCGGCCACTCCCTTGCTCGGCTCCCACAGTGCTGAATGGAGCCCAGGCAGGGGGATTTCTCCGTGGCTGCCCCAGGTTGTTCCCCTCAGGGAGGGAGACCCTCGGATGTCCCTGCCCACGTTCATCTTCAGCTCCCTCCCCCCCTCCATCCATTCCCTGGTGCCCTTACCAGCAGGAGAGCCTCAAGGTGACCCAAGTAGGTTTCCTCACTAGCCAGGATCCCGGACAGGACCCACTTCCTCATCTCCAGACCCTTTTCCAGGTCTGGCTCACTCTGGAGGAAGGAAGAGAGCGGAGACAATGGGAGGCTAGGCCTTCGCGCACAAGCTGGAGATTTGGGGAGGGGGGTGGAAAGGTCCGGGGCCAAAGAGAATGAAGCCGGGGGGGCTGCTCTCCCCAGGAGAAAGAAGCGAAGCACAGACAGGGACACTGAGGCACACGCTCACTCTGCAACATGCTTGGCACAACCAGCATCCCTGCTGAGCTCCCAGGGCAGCCGAGTGGCAGGGGAGGCTCTGGCTTGCAGGAGCCCATAAAACCCAAACGGGCCAGTTCCAGGACCCTTCCTCACTCTCCTGGGAACCTTCCACACAGATCCCCTCCCTGCTGACTCTCTGGAGCCATGCCCACCACCCGCCGTAATGGCTGCCATGCCAAGATGGGGGCGGGGCTCAGGAGAGACCAGGGAAGGCCATCCCCTCCCTCCCTCCCTCTTTTTTGGCCCTCCTTGAACACGCCCCTCCCCAGCAGACAAGGTCTGGTTCTCCCTGGCTCCAGGGAGACCAGGGGACCAAGGAGGGCTCCCTCCCCAGGGCCCCTGGGCTCTTGAGTGCCATTCGCCCTGGACCTGCAGGCATGCTGCCAGCAGAAGTGCCCAGCCAGCCCCGGAGGGGGGCACTTTCCTCTTTCAGAAGGCGCTGCCAAGGAGCTTTGGGGGGGCGAAGGAGGAGAAGAGCAGAGCCAGCTTATTTATAACCCGCCAATGACATCCTTGCCAGCTCAGCTCAGGAAGGGCCTGCCTATTCCAGAAAAGCCATTGAACAACAGAGAATGAGAATTGGGGGGGGGAGTTAGTCAGATAGGTAGGAAGGCAGCCAGCTGTGTGTGGGGGGGTGTCTTGGCGCAGAAGGAAAAGGCTGGCAAAAGCTCCCACTGAGAGTCACTCCCTCAGCTTGCACAAGTTCAACTTCAAAGCTACCACACAGGGTCCTACTAAGCCTTCTCTGCACACCCATTTTGGGGCCTGATATCTCTCTCTCTCTCTCTCTCTCTCTCTCTCTCTCTCTCTCTCTCTCTCTCTCTCTCTCTCTCAATCTCACACACACACACTCTCTCTCTCACACACACACACACACACACACACACAGTCTCTGCAAAGCAAAATCTCCCCATCCCTTCCCCCTCTTTCCCCACCCCACCAGAGCACACAGCCTGGCAGAGTAAAGGGAGCGAGGAGCCAAGGAAATACAGAGGGGCAGGACTGCCAGCTTGCAGGCCCCAGAGTGCCCCTTCTCTCTGGGAATGTGGCATGCTGCAGCTCAGAAAGGACTGCCTCGGGTGCCACCAGCCTGGGGGGGGGTCTCCTTCCTCAGCTTTTCCTCAACCCTGCACAGAAATCAGGAAGGGCCCTGCCGATCTTTGGGCTCAGGGCAAGCCCAGAGGCCCTGCGCCAGGTTGGCAAAAGCACAAGGGACAGGAGCAAAAGCCTGTGAGGCCCGGGCCTGAGCCAGCTCTTCATCTCAAGAGTTCATCTCTTTATTCTGAGGCCCATGAAGAGGCAAGGCACGGGCAGCACAATGGGGGGGAGGGGATCCACATCCACAAAATGGGGGCTCCTGTGGGGCACAGTCCACGAGCAAAGGGTGTCCTGAATTCTGCCAGGCTCCACCATCCTTCCTCTGGGGGCACTAACGCTCTTCGGGCACGAGGAGGATTGTGGCTGCCCCCCTGGCAGGGAAGACCTCTGGGAAGACACAAATCCTCCCTCAGACGCCTCTGGCAGGGAGGGGAGTGGAGAGAGTGCCTGCCTTCGGAGGAAGGGGGCTAAGTCTGAAAGCCGGCTGCAGGTGCCTTAGGGCGGCCCTCAAAGACATCCAGAGACTCTCTCTCTCTCTCTCTGTGTGTGTGTGTGTGTGTGTGTGTGTGTGTGTGTGTGTGTTCCTGCCTGGAAGGAAGAGCTTTGAACCCAAGCCCTGCGCAAAGATTCAAAAGACACCAACACACACACATACACACACACACCACAAGAGAAAGAACTGGGCAAAGCAAAAGGAGAAAACATAGAGAAAAGTTGGGGAGACGCATGAAATGAATCCAGCTTCACTCAGCAAGGAGAATTCTACCTCCTGCCAAATGGAATCAGGAGCTCTTTCTTTTCCTCCCATGTCTCCTCTACAAAAATATAGTCTGGGCCAGTTTTTATTTTATGTGAAGCCAACCGGACAGTCTGAGTGGTCAAAAACCAACACCGCAGTTGATTCCCAAGTACCTGTGTTGCTTCTACACTTTGGGGTGAAGCTGCCCCCCCTTTCTTCAGAGTAGATGTCCTGCACAATGATGTCCATACTTACAGGCTGGAGCTGCTGTGCCTGGTCATCAGGGTCTCCAGTCTGAATGCAGTTCTGAGTCCTGCTATCAACCCAGCCATGGCAAAGGCCTCCTTTGATGCCAAGGGGCAGATGCTACAGAACCCACAGAGCTGCAATTGCACCCCCAAAGCCAACATTCCAGCTCCCCGCTTTGCCCCAGGGCGACGCAGCAGCAACTCACTGATTTTGTAGACTCCAGGGACCCCGATGAGAAGCCATCTCGACTGCCTCGGCTCTTGGAGCTGAGATGGGGTGAAGAAGAGGGGGAGTCATCGATGAAGGGCATCAGGTCATGGTGGTGCCTCTGCTCTTCAGCTCTGTCCACATCGTAGGCATAGCCTGGGGGGAGGCCACCAAAGGAAAGCTCTGCAAGAGGAAGGGAAGGCAGAATGGGAAGGAAGAACTGGCCTGGGGGCCAACCGCATCCTTGGGCTCTTCTGCCTGATCGAGGCCTTCAAGAGCTGCTCTGCGGATTCCTGATCATTCCCGCTCCAATTTTTCTGCAGAGGGGTCTCCAGGAGACCTTGCTAATCTGGCACCCTCGGACAAAGGCCTTGGTCTTTCCAACGAAAGCATAATTGAGACCAATTTAATTTCAGAGCAGGCAGAAAAAGTCTTGTGGCCAGGAGATGACTGGAATGCAAAGCTATACATTATGGTCTAAAGTCCACTAGAATAACACATACTGGACTCCTCCCAGCACAAACCTATGGAGAAAAGAGAAATCTGCATTTTGTGGGTCAATCTGCAAACGCAGTTGTGATGTGTGACTTGTGACTCCTTTCCCAACAGAGAACTGAAAACCCTGAAGAAGCCCACCAGGCCAGCTCATTCTGCTTCACAGGGACCACGCGGGAGACGGCCAGCTCTTCTTCTCCTGCTTGGAATATCCACCAAACTGCTATTCACGTCAGGTGAACATTCATGATGGAAAAACAGATTTGGGGATCAGAACACAGGGACCCCCACAGATCCAAAAAGGAGTCAAAAGCCCAGGGGAATGTCCATAATGACAAGGGAGGCCATCACCACACAATGGCAAGCTTGGGATTTATTGCTGAACGGCCTTCAGCAAATCCGCTGCTCCAGGGCGAGATGAAGGCTGCTTTGTCTGTTCCCGGAGAGGCTTCCGTGCCCCTCCTCTCCCACAGCATAACCCACCTGAACAAGCGAGGTGGAAGAAGAAAGGGCTGGGCATGCAGTGACCGTGGGCAGGGCTTCCAGGTACCAACGCTGCCCCCCCCCCCAGTCAGTACTAATAGCACCAATATAGGAGAAGAAGTGTCTATCAGAGCAACCTGGTCTACCCAAATGGGACGGAGCACACTGCTTCCGCTTTTGCCTTTCAGCCCCAATCTAGGAGCCTTCACAGACAGTCACTTCTGCCACCAACTATTTCTGTGTTAAATTTTGTGTTAGGAATGACTCCCCCAGCATCTCTCCGAGAGAAGCCAGGTCAGGGAACAGGTCCACCCGTCTGACTAGAGCTGCATCACCTCAGCCAGGCTGCAGGAGCAGAATGGTGAAAGCTGGAGTGCCATTTCCCTTCCCCCTCCCCTCTGGTATTTTGCTGAATTGGGGGAAAACAAGAATCCATCTGAGTTTCTGTTTCCCTACACTATCTCCGTTAACCAATTCCCTCCAAATGTTTTAAAACCAGCAAATGCAAAACAGAAGTAATACTAAAACTCTTTTTGTTCGTCTGTAACCTTCAAAGGGCCAAATCGGTGCATCATGGGGCAACAATTTTGAATCAAAGTACCTCAAATGGGCTAACTTAAGAATGCATCCAAAATCTGGGACCCGGGACTCCCGAGGGATTTGAAATTTCAAGGTTCTTCAGACCAAGTCTATTGATGGCAAAATGGCGGCCACCGTGCCACCACGAGGAAAGTCCACGGAGAAGCCAGCAGAAAGATAGAACATGTTGGAAGGGACCTTGGAGGTCTTCTAGTCCAACTCTCTGTTGAAGCAGGAGACCCTGTATCATTTCAGGAGCAGAACATGACTATCCTCAAGATATACCATTCCAGCATGACCACAACTAGGACATCAACCAAAGCTTTCCTCACCTGTCTTCTAGATTCTAGAACAAGGAAATACAGCTAAGGCCACGATGCTCATGGCTCCTAAGAAATTTCACAAATGGCTCTCCACTGAATAGCACCAAATCCTGCTGCTTCTCCCCAGAGTTGAATCTGTCTCTTCCCTGCAGACCAGGGTCTCTGCCCGCTACCCCCCCCCCCGCTTTGGGATTCATGACACTTGCAATCCTTGGTGGTTCTGGTTGTGGCTGACAGAGTGAACCCGAAACATCTGGAGTGCCCAGCTACCAACTCTGCTGCTGATGTTGAACACAGATAAACCCAAGATCCATGCTCTCATTTCATTAACATCAAACTTCAGTGAACGTGGTTCTTGTCAAACTAAAGCGATGGTTCATGAATTGTTTCACCAAATTACCGTTTTCTATCTCAAACAAGGTCCCTGTTCCCACAAAAAAGCTGACTCCCTTGTTTCACAGACGCATCTTATGGGTGGCAGCCCAACCTGCACCATGGACTCAGAAGCAGCGATTATAAAATGTTCCAACAGCCCCAAATTACCCAAATTACCCTCTTGGGGATAATGGCTCCCAATTTAAGAAGTACCAAGCCCAAGGAAGAGCGCGAGAGAGGCCAAAGCTGAGCAACAAACTCTGTATAGAAGCAGCAGCATTCTCTCCTCCCCACTCCCAGCCCCACAGATAAGGGGCGGATCGAGAAAGAAATTCTATTCAGCCTCAGATTCTGAGCATTCAAAAAGTTTGCCAGCATTTCAAACTGCTGCATTTGGACACCTGTGGCTGACTTTCTCTACACCACTATGGTTCTTTCAAAAGAGTCTGGCTACCTGGAGAAGGCAATCCTGCACACGGCGAGAGCAGATGCCCCTTCCTCCACTCAGGTAATTAACACAGCCCACCAGACCATCTTTGTGCCGGCCAGGCTCCTGGGCACCCCTCTTTGCCACCCAGCAAAAACGAGAGCTTCCGATCAGCTGAGCGGCCCCTTTAAGGAGCTGCTTTTGGCTTCTTGGACCAGAAGCTCCCTGGAAGGAAGCCCAGCCTGTTCCCGAGCCAAAGCTACTTTCACACGAGCAGCTGTTCCACAAGCTTTTTCCTGTCCCTGCTGCGTTCTCAGCAGCAGGCTCAGCTCAGAGACGATACTGTTGGAGCAGCAGGCAGCAGATTCTGGTGCCGTTTAGCAAATCTGCCTCACAATGAGGAGACTGGCAAGAGCGGCTCTGATACAAACTCCCCCCCCCCATGCAAAAACTCCCGCCGGTGGAATCTGGGAGAAGCACTTTCAGGAGAGGTGGCAGCAGAGGTGAGGAGCCTCCGATATGGCAATCTCCTATTGAGCTTCAGCTCAAGAAAATCCCACGTAGGATGGGTGGGAGAATGCTCATTCATGCTAAAAATCTCTTTTTTCCCTAAAAATGGCGGAACGTTCCTCTACTGCTGTAATCCAATCCCCACCCCCATTCCCAAACTTTGTGGTCTTCTCCTCGAGGCCTGATGGTGAGGCTGCTGAGGGCCTTGTCAGATATTGCCAAGGATCTGCAAAGGGTGGGCCGGAGGGATGGGCTCTGCTGCTTCCTGAGCTCTGTGGCTGGGAAGGTCTTCCGTTCTGCCTGTCCCACAGCAGGATCCACACTGCGTCCAACTCCTCCCTGCCCCAAGATGAAAGAGTTTAGCAGAGTAGAGCCTTAAAGGGCACAGAGCAAAAGGTGGCAATGGATATTCATAGTAGCTACCAGCAAAATATAAAATGATGTAGAAACCTATGGAGTTGATTAACTTAGCATCTAGCTTCTTAAGCAGTTGTGTGGACTGGAGGAATCTGAAAGAAAGCTACATGGGATTTCCAAAAATTGGAAGGGGGAGAGGATGGGGGTCCTTTCCCGATGATGGTAGCCAGCAGGCTGTTCTTAGGAAGTCTTGCAAAGATCTACTTGTTTCTTGAGAAATTGCACAACACAACAGGTGTCACCAGATGCTGCTTAGATTTCGTGGAGAAAGTCTGAGTCATCAGGCATGGAAGCGAATGGGAAGGCATTAGCCATGGGCACAAGGATTATGCCAGAATCAACCAACAGTAAAAGTCCAGGCTGGTTCTATTGCAATGACAATGGAGAGATTGTTCCTGGGTAGAACCAGCCTTTCAGTTTCACTATCAAAATTAGTAGAGGACAATCTAAAAGATCTAAAAGAAATAGAAATCTGAAGAAGATCTAAAATAGAGAGCTTAAAAATAGACAGTATTTTTAAATACTGCAAATACTTTAAAAATAGACAACTTTGTCAGAAAGAGATAGCTGGGCATGCTTGTGTTGGAATACAGTCTCTGGAGTGGAGGGAAGGCTGCAATGAAATGAAAAAGAAAGAGCTTGACTACAACCAATCGACCAGTAGCATTGAGGCTGTTAACAGGGGGCAAGTCAGAAATAAATCCGAGATAAGGCATCCCAAGGTCTTTATGAGGAATCTGGAAAAGTTTGCTACACAGCAGGAAGCAAAAGCCTTTATAGCAAATCCCGGAACACAAACCATAATTTTTTACCCTCAAGAATATCCTATTAGCTGGTTCTCATAGCACAGCTACAAAGTTCTGCCTCATGGAAGGGAGAATACCACCGTCTCCTGTGGAAAGTTCATTGTCCCCGCCCACGAAGGGGCAAGGGGCTCACCCTGAAGATCAGCTATCCAAGTCTGCATAGATGAAGGCTATCATTGCTACGTGAGGAGTTGCTTCCTATTAACTTTTTCCAAGCCAGACTCGTAAGATTGGTCCAGGACTAAGAAGCTGACCATCAACAGCTTCCACCCTCTCCGGAGGTTCTGCAGGTTCTGCTCCCTGTGGCACCAGAATTACCGTGCCTGGGTTCGGAGGTTTATTGCAGAGCCAGTCTACGAAGAAATGTGGGAAGGATATTCTCAACGCTTAGCATTACAGGCCTGAACATCCCTTAATTCTGGATGTGCCCCTTTGAGCTGAGGTGGGTAACTCACTGCCCAATGAGCAGCAAGTGCTTAATGCATCTGTTGCAAAATGCCCCTTTTCCACAGGTGTGGCACTAAACTCTCACAATATAAGCACAGACCAGGTGTGTGTGTGTGTGTGTGTGTGTGTGTGTGTGAGAGAGAGAGAGAGAGAGAGAGAGAGAGAGAGAGAGAGAGAGAGAGACTTTGCCAGCAGTGATTCAAAGAGGCAGCTCTGTGACTGTTTACTGTTAATGCAGAAATCCAGCAATCACCGTGTAAAAGGCCTTATTTATAGCCAAAGCAAAGGTCAACTCTTGCACCTCTTTCTCCTGCTGGATAA